CTCAATTTCCATCTCGACACTGTCTATACGCGTCGGCATTATGATTCTCGATGGACAAAATCTATACCAGGAGCCGACTGACTCGGAGTCGGGATATAATGAAAAGAAGATGTTGGGAGATCAGAAGTTACAGTATCAGGATGCCTTTGGAAATGAAGAGGGTGCCGCTGTGAAGTACAAAACTATGAAGTGGTGGTAAGTGCATGCAACCAACAACCTTCGAGATTATAGGCTAATTCGGTAATAGGCAAACGGGAATGTGTAAGTGACTAGCACATGCGCATAATCACAACCATTGATCAACTCTGACCCGTTTATCTAGTCATGATCGCTGAATCCGTCTCTCTGGGTGTCTTGTCCTTGCCCAAGACCCTCGCCCAGCTCGGTCTTGCCCCGGCTCTCGTCCTCATTATCGGACTGGGAATTCTCGCTACCTATACCGGATACACAATTCACCAATTCCGCGCCCGATACCCCCATATCCAAAACTTGGCCGACGCTGGTGAGATTCTGTTCGGCACGTTCGGACGCGAACTGTTCGGTATCGGCCAGCTGCTCTTCTCAATTTTCATTATGGGTAGTCACATCTTGACTTTCAGTGTCATGATGAACACCGTCACCGACCACGGAACTTGCACCATGGTTTTCACCGCTGTCGGATTCGTCATCTGTTTCGTCTGCTCTCTGCCCCGTACGATGAAGAACATGACCTACATCTCGTGCATGTGTATGTACACCCCGAATTCAGCGCCAGCCCGGGATTCATCGCTAATTTACCATCCATCCTATAGCCTTCGCCAGTATCGTCACTGCTGTCATCATCACCATGGTCGCAGTCGGTGTTCAGAACCAGGGTGGTCAGAACCTCAAGGCTACCATCGACACCGATCTGTTCCAGGCCTTTAGCGCTGTCACTAATATCGTCTTTGCCTACTGCGCCCATGTGGCCTTCTTCGGTCTGCTCGCTGAGATGGAGGAGCCTAGGGATTTCCCCAAGGCTCTGGTCTTGCTGCAAACTTTCGAGATTTGCTTCTACACCGTTGCTGCCGTGGTGATCTACTATTACGTTGGCCAGGAGGTTACCTCTCCCGCTCTTGGATCGGCTGGTCCTATTCTCAAGAAGGTCGCTTACGGAATTGCCATCCCAACTGTATGTTTCCCCCTTCATCTGCTCCATCTCATATTCGGCTGCTGACCTTCTCGCAGATTATTGGTGCTGGTGTCGTTAACGGCCACATCGGTCTTAAGTACATTTACGTCCGCCTGTTCCGTGGCACTGACCGCATGCACAAGCGTGACTGGGTCGCCATTGGATCCTGGGTTGGCATTGCTTTAACTTGCTGGGTTATTGCCTGGATCATTGCCGATGCCGTTCCTGTCTTTAGTGATCTGCTGAGTCTGATTAGCTCGCTATTCGCTAGTTGGTTCAGTTACGGTCTTGGTGGTGTGTACTGGTTGCACATCAACAAGGGCAAGTGGTTCTCCTCCCCTCAGAAGATTGCACTCACTATCGTGAATGTGTGCATTATTCTGATTGGTGGTTGCATGTGTGGTCTTGGCCTTTACGTTTCCGGCAAGGCTATTCATGACAATGCCTCCAGCAACAGCTTCTCTTGTGCTAGCAATGCCGAAGTTTAAGCTTGTTGTTTGTATATAAAATGGTTTGATGTACACTTTCCAAGGTTGTTGCTGGGCGATATCATTTGATTTTAGTTATATAGATTTACGCATATAGATGTTGCACTTATAGCATTGAGCATATTTTCAAGATACCATTATTCTCGACGAGGAAGTGCTGGATAATACATCCATTATAGCTTCGGATACAAAGCGCAGAGAAAATTAATATTTGCATTAAACACAATAAGAATATTTTTGGAAGCGAGGTCCACACTGCGCAAGTGCAAGTCCGTGCCTGATCTCCGGTCCGAACAAGCGTAAGTGGAGTCAGATGGAGCTTGGCAGTCTAGATCTTCAAAATTGTTGAGAGAATTCGGTGAGATTGGAAAATTGTATTGAGAAAAGTTATATCCGCCAAGTCACGCTGATCTGCTCACTATAGAGAAAATATATACTATTATTATCCAAACCAGGAATATTGCATCCTATTATGCATCTGTCATGAAATCCAGGGGTATGCTCGAGTAATCTTAAGCCTTGCACATCCGGCCCGACTCTGAGACAGACCAGACATCACTGCCAACAGCCTTGAGGGCATAGAAAAACGACGAAGGATCCCACTTGCGCTTGACAGCGAGCAGACGGGGATAGGTGTTTCCAAAGAAGGTCTGCTGCCAGTTCGGCTGGCGGAAATTAGCTTCATTCTGGTAACAGCCGCTGTCTGGCGTGACAGCCTCGAGCTGAGGTACGTATTCGGTCGTCATCTTGTATTGTTCTGCGAGCATCTCGGACCATGGTGCGGTCTCGCTCCACGGTGTGCCGATTTGCATCGTCACTGCTGCGTTGCGCAGGGCTGGGAAGACTGCATTCGAGACGTTGACCGGGGCAGAGACGTTCATCCCCACTCCGACAGCAATCACGCCCGCCTGGGTCAAGTTGCGCAATGCTGAGCCCATCCCGTTGGGGTTCTGCTCGAGAGTCTTGCGGGGAATCAGACGTCCGCCGTACTGGTAGCTGGCCACGGCTAGGTTACCCCAAGGAAGAGGGCCCATGTACTTGTTATAGTGGTCATAGTACGAGTCGAACTGGCTGAAACTGGCTTTGTACTCGATGTTAAGCTTGGTGAGCTGTGAGGTGAACGGCCCAAGGATGGCTTTGACATCATCGGTGGTCTGGTTGTAGGCTGTAATGGGGTTGATGATGAAGACACTCGAAGTCATCTGGTAGATGACAGTAACACCCTGGTCGACCATGGCGGGCAATAGAGAGTGGAACTGCGAAACCGCCTCGTAGAAGGTATCAGTGGTGATATTTGCCGCGGTGAACTGAAGAGCGGCACCGGCAATGGGCGCGTCTTTGTGTGCCTTGACAACAATGGACATGACAACACCGTAGTTGCCAGCACCACCACCGCTCAGTGCCCAGAAAAGATCGGCATTCTCGGAGCGCGAGGCCTTGACCAGCTTACCAGCAGCGGTGACAACCTCGAACTCCAGGGTGTTATCAGCTCCAAGACCGAACTTGGTGCTGAGGGCGGAGTGACCGCCGCCTTGGGTGTAGCCACCGGCGAGACCGACCGTGGGGCATTCGCCAGTGACGACGACGAGGCCCTTGGCAGATGCGGCCTCGAGGATTTGGTAGCCAACTACACCGGCAGCAACCTTAAACGCAGGGCCCTGGTAGGTCGGACTCGACCAGTCCTTGTACTCGATATCATTCAAGTGGTGAGTCCATACAGAGAGGGCACCGGCACCGGTTGAACGACCAAGATAACTATATCATATCAGCATGGATATGTAGGAAGAGGGTTGAGGCAACTTACTCATGGCCGGTGTTACGGATAACAAAGCGGATGTTGTTATCGCGGGCAAAATTCACAGCAGCAACGACCTGGTCGCTAGAAGAGACGTTCACAGCGTAGTTCACATAGTTACCGAGGAGGCAGGGCTTGGACTGGGCGGTAAACGGATCGCAAGTCTGGTTGGCAAAGTACGTCTGCATCACCGAGGAAGAGGAATCAAGGCTGGTGGCGATTAGCGATGTCAATTTTCCCTGACTAGCATCACTTACTGGGGTTCTGGCTTGTTCCAGTTGGCCTGGAGCGCTGCACAGGCAGCAGCATCGTAGTTGGGTGCATGGCAGGGGGTTCCAATTGGTACGGTCGTAACCAGGCGACCACCGACCGTATCATTAAGTGAGGCCCAAGCCGATGGAGCAGGCCAGCAGCTATCACCCGGCAAACAGTGACAATTCGATGCAATGGCTGGTGCGGCAATAGCCACGAGGGAAGCCAATGCCCACTTCATGGTGGAGGAGATTGAAGGGTTAAGCTTGTCGAAAAATGGAGGCACAGGTGTCGATCACCTTGTTTTATTTATACAAAGTATGGACTTGGCATTCCTCGATAGAAAACAAATGTTGACATTGGCCCAATTCGGAGATGTTCCCTAGTGCGTCTAGTCCGATTGTGGGTACGAGGATTCCACCGGGATTAAACCGAGACATCTAGTTATAAGGCGTTCCTGCGCGGCAGTTGGGATCCACAGCCAGAAGTCGGATGGATATCCAATAGTTCAGGAAGATGATTCTTTTTTTTTGCCATCACTTGTGTATCTTCCAATTTCTGGTCTCTTCCCGGCTCGGAAGCGGACAGGCTAGGAAAAGCCGTGATCGGATCCAGCTTTTCAGTGTAACACAGATGAAATTAATCCAATCAGCGCTTTGATTTAGCGCCACTGAACTCCACTTTAGCGCTATTGCCTGAGATGTGGTGATTGCACCTTTAATATTTTATGCTTTGGTGGCTTGAAGCTTCGCACGTCTTGGAATTTCGCAGTTTACATATGTTATGCTGGTATTTATAGATGACATAAGTGATTAATCTTAACCTTGTAACCACAACTTTAAACGGTGTAATTGACATCATTTTGGAAGAACCACCTGCAGAACTCTTAGTCTGACCTTATTCGCTGATGAGATCACTCTTACTCAAAATTGGAGGCAGTTGGAGAAGAACTTCGCGAAATTGACGGAAACCTTGGAATGTACTAAAATAGACTGAAATAGAAATGATCGTCGAAAAGACAAGGTAAGGTTTGCTCAATCCAAGGTTATTAATTAACAAATCCATGGAACCACATATCATTTCTAGGGCTTTCATTTCCACATTGCTAGCCATTGGCTATGAATCAGATTTACCAAAGTTCCGGAAACTAAAGTCTATCTGGGGTTAATCACCGAGAGCACCTGTTGGTTCCTAACCTTCGTTCTTCACGGCTTACAGCTGAAGGGAGCCGTGGACTACTCCAACTGCAAATCCATTTATATGACAGGTCGCCTGTTTGACAATGCTGTCCCTTTAGCCCGTGTATATCCATACCATGTCCCAAACCAATCTCGGTCCAGCCCTAGAGAAGGGGATCTGGGCCGCCGTGGTCATTGCTGCAGTGATCGTTATTTTACGAATCTTTGCTAAAATCAAGATCGGACGGTTTGGCATCGACGATGGCTTGATGATCTTCGCTGAGGTAGATCTTCCTGGCAGTCCGCGCGTTAATCTCATAGACTGACTCCAATTTTCTCCAGATTTTGGCAATCGTATCAACAGTATTCTTGACCCTGTCGGTTAAGCATGGGTTCGGCAAGGATCTGGGAACAGTACCACTAGACGACAAGGAAGCGGTCTTGAAGAACATCGCAATCCAAGTGCCCATTGTCACCTTCAGCACCACCTTCGCCCGCTGCGCATTCATCCTCTACCTCCTCCCCCTCCTTGGAACCAACAAGTACTACCAGGCTGCGCTATGGGCTGTGATGGTGATACAATTCGCCGGGAACGTTGCATCGGCCGTGCTGCCACTTAGCATATGTCGCAATGTGGCCGCTCTATGGGACGCAGCAATCGCAGTCGCGACGACCTGTGGCGACTCGAATGCAGTCATCAAGTTCGCCTACTACTCCAATACATTCAATTCAGCCACTGATCTGTTTTTGGCTGCCTTCCCAACAATAATGTTCTGGAACTTGAATCTGAAACTACGCATCAAGATCGGTTTGATTGTTCTTCTCAGTTTGGGTATTGTGTAAGCGTCAGCCTCTACCAAAATCGCCTAACCACAATATGCTAACCCAATGTTATAGTGCAATGGTCGCATCCATCATCAAAACGACCAAACTGAACGCCGTCCCCAGCATCACCAATACCGGAGCTAGCGGAGGCATTGAACTAATTCGCTGGGGATACATCGAAAACGTCATTATCATCATCACCTCCTCGATCCCTTGCATCCGCCCCTTGATCGTCTCCTCCGTGCGCAAGATCTCCAACGCCAAATATTCCCGCTCGTACGAACTCAGCAGGACCTTCAATGGGCACAAATCTGCTGCTGTCCCAAACGAGACGAACCAATCGCGCCGCATGCGCAAGTTCAAGTCTGATATTGAGAATAATAGCGTCGACCGCATTTTGGATCAAAATCGGAGCACGCATACTAGTACATCTATAGGAGGTGCGCCTGATTCTCCTACTTTCTCTACTTCTGGTATCACTAAGCAGGTGGAAATTTTGGTTACATCAGATACTAGGCAACCTCCAATGGAGCATACGAGCGATGACTGATTTAGGGAGTTAGACCGGAGTCATTTTATATTTGATTTGTTCTAAAACAAGAACTCTTTTTGGGATTAGCGTACATCACGAATATATGTGAATCCCTGTGTGCACTACGAAAATCGCTAAGCCTATGTAAATTAGTCTCACACTAATCGATCTCCTTGTTCCCAGCCCTAGAATCCGATTTACCGAGACATACATACTAGTGCGAAGCCGGTGGGGGTCGAACACATCGGCTATATCAGATCCCCTACATGAACCAAAGATATGACTGGCTTGGTTAATCTACGGGGATCCTGCGCTGCGCGTGGTATCATTCGCTGGAGTGGGTATAGCTCGTTCTGATACTTTGAGAACCACAGGTGGAGCTGTGTACATACTACGGAGCACTAATGTCCCATTTAGCTACCGATTTCCCACTCATGCATAGCCCCACAATGCAAGAGTTATCTACTTTGTGCTGTTAATAGACAAGCGCCACTTTTTGCCGCGAGTATTCGAGCCCAGAATCGGACCAGTGGGGCCAGTTATAATTCTTCAGAAAAGCCAAATTTGGGAATATTAAAGTCTAGGTCGGAAAATGGTTGCCAACGAAATACCCCGGAGAATGCCAAGCCAGTGCTACAGGAGAAATGGAAATAACTGTTTCAATAAAAGCTCACAATGGAGTAAATTGAGAATTACTGAATAGGTGAGATGATCCCCTACATTTATGTTCAATATGCATATCTCATGGTGCCGTGCACGACGATACTGATGAGAAAGGATGGGGTAAAACACAAGCTTGACAAATTAAAAGTACGGAAATAACATAGCAGCTCTCTAGATCGGTATAATGGACCATGATCTCTGCGAGGGGATTTTCTTGATAATGGAAGTAGATCAATGAGAAGGGACGGCATGGGGGGAGGGAATGATAGATGTTAATGTGTAAATGTTCTGGAATACTACGTACTATTGTTAGACAAAAGAATAAGTATATAATGAGTTTAGTTAAACCAATATCTACAATTTTTACCATACCTTGTTCGTACGCTTGATTTCTGTCAATAAGTTCTAACTACTCGCAAGCACAAGTGTTCATCGTGCACGGATTATTATATTTCCGACCGGACACGCGCGGCTATGGCTCCAACTTTCTCACCGAACTCAAATCTTACGGTCGTGTATTTCCGATTGTCGTCATTCATCTCTTCACCAGGGACCTTTCACATAATGCATGCACCATGTTGGACATGCCGCAGTCGCACTATCCAATGTGACCAAACCAGCATCCCTTGCGCTAAGTGCGAGAAAGCTGGGCTGGAATGCTTTGAAAAAAGACCGCTACGATGGGTCGAAGGTGTGGCAATTCGGGGTAAAATGCGCGGTCGTGTTCTTGGAGGGGATCCTAAGGACTCTGGTAAAAATCCAGTTGCGCAGCTAAAGCGGAAACAAATCTTACACTCCTGCGCTAAGTCTTTGGCAACCAATATTACTCCCCCGTTCGCATTACAAGACCCTTGCATACACGATCTCGATTGGTCATCGAGATTCTACCTTGATTATTGTGGGTTTATAGAGACATTAATGTTCCCGTGGGTGCGCTAATGTCAGACAAAAGATAACGTACGCATCGCCAAGTTGTACATTCTATATGACAGTGAGAGGAACCCGTTTAGGACTTTACTCACTTACGCTATGGATGATTTAATCTTGCGAAAATGTATAATTGCTGTTGCGGCACGACACTTCGCCAATACAGGCCGGTCATTCGATCAGGCCGATGACGCTTTATCCCCTCGGTTTGTCAATGCCAATTTGGATGCACTCAATTTCAAAAAGCAAACTATCAAGGCATTGTCATTGTCATTGTCAATGTCCCACCTGGAGCGTTTTCACAAGGACAAGATAATGGCAACTATTCTCCTTCTAATTTTCCTTGATCTCCTCGAGTCTGGCATCGACGGTTGGAAATATCATCTCCATGGTGCAGAAGGCCTCGTCAATCTTTCTCACTCGCTGCTGAAACCTGGTGTCAGTGAATATGTCAACAGCGACCCTGGAGAGACAGTAGAGGAGACAAGGCGATTTATCGCCCGACAGTTTTCGCTGTATGCTTCTCCTTCTTCTCTCATCAATATATATCGTGATTTTTCGCTGACAGTAGTAGTATCTCAACCATCGGAGGTGCACTTTCGGATTCGAAGTCAAGGCCTGAGTTATGTATCAATTTTGATGAAAGCAGGTATCAAGAGTCCATGATTAGAAGCTTTCTGGGATGTCCTGGATTCCTTCTGGGAGCTATCCGTTACTTCTCCAACCAAAGATACATGATTGAGAACTTATACATACACGGTGATATCTCGCTTCACGAGCAGATACGAAATACTCTGACCATGCTTGAGCTGACAGTAAACTTTGATTGTCTGAAATGGGCGTCAGATTCCGTGCAACCAATAGCTTCCTCGACAGTGGAGATTCAGAAGCTTTTTTTGCTATCTCAAGCATACAGAACTGCCACGGTGCTCTATGGAAACCGAGTCCTTTGTGCTTTCAAGACATCAACCAGGACCATAGCATTTGACAACAAAGAGTTAGTGTCACGATTACTTGACGTGATCGACTCTCTCAAATGCGACGCGGCTTTGTTCAAGTGCCTACTGTGGCCGACCTTCATTGCCGGTCTTGAATGCCAGTCTCATAGCGAGCAAAAGCTGGTCATTAAATCTCTAAAGATGCTTTGGAATCTGACCTGTTGTTTGAATGTGATAAACGCTTCAAGAATTTTGCATGACTATTGGAAGCGAAAGCATTTCGATAGCAATCTGGCGCCAGAGGAATCTGAATTTCATGTGATAGAACAAGGCTGGCTGCTAATTTGATCTATGGTATTACTTCTATGGTCATCTATATCTTGAATTCTGTAATTTCGAATTGCTCCCAGATTGCAGCGTGGTTAGCGTTGCTTGTTTGATGATACGGGGCCCTGGAATTCCCTTGAGCTTCTTGGTCACGAAAAGGAATGCCGGAACGAGTCTGAGCTTTTCCAGCCATCAGTGGCAATGAACGCCTCGAAACGAAACTACTAAATGCTGATAAATCCCGTCCTGTGTGGATCTAGTGAAGAGCGTCATAGCGCCACACAAAGAAGCTCCGACAGTATGCCGTCTGAGATCAAAGGCATTTTTTTCCTCGATCGAATTAACGATGAATTCGTAGCTATGGAACTCACCTTCTATCTAACATCCTAACTACCGGGGTTTAAGTACCTGATTTATCATGCACCCCAAGATACATCTCTTCAAACAAAATAAATTCCATCAATTTTCTCACAGAAGGTGCACGTAAAGTCTAGGCGTTTCACACAAGTGAATTTTAAATGGAATTGTATCTATAATCCATGTGAGGTAGAAAAGACTGTGAATGGCATGTGTCATCGCAAATTTGCCCCGGATGACCAAGTTGCCACCAAAGCCCCACATGCCATAACTTCCTAGTCGGGTATAGTTCCACCCTTAATCGACTTCAGCAAACTTATAGGGTCCGAGAACTATCCACGCACGAATATTTAAAGACTTCATCCCGTCCCTTTTGGTTACACTCTCAGCTATCAACTGCCTTCAACTTCCACTCAGAACCTTTCTCATTCTTCCAACTCTTTCCATTACACCATGTGCCACCAAGAAATCGCTGCCAATGGCTGGACCAGCATGCCGGCCAATGCGGGCGCCATCTTTGGTGACCAGCCTTTCATCAATAAACCGGAGTCCCTCTCTCTCAGTGACATCAAATTCCCATTTGATGACCCCACGGTTGCAAAGACTTTGAAGTATGCAAAGGAAGCCCTGCATCCCGAAACCTTCAACCATTCAATGAGGGTCTACTTCTATGGTATGCTTGCATGTGGTGCATAGCTCTAGTAATTCCAAGCTTCGTATCTAACCTCTGCTTAGGAATGGCCATCACTAAGCAGCAGTTCCCCGAGCAAGCTGCTGCTCTTAACCCGGTGACTTGGGCTTTGACATGCTTGCTACACGATCTCGGCACGGCCGAGGAAAATCTGACGGCAACCCGGATGTCCTTTGATATCTACGGGGGAATCAAAGCCCTGTATGTTCTCAAGGATTTCGGCGCCACTACAGATCAAGCCGAGGCAGCTGCTGAAGCCATCATCCGACACGAGGATATGGGAGTCGATGGAACGATCACATACATTGGCCAACTTATCCAGCTGGCCACGACTTACGACAATACCGGTTTCCATCCGCACGTCAAGGATTTCGGTGAACTAATCCACAAAAACACTCGCACTCAGATAAATGAGGCCTATCCACGCATCAAGTGGTGTGAATTTTTCTCCAGCGTCATTCGCAAAGAGGAGAAGATCAAGCCCTGGTGCCATTCGACCCATCTTGTCAACTTTGACAATGAGATTGAGGCCAACACCCTTATGAAGCAGTGGGAGTGAGAACTGATTACGCAAAGCTCTCTGCTTTATAGCTTCGGGCTAACAAATAACCGTTGTATGAATGGTGATGTTAGTGTGACATACAATATCAAATTAACATTATTTGGGTTATCCGCAGAATTTCGTACGGGCTTTTCCTACTTTACTAATCCACTTAAACTCCTTGTAGTCTAGCTAGTAAACTTCCCTTTCCCCGTTGTCTTCTAATTCGATTTATAATTTTGTTATATCCCATAAGCCTTCCGCATATTGAACGCTCCACACTTTGATCACCTTCTTTTTAGTTAGGAATTAAGGTTTAAACTTTGAACTCTCCGAGGTCTAATTAACTAGCGTATTGTTCTATATTTATCTTCTTGTAGCTCGACTTGTAATATTGCTTTATCTAAATGGCGCTCCCTAAATTGGATTCCCTAGATTACGATCACTTGTACTGCAAAATAAATGAGGATTAAATAATAGCGTGCTAGGAGTTGCCAACGCGTGTTAAAGGCCAATTAATGCTGGTGAAAGCATGAAGATCAACGGACAAGAGATGATTTACAGCCGGTAATTAAACAATTGATTGTCTTAGAAATCTGTCTACACCATAGTCGAAAAGAATACTGTAACCAACCGATTGGGACCATCATCAACCTGTAAGAGTATACAGTTTCACTGAAAGGTGTAAGACCTGTCAATGGGATAAGATACAATGGTTCTTGGGAGGAGGAAAAATGGAATGTATTGTCTCTTAGTGATCAAGACTAATTCTGGCAAGAATTAAGAGGGTCCTGGACTATATGGAAAGGTGACCCACTATTGTTTCGATACTGATTCTTGGCAGTCACGTGGGCGTCCGCGGATCGGAATACCCGATATACCGACGAGTGCAGGTCAGCTGACTTCCAGTTTCCAAGTTGAAAGGATCTTTTATCCTTTACAATTATTCCTCCCTTTTCCAGGCAGATGTCCCCATCTGTCACATGGAAGGTGATGAGAGAAATACTAGCAAGACAGGGATAAAGATAAGTTGAGAATATGGTGGTCCTCAAAGTAACGGTCTCATCCCTGTAAGTCGTAATGTTTCTTTGTGTGAAAACAGACTTAAGAGTGAATCTGTCCCTTTTCTCGTTCTTTCGGAATCGATTCAATAGTCATGCCAACAATTGCAGGATCCCCCGGGAATCGCCGCAAAAAGTTGTTGATTCCTCTTCCACGTAAGAATACGTGGTGCATGTGTTGCCTGCGCGTGTCCAACCGCGATTGGGAATTAAAGGGGGATGGGATTCGTCACCCCTTCAAGGTTGGGTGCATTTCCGATACTGCTCAGTCTAAATCGTGTGCCCATTGTGCGAAGCAACATAAAGTTTGCGAATCTGTGAGTATTCGGTGTCGAGTCGATAGGTTTCCTGCGCATTTTTGTTCTAACCTTGCTTGGTTTTCAGGTTCCCGAGGGTATTGAGGGTAACCGTTTTGAGCTCCTGTCTCTTCTCGCCTGGTCCGAACACATCTGGTTAACTTCTGAGGGTGAATATGGTGCTTCTCTTGATCAGCGTGATGGGGATGGTGACCCTGTCGAGTTCGCCTTGCCTTGGGACCTGATCGTGGCCGTTTCGGAGGCAGTTCGAGATCTTGTTGCTGGGTTCGATAACCTGGTAAAGAATCATAAGCATCTTCATCATCTTACTGGCACGCGTGTTCCTCTTGTGAGTTAGGTTGACCTCGGTCTATGAATTTATCTATTGACCCGTTTTCTTAGGCCGTTCACGATTCCTATAACCAGTGGGTTGCTGATCGGCGCTCTTCCTTGGTTCGTGACACTCGTACGGTTGTGCACGACTGGGATCGCCTTGCCGTAGAGGCTTCGATCCGGGGTCGACTCGTGGGTTCGGAGGAGTCGGTTCACGCTTGGCACGGGGCCGTGGTTTCTTTTAAGGCCGTCGTTGAGCACGCAATCTCTGCCCATGTCGTTGATCCCGTTGTTTCCGCTGCTCTGGCAATGCACCTAAGCTATTTCCCTTTTGCTTGGGAGTTGTGAGCTTGTGTGGTTTTGTTTTCTCTTTCCTTACTTTTTCTGATATATTCTAAAGGATATGCCCGAGCGCACATTCTCTCACTCGGCCAAAAGACCATTATATCAGAGCTCGTGCTCTGATATGCCCGGGACCAATATATATAGTATCGCACATAGTTTATCCGTGACACAACCACAGGACTACCAAATTTCAGATCTCACCTATTCTCTTTGTCGTAGGCTTTGCGATCGTAGGTTGGCTGTTCTGGTAGCAACGCGGGAAGTTTATTGGGCTGGAGAAGAACCTAAGGAATATTACACAGCACCCCTACCTTAAAGAAGAATACGAATCCAAGCTAATATGCTCTACATAGTGAGTGGCATACTTTAACTGCTTACAGACGGCTTATTAGGCCCCAGCTTATTTTGCAGGTTTAGATCCCTATGGATCACGGAGTTAAAGTAATAGATAGTAATCTAACTTTTTCACGATTTAGATGGACGTGGGACCATCATTAATATAATGCTTACTGACTTATTCTTCTACTATATCCGTGAACGAAAATAGTATATAACACTTACCGGAAGATAATATACTTTTCGCTTAATTAAGTTAAGACAGTTAAGAATATAAAATAGTTATCTAATGGCTTAGCCATCCGTAACCCGCCTAATCGACTTTCTGATTTATACCATATTCCTCGGTGGGATGCCTAAGCTGGAGTAAGCTATATCTAGGTGGGATTTTAATGTTATGATGCTAGCGGAAGGTGCGATAGAAGAACTCACGTAGGCTTCTCCAAACCCCAATTTAGGAAAGTAATCTGCAGGTGGTTCCTGCATACAAGAAAGTAAATTATATAAATGACGGGACGGGAAAGGTGTAATTCCGGCTGACAAGCTATAAGGATGGGGTAAAACACAAGCTTGACAAATTAAAAGTACGGAAATAACATAGCAGCTCTCTAGAACGGTGTAATGGACCATGATCTCTGCGAGGGGATTTTCTTGATAATGGAAGTAGATCAATGAGAAGGGACGGCATGGGGGGAGGGAATGATAGATGTTAATGTGTAAATGTTCTGGAATACTACGTATTCTTGTTAGACAAAAGAATAACTATATGAGTTCAGTTAAACCAAGCTTACTAGAAGTAATAAACCGTCAAGTTTGAATGAAATTTAAAGGTGTGATCTAAAATACAGACAATAGTGATGCGACCATATGGCAAGAGGGGGATTTCCCAATGAATTAAATAAAGAAAGCAAAAAACATACAACAGCATGTCTAAGGTGGTGGTCACCTAGCGCTCACGGTCCGGGCGTGGGCGGCTCGCCGCTCTATTCAGGGCACTCAGGGCAGATATTCACCCACCTAAATATTCCTCATCTTAATATTCAGCCCGTGTAGTAAAAGGTACATTTCCTATCTGTAAAGGTATACAGTTTTCAGGTGTAAGGCCTGTCAACCGGGTAAGATACAATGACTTAGAGAGGAATGGAATTGTATTGTATGTGTGTGCCAAGACTAATTCTTGCCAGAAGGAAGAGGGGATTTAGGGGAATCCCCGACTATGTGTACTGCCACGCTCACGTGGGAGCCATGTGACGATTCCTCGGCGATTCATTCCTGATACCTGACCGATGCGGTCAGGTGACTCCGTCTCTATGTTGTAAGGATCTTTATCCGTTACAGTATCATAGCTTATTAGATTCGAGTGAAAATTGGAAAGCCATATATCAGCCGCTAATATACGGGTACTAGGAGGTGAGTTAATAATTAGTATATACCTCTACGTAAACGATAATTAAACATACTAGAGATAGGAATAATAGTTTACTTCTTGACCCCACATATAGTGTGAAGTAGTAACATGTCTATTCCCCTAGTTAACCTTATTCTCGGGGTCTTATAGAAGTGTCATTTTCTACAGGAGCGAGTTATACTCGCCAGTACGCATTGACTGAATGACCTTGTGGGAACTAGGACAGTGGATTTGCATGTCGAATTTGCTGAATGCAAGTTGTCTGAGAGTGAGATTCCCTTGGTAAACCCCTTGAGCTGTAATAAGGCTGTGGACCAGATCGTCTGGAATCTCCTTAGGAGGCTGCACAGTAGTAGAAGACCACTGTTTATCGGAGACGTATGAATAGTGGCAACTAAGCATCTACAAACATTCAGGAACCCAACACCAATATTCAAGCAATTGGCTGGGAGCTTCAACGAAACCTGCAACTGTTCGATGTCCGTGGAATATCGCATACTTGGATCTTCCGAGTAGATCATGAATGCCTTTCCAAGCATTAGTCTAATAAGTTCAAGATTTCTGGTGTTAATCTCACTTACCGTGGCCTAATTGCTACATGTCTGCTTGTTGGAATAAGCTATTAAGAACTGGAGAGATATAAGAGTTTTTCATTGTTCGTAACAGGAGCTGTATAATTGGTTCAACGCTCCACAATCAAACTCAAAGCACAGAAACAGACCACCTGTAAAGATGATTGCAATAATCTCACCTCGGACATCATAACAACGTGGCGTTAGACCTGTTTGGAGTCGCAATACTGGCGCCATTCCATAGCATATCCAGCCGTCTTTGACGGAAAGGCCTCCATTGAAGTCAGTATCACCCAGCTTAATAAGACCCAGGTTGGTGGAGACAAATTGACCATCTTCTGAAAAACTTAGAGCTGTAACTGGATTTGGCATTTCAATATCATGGCGCCATTCCCGAAATTTGCGGAGAGCGCCCAAAGACCTTCCCAGTAGTCTTACCGAGCGCAGGGAGGCATCAACATCCCACAGTTTGATAGCTTCGTTGGAGGCTGAAGCGATCTGCTTGCCATCTGGAGAGAATGCTATAGCCCAAACTGTTCCTGAGTGGCCGTCCAGAGTTTTCAAATGGCTGCCTGTCCTTGTATCCCAGAGCCGGACTGTTCTGTCATCAGAGGCTGAAGCGATCTGCTTGCCATCTGGAGAGAATGCTATAGCCCAAACTGTTCCTAGATGGCCGTCTAGAGTCTTCAGATGGCTGCCTGTCCTTGTATCCCAGAGCCGGACTGTTTTGTCATCAGAGGCTGAAGCAATCTTCCTACCATCCGGAGAGAATGCTACAGCCTCAACGTAGTCCAAGTGTCCTTCTAAAGTCTTCAGATAGTTGCCTGTCCTTGTATCCCAGAGCCGGACTGTTTTGTCATCAGAGGCTGAAGCAATCTGCCTACTATCTGGAGAGAATGCTATTGCCTTAACCCAGTCCAAATGACCTTCTAGAGTCTTCTGGTAGTTACCTGTGCTAGGATCCCACAGCCGGACGGTTGTGTCAGCAGAGGCTGAAGCAATCTTCCTACCATCTGGAGAGAATGCTACTACCCAACCTAAGTTTGAGTGGCCTCTTGAAGTCTTTAGAAATCCGGGTGCGTACGGGCCCCATAGCTGTTTGCTATCCGGATAGGATAATACAGCCTTAACAGGGACCAAATGACCATCTGGAGCCTTCTGATGATCGTCTATGCTAGCATCCCACAGCCGGATTGATTTATCAAAGGAGGCTGAAGCAATCTGCTTGCCATCTGGAGAGAATGCAACAGCCAATACCGCGTCTGAGTGGCTTTCCAGAGTCTTCTGATGGTCACCTGTACTAGCATCCCATAGCCGGATTGTTTTGTCGCCAGAGGATGAGGCTATCTGCCTGCCATCTGGAGAGAATGCTATACCCCAAACCCGGCCTATATGGCCTTCTAGGGTTTTTAGACAAATGCCTGTGCTGACATCCCATAGCCGGATAGTTGTATCACAAGACGATGAAGCGATCTGCATGCTATCTGGAGAAAATGCTACAGCTGTAACATGGGCTGAGTGACCTTCCAGAGTTTTTTGATGGTTGCCTGTGCTAGTATCCCATAGCCGGACTGTTGTGTCAAAGGAAGCGGAAGCCATCTTCCTACCATCTAAAGAAAATGCTATAGCCAATACCGCGTCTGAGTGGCTTTCCAGAGTCTTCTGATGGTCACCTGTACTAGCATCCCATAGCCGGATTGTTTTATCCATGGAGGCTGAAGCAATCTGCTTGCCATCTGGGGAGAATGCTATAGCCATGACCCCCCTTGAGTGGCCTTCCAGAGTTCTCAGATGTTCACCTATACTAGCATCCCACAGCCGGATTGTTTCATCGATGGAGGCTGAAGCAATCTGCTTGCTATCTGGGGAGAATGCTATAGCCTCAACCCAGCCTGAGTGGCCCTCTAGAATCTTTATACAGTTGCCTGTGCTGACATCCCATAGCCGGATAGTTGTGTCAACAGATGCTGAAACAATCCGCTTGCCATCTGGAGAAAATGCTACAGCTGTAACATGGCCCGAGTGACCTTCCAGAGTCTGAAGTAAAGGATCCCATATCCTTTCCACTTGCGGGATTCTTCTTAACCACTTAGAAGCCTTCCTGAGGTTATATTTATCTCTGACAAGACATCTTTCCGGGCTGAAAACAATCACAGAGCTGTACATTTGGAGTGGCCAGGCTGATATTGTTTGGTAGTGACGCATTAAAACACGGTTAGCGTCATACACCAGAGCTTGTAACGAAGGGTTCTAAGAAACGATTTTTAGTCACCAATCCTCGATGCCAGGGAACAAAACCTACTTCAACAATTCTTGCTAATGTCCCTAGAGAGAATATGGCGCGTGGCAGCCTACCTAGCAAGCTTAGGCACTCCAGCCACTCTGGAAACTTCAGGCGGATAAACATCATAATTTCTCCTCGGTCATCGAGAGCGCTTCCCAACAGTGTAGTGTGCTTTGCAGCTTCGAGGTGTTCCGCCCAGAGGGTGGCAGCATAATCCAGTGTCTCCAGAACTGCACCCTTATCACCAAAATCCCTTTCTTCCAGACATTTTAATCGTAGACCCGAACTAGGCAACGGTAACCCGACAAGGTTAGGCACTAGGATTGTTGACATATAAGCTAGACAGCTTAAAGCAATATCCCCATGTCCATATTGGTCATAAGAGTGGAGTCGAGGTAATTCAGCTAAGAAGTCTCGAGATGATTGATGAACAAATTCGATGGTAGTACCTCGCATTTTGATGAACGATGCACATCGGTCCACTACGTGATCGCTTTTGATCTCGCTCTCAGAGAGGCCGGTCACACTGGATACTTCCTCCCTCTTCAGAGGCCGATAAACCAGCATCATCACCTTAAGGAGCCGCAGACAGGCATGAACAGTGGCTGCTTTACCTTTAAGAATATGCTGAAGCATGCGCTCATAAAAGGGGTGCAGCCCTGGTGGCAAGTCTTGAATTGCCAGCAACGCCTGACCTGGAGGAAGTCGTTCACCACTCCCATCACTCTCGAGCCTTTTACATACCAGGCCGACCCATAAAAATGTTCCTTCAGCCCGTTTCAGCAGTTCAGATTGTAGTTTTTGCGGCATTTGCTGCCCATAACGGTGAACTGGGTAGAGATCACCGACCTTGTGCCTGACATAGGTTTTGATGGCTTCCTCGAGGTGGTCCGAGTTAAGCTCTAAGCCGATTCCAACCTGTTCGGTGGTAGTGAGCAATTCACGGTCAGCATCGTCTAGCGGCCGACTCGTCAACAGCCATCTAACATTGGAATAATCAAGTCCAGTTCGAACAATAATCCTCAAAAACTCAGCCATTCCCTCGTTCCGACACTCATCAAGAGCATCCACGACCACGTACACCTTCTGGTGCATACAATGGTTTATCATTTCTAAGAAGATATCCCAGAGTACTCGCCACGAAGAAATATTTTCTTTGAAACATGCATGGGTTTCATCCCAGCGGCGCTGAAGTAACTCCAGAAGCTCTTTCCGCTGCCGTATAAGCTGCTGAATGAGGCCTTTAATGATCCCTTCAATGGAGTTGAGCTCATAATCAGCATTCTGGCAGAAGAAGTATACGACAATTGAAGAATCGTCTTGCGAGAGCTGCTCAACAAGACCAATTGTCATCATGGTTTTCCCTTTACCAGCACCACCCCTAATCCAAAGGAGGCGAACATCATCTTCCTTCTGCCAAAGGCAATATTGCGGATTTTGAAAAATCCATTCAATGGCCGTGAAAATCAACTTATCCTTGCTTTCCTTCAGTCGATTCTTAACGACAAATGGATCAGGGCATTGCAGTGCTTGCAAGTAAGGCGGATTCACAAGATTATTATCACGGGGGGCTGTATCTCGACTTAGCTTTATATTTTGGCCAGTCAAAGAAGGAAGACGTCTTACCAGAAGGAGACACAACAGAGCTGACATTTCGGCTAACAGGAAGACTCGAGAGAAGAATTCTTGCATACGCTGCTGCAGTAAGCGCTGCATATGGTTGCCATTTTTTAAGTTTATGAGAGTCACAATAGTCGCAAATGCCTCGTATCACAAGTGTTGGAAGCCCATCCATAAGGCCTGCTGCCTCCATCTCAAAGCAGAGTATCCCATACTGTTCAGCTAGACGGTCTCGAGTTTCAGAATCCTTCATAACTTGGTCTCCTGATGCAATCAACCCATAATGGATATAGGGTGCCCTTGTACCACGCGGCTGTCGGTGCACTAATCTGGCTTTGTCACAGTTTGCGCAATCATTTTCGTTGTCAGCGTGATGATAGGAGGAGGAGAAGAGAAGGTCGGTTTGCTGATCCGGAGGCGAAAAACTGCCCTTCATATCAGGGTTTTCTTCCAGGACCTTTTCCACAATTCTCAAAATAACAGCTTCTCTTTCGGTTATTTGCTTTGCCTCCAGTTGCGCCATGTGCGTCAGAAGAACCTGTGGTGGTTTATTCAGGCTGCCTGTTGGCGTGAACTGTCCGCCTTGAACTGCCTTGCCATAATCATATTGCATCACCCCACTATGCTTCCCAACCGGCTTGCAAACTACCACATCACCTAATCGGATGTCATCGCTTCTGCGTGGGACCCCTCCTCCGATACCCACCATTAGTCCAAACTCGACCTGAGTAAAGGTTGAACGCAAGTAGGACACAACAGTGGCAGCAGATACCGTTCCATACACGCCGGTCGGTAGGCAGGCAACAACAATGCAATGACCGTTCAGTTCACCAAGGACGTAGGCATTCGAGTCATTTGATGGCTGAGGCAGGGGGTTGTGGATCTTGTCTAGCATGACCCTAGCCGCTGCCACCTCTAGCGGCAAGGCGCATATCCAGGCGATTGTGTAGTCTGCGTGCTTGAAGAAAGTCATTTCCCCTGATTCGACGAATGACAAACAAAGAAAAACTCGGGGCCTAAACTGTCCAGCGAATCCATAAATCTGGATGTGGACAATGTCTGCTGATTTACAAAAACATAACTCGCAAAGGGGGTGGGGTAAATCTGCCTTGAGTTGCCCGTGCAGGTGCCAAGAATCCAATGTTTCAAATCCTGCGCTGATACCCAATTATATAGCACTAAGCAGGTTGACCGTGCAATTCCAATTGGTTGATCCGCTTATAAAGCTTTCTTAAAATCGGCCGGGCGTGCGCCGCCTCCGTCGTCGTGCGGTATGGATTGTGGCTTCCTTTGTTCTTTGGCCGGAAGAAAGGATCGGATATTAGACCATCCCAATTCCCTTTTACCCGGCTACTAGTTACGGGCTTTATTCCCTAGTTACTTCGTATCCTAAGGGTACCATGAGAAGACCACGACTTTTGTGATATCTCATCTCGTGATTCTTTGCTGTCTGAAAATGATTGGCTCTTAGTGGCTCATCGGTGGTTGTGTTCCCCGCGATTGATTGGTCACTAGCATGTCCGTAACAGAAACTCCGATAAAGTGATATCAGGGGTAGTGCTCGCCAATAATTGACGGGTGGAACTCTCGCGATCTGCAAATGTCAGCCGGTGATATAATTTGGCCTTGATGAAAATCTCTACCTTTGGTGCGAGAAAATGAATCGTCTCAGTGTTTTTTTGACGTGCTAGCATATATAAAGTTAAAGGTCTCTTTATAGGGAGAGTTAAATCAAGCACATCATTGAAATAGGGCTGATACTTCTCAATAGTTAGTAAGTCATATCCTTCCAAGCACGCTAATATTAATCTTGTGACCTCCATCTTTATTTATATATATATACATTTTGTTTCTAATTTTGGGTTTTTTCTTTCCAGATTTCAGCTTGACCTATTTCATGTAGATACTGTATAGTTTTAGCTTGAACTTCAATATGAATTTTCAAAGTCACTGAGAGACTACTATATCCTTTTCAGAGTTAATACGAGGCTCTTATACCTCACCATCTTGAATGAAGCTTCTCAGCAAAAATTCCAAGGTTGTAACCTCTCTTTTTCTACCTGTCACCTCGCTGGTAAATACTAAGGGCGGTTCCTGAAATTGTGAAACGTCTTGAAGGGGGTTGTGTAATTATATTTAACTTGACTTCGTGGAAAATGGTTCTAAGCCATGAAGACAACCTTCTGGAGGTTAGGCCGAAAGTTACGGAGGTGCTGAGGGTTACGGAATTGCTCCTGGTTACAAACTCTTTCAAGGTTACGAGGTCGACGAGGGGCTCGGCAGATCCTTCACCTCGATCAGATTGCGTTGATGGTTCTTTCGGTTGTGTCGATAGGGTGATAATTGCTTCTTTCAAGACAGAAACCAATTAAACTGAATGCATTTTCTGGATCCAGTCGAGAATCCAGCTTTACGGTTAGGTTGGACTACTGAATCCTCCTACTTTTTCAACGTTACCGAGGTTCAAGTCCATTTTCAGTCCACGGTGTGGTGGCATTTTCTTATTTTACCATTTGAGCAAGGGTTTGGGTCAAGTGGTTACATTGATCCTCAAAACCCGACATTCGCTATCAGAGAGCCAAACCAAACTGGTGGGGACCAGAGCATCGTCGAGAGCATCACCGCTCATATTGCTCATGGGAGAACCAAAGAGATGGCCAGGATATTTCATAGCACTTGTCCAGGGGACTGGACTCAAGCCTGGCAAGTGGGCTTAAGCGGTCTTCTTTTCAAATTATATCAGCTGGACGAAACAGTCTGTTATTCGTTTCCGGTGGGAGGTGGCGCTGCTCGCAGACTTTATTGTTGAGATGTTTGCGCTTGCTGTACCAAGGAATGAGATGTGCATCATGTGGGATTAGCGTTCTTGGAAGGAAGAATTCATGAACAATGCCTCCATTTCATGGTCCGAATTCAAGGAGCTGCGGTCACCCATACACTCGGCACTCGAAGAGTCCTTCAACTTGCCCTGCCTAGAGCAACAGGGCCCGCCCTTTACCCGGCCATTTCTTTATTTAGCAGCGGCTTTGGTACAAGCTAACAAGCCCAAGGATGAGAATACTGCCATCATCAATGCTATCGGAGAGCTCCTGAAAGACGCCCGGGCTTTCCAGAATAAGTGCGTTTATGAAGACCCAGAGGTCCAGCACACAGGACACGAATGGCTGAGGTCTATTGGTCGATGAGCGCGCAGATCGCTCTCTCCTCGTAAAAGGGCGAACATGACAAAATCTGTGTCTTGCTGATGGAACACGTCCCTCTTCATTTCAGGAAAGTAACTGCGAATGAGGCAATAGCTGCTATAAACAAAACCTCGGGATGCGTGAAGAAGAGAGAAAATATGGAGTTTAGACCCTGGCATCTATGTCGCTGCGTTTGCTTTAGCTACCTAATAGACACATTTTGCTGTTGCTTCCTACTCCTTACAAAGTCCCTGTTCCCCATTCAATCATTAATCCAATCTTCATGAAAACCGAAGTCTTAGTCACGGACTGGCAGTCGGGCGCTAGTTGCTACGGGGCAATTCTAAGTTGGAAAAAAGCTTCTTTTTTTTTTTTGAGAGCAATGGACGGTAATTTTCACTGGTTATTGCCGAGCGGGATTGGATGGAAGTTTCAGTCCTGCGTAGTCATATTTGTGTCGTTATCTTTGGATGTCTTCCAAGTAACTTGCGATTATGATGAAGTGTAATTGCCAGGTTAATTGAGACGGTAATCGTCTCATCAATGTTGAGAAATCCAGTTCCATAGCATCCCCGGATACAACCCTATCTGTTAATGTGGTTGATTGTGTGCATGCGAGGATATAGTTGCTTCGGTTCCTGGCGTTGAGGCCAGATCTCTGGTTGACAATAGGGATCCATATCTCAATCTCGCCATCATGATTAGGCTTGACTGAGATGAGAACCACAAGTTGTGTATTATGGCCGAAGCTGGGGTACCACCACTGGGCGTCAGTCTGTAGCTGGGGGCCGGACTCATATATTCCAACCTCAAGAACAGGTTATGGCCATTGGACGGGTGATCCAGGCGTCAGTGGCTCTCCGGGGAAGAATATTGTTTCCGCCTCTTTACAACATGAACAGTCAATCATCCGTCCAGCACCACCAAACCAAAAACCATCGTCGGATGGGTCTAGCCCCATAGCAAGAAGGGCTCGATCGATGAAACGCGTAAATTGACAAATAATCCTCCCGTGGTACAGACAAGCCATAATCTTCAAGAGTATACGACTTTGTGCTCTTGACGGATAATTGTTGGGATGTCTGGGTACGCATGTGGCCCGACAGTGCATAATAGACATAAATCAACGCAAGGCTAACTTCAATGTCGCCTTGGGCCCAAGGACATCGACGCGTTGTATCCATCTCTTTACCCTAAAAGTCCTAGCTACGTGGCCCAAAATGAGGCGGTCGAATTGAATTAGTATCTGCTTCGGGCACACCTCATATGTACTTGCACTAATTGCAACTCAGCTCAATATATAGATTGTGAAAGAATTATTTCCGAGGAGGAGGCTTGGTTCCTGATCTGCACCAGCCATATCAGCTTTTTTGCTGTAAGGCACAGTAGCGATTACGATGACTTCACACACTAAATAGTGTGCAATGAGAGTGCACAGCGAAGGGGTTTGGGACCCATGCTGTCAATCACATTAGTAGGGCCGATACTCCCGGGATGAGAGCATTGCGCGAAATTACACACAAATCTTGGTGGAACCTACGTAGTGGGGTCCGGCAAGAGAGGAGGGAGAGAGTTGTATTCGTCAAGAGGAGCGAGCTCCCAAACTATCTATCTAGCAAGGGTTGATGCCTGAGGCATCAAGGCTCCGACCACCACAACACACCCCCCCAGGCTCAACAACCCGAGGGGATCTTCTCTCACAATTTGCTTCCTGCAGTTTAACTTACTTGCTGCATAGCCTCTTTTGCCATCATTACCTTATTCATGCGCTCAAATATCTCTCTTCCGAGTGGTTTTGTAAGCGCATCGGCAACGTTTTCTTCGCTTGCGATTAATATCAACTGTATGATACCATTTCGCACTGCGTCCCTGACAAAGTGATATCTTCTGTTGACCCACTTCGCTCCTTTTGTGTATGTATTGCTCTTCGTTATCGCGACTGCATTATCACTGTCTGTGTGTAGCATGATTGGAAGTGGTTATTTCTCTCCTAATTGCTCGAGTATTTTGAGTAGCCAGTAGCACTCCCTGATTGCTGCGTCAAAGGCGATGTACTCTGCTGTGGAGCTGCTTCCTGCCACGATATCCTCCTTTCGCGATGACCAACTGATTGGGCCTCCTGCGTAGAAAAAGATAAATCCTTCCGTGCTTTTCCCGTCCTCACAGTCTTGATATGAGGCGTCAACGAAGCCAATAAGGTTTGTGTCATCCTTTCCGAGGAGTATCCCGAGATCAATTGTGCCTTTCACATAGCGATTGAGTTGTTTTAGTGCTTCTTGATCCTCTTTTCTTGGTGCAGACGCTCTTCGTTGGAGTTTGTTGACTCCGGTTCGTCCCGCTTGCTGCGAGTCCCTCATCAAGGCGGATCTCTTTGATTTTATCGATCATTTCCTGACAGTATTTGAAAAAGTCATTAGTGGTCAGTGTCATTGCTGGATCCACGATCGATTTCAGTTCGTTATTTTTGATTTCAATGGATCCTCGGAGCTCTGGGATCTCATAGAGTTGTGCTACCATAAGCACAATGGCGTGATAGGCACAGAACGATGCTTTGAGGTCATTTGCTGTGACGAATCGTGTCTTCATCGCCTGTATGAACTCAGTTGTTGTTGAGAACTCTTCTCTTTTTGTGCGCACGAAGCGTATTATTGCTGCGCTTAACGCTCCGTGTCCTTCACCCCGTAGCTGCTTCTTACAAACTTGCATAAAGTCATCTGCCCAGGTGGTTCTTTCGCCAGTTGACGTGATATCCTTTGCAATCTCGGGATCTAATCCAGCGCGGAGCCATGCTCTCACTTGCATACTGATTTTCATCCACTTCTCTGCATTTTCGGAGTCTCTGTCTGGCTTTTCAACCTCTTTATTGATCAACCGGTGGAGGTTGTGACCCTGAAGGATCTTGGTGACCGTGTCTAACCAAGTGTCGAAGTCCTCTTTCTCCTTTAGCGGCGGCTCTATTTTATAGAGCACGAAACTGCCAATTTCTGGTAGTCCCTCTCCTTGATCACCACCCAGAGTGGTCTGATCGGCATCCTCCACGCTTGTCCAGTCTTTACCACCCACGGATCCAGGTCCCCAGAGAGGCCTTGCCATTTTGGTTGGTTGGTTGGTTCTTTTGTGAGAAATGCTTGGTATTGAGGTACGCTTTGTTGATGACTCCTTGTTGATGATAAACGGCGACTATCACGATAGATGCTGTACTTCGGACTCGTCGTTTATTGGTTGGTTGGTGAAAGGTGGGGTCTCCCGCTGTGGGTCTCGCCCTATCCAGTCGTTGTGTGCCGCGACTCTCTCTGCGCGGTCGAAATTGATGTTTTTGATAAATGCCTCCTTTTTCTTGATAAAAAATTGATGATAGCGGGTAAGGTAAGGTGCTCATAACCTGGTGGAACCTACGTAGTGGGGTCCGGCAAGAGAGGAGGGAGAGAGTTGTATTCGTCAAGAGGAGCGAGCTCCCAAACTATCTATCTAGCAAGGGTTGATGCCTGAGGCACCAAGGCTCCGACCACCACAACAAATCTGATCCCATACATCTTTCTAATGGATTTTGGAAACGGGGCTCCTTTTCACCTCTCCATGGGCAGCTATTTGGGATACTATCTAGTACGAAATTACAAAAGAGAGAAATGGGTCCACATATTTAAATACATTTCTTTCATACTAATGAGTACAAAATCCCTGTTTCCTAAGATTGCTCGCCCAAACCCCGCAGGAAGCGCTGTCGAATATCCTTGCAGATCTCCACGTTGCTTCGCGCCCGATCCTGAGAATCCTGCGCGCGACGTGCCAGCCACTCATTCCGGTCCTTGACAAACGCCTCCATCCGCTCATCGCGCTGCTTAACCATGGCCTGTTTATCAGAACTCATGCTGCTCACATCCGGCTCAGGCACATCATCTGCAGGCGGGAACTGAGGCTTACGCGGAAGGCGCTTCTCGACCGGCAGGATATCGAGCTTGGGACCAGGAAGCGTCTGGTACCAGTAGGCGGTAGTACTCCAGTCATCGCGGAGATGGTTGCCATGGCCAGACTCCATGGTGACCTTGATCTTCTTATTGAAGCGTACTGGATCCGTGAGATGCCAGCGGTAGCTGACCTGGTAGTTCGGAACATCTTCTTCGTGGATGATTGTACCGCAGAATGGGTATGCGTTCTTCTGCATGCCCCATCCCTGAGTAAAGTAGTCTTCACCGCCGGTGCCGTGCATGCTTGGTGGCCAGGTGTCATCGTCGATGAAGATCATATCGTCGCCCTCACCCCACCAGGTGCCTTGGAAGTGGGCCACGGACTGGTTGCAGCCGATGAATTGGCCAGCGCCCTCGGTCTCTAAAATGACATAATTATCTTTTCCGTCTAGGTTCGGCACTTGCGTCTCGAGGCTGTTTGTCTGAATACGAGATGGTGCCCATCCGTTGGTTGGATTCATGCGGCGCCAGTGTGCGTGGAAGTACAGCGTATCCGCGGGCAGGGGCTCCGGGTACAGTTCGTAGTCAATATAGAAGTACTGGAAGTAGGCCTCGTCATTCTGATTCTCGATTTCGATGCGTGCTCGTTTGTTGAAAGGCATGGTGAGATAGCAATTGAACGCGGCAGCACCACCGAACTTTTTCTCCTCGGATGGCTTGACTGAGACCGTGAAGGGGAGTGACTGAAAGTTGGCTGCCATGGAATGGCCAAGACAGAAGAAGTCTCCGATCGGTGCAATCACGTTGGGGGTTTCCGAGTCATCCCAGTACATCTTGATGAGTACCTTGCGATAGTAATCTGGGTCGTTGACTTCGTAGTTGAGGCCGAGCGCATTGTGGATTTCCATCATCGCAACCCCGGACTTGGAGTAAGGAATCAGGCCTGGACCTATAATTTTGCGGCAGGTTTGGACAAACCAAAGATGCGTGATGGCACCGGGGCCTTCGAGGTCGGCCAGCACGATTGACTCGCCCGGCAGGACTACAAAGGCGTCCTCGTTGAGACCCTTCTGGTCCCAACTGGCCACGCGAGCACTGCGAGCCACCTTCCTCTTCGCCATGCTGGCCAATAAGTCGTTTCCAATGGGCATCTTGAAGGTATGATCAAAGAGAAAAGGATTGAGTGAATTTGTTTGCAATTATGGATAGCGAAGGCGAGTCTTCGGGGCCCTTTAATAGCCACATATTCTGTCTCGTGCCCATGACGACCATGACGACGGTCAAGACATACTTGTTCTCTCCGCGAGAAACAAACCCCGTAATTCTGCTGGGATTATATCGCGGAGCAGCACCGATCCTCCGCGATCGAAAGTGCGGGGTTGTCGGATCCTGCCAGGGCGGAGACCTCGTCTAAGTCCGCGATATAATCCCATGCCTAGTTCAACTTCCATACAACGTCATGACCACGATGGAACACCACCAGAATAAGCGAAAACGCACGACTCTGGCATGCGACGCCTGTCGAGCGCGGAGAACCAAGTGTGACTCGCAGAAGCCGTCTTGTCGTTACTGTCAAACCCACGGACTTGACTGTCTCTACCAGGATGCCCCAGCTGAACCCCCCAGTCGGTATGTTAACTGCTTTCACTGTCCCACAAAGACAGTACTAATATATGGAACAGTGTAGAAGTAGAATTGAATGCCATGAATAAACGACTTGATCAACTAATCAGCTTAATGCTTCCAGCGGAGCCCATTTCCTTGGATAGTTGTGCCGGGGATCCGCCTACTGAATATCATGTTTCGGCAGATCAAGAAAACTCGCCGTTTGATTTGCCTTCTAAGCTACTTGGTAATCCATCTGTTATGCATGCGCTTGGACTAGATGCAAATTTCGCGCAGGTCCTCACCCGAGGAGAACGAGTTACTGGGCCCGAAAGTCATGCCAATGCAGGTACACGGATGCTTATTGTTCATCATCGGCATGCAGTGAGGTGTGTTGAGCCGATGTTTACAAGTGGCCGTAACTAATTACGACATTAGCGCATTAGCATCATTCTCCGCTCGCGTTCACACCTGGTATCCCATTCTTCCATCGGGATTTTCGGAGGAGTACTTACGGGTACTCTCCGGTCCTTTACATCCTTCTTCAGAATCTTGCCTTTCCCTTCTTGTGGCCGCAGTTGGCCATGTAGTAGAGGAAGATGAGACAGTCCTAGATACCCCATACCTTGAAACAGCTCTTGCCTCCCTACCAATCATCATCGCCGAGTGTAGTGTCCGCAGTGTCCAATGCTTGTTGTTGATAAGCCTGTATTATTGCTGTCTATTAAAGCCTTGTCAAGCCCACGAATATTGCTTGATTGCGTCTTCCAAGATCCAGAACATGATCAAGAGGTGATTACTACCTACCTGAGAAGTGTGAGGCAAAGCTGATATACATGTTCCAGTGGAATGGAAGGTGATGATTCAACTGCCGTTGAACAATCTCGGCGAGCATACTGGGGTGCGCTATTACTCGAGAAGTACGCAGTACAACATCCCAAGTAGGATTTATCACTAACTTGAGTTACAGCGAGATTGGCGGCCAATTGGATGTTGCCAATAGTGGTATCTGGTGTCTGGATGAACATGTTCCACTGCCACTATGCCACCAGACATGGCAGTTTACGCCAGAGAGTACATCACCAACAATTGCCGCGCCTGATTCCCCGGATTTTGCACCATCCACTAATCCAAGAGTGCAAAATATGCGATCATATTTCCTTACTGAGATTGCTATGAGACGTATGCTACATCGATGTAACACAGCTGTCCAGGTGACGTCCGCTGGAAAATACATCTATGCACCAGGTATCGCACTGGAGCTAGAACGCCAGCTCGAGGAATGGTACCACTACATACCCGAAATGGATCGTTTTGGAAAAGGCGATGTGTCACAGCCATTAGAATCGGTCGATATACCATCCTGTCCTCTGTCAAATTTCTTACGGGTCCAGTACTACTGCTGCAAGCTTTCCATATATTGGCCTGCGGTTTATCAGGCGATGCAGGATGGAGCTGCTACAAACCTCCTTCTGGATCATTGTCAAAGATTCTTCGATTCTTACGTGATGCTAATACCGAGTATTGTTGCCGCATTCCGTGACTGCCGGGTGAACAGGTGGACATTATTTGTTAGGTGGGTTTAGCTTTTCTGACATTGGGGGATATAACTTTACTGATGTTGGGAGATAGTCTTTTTATTACCTCCATGGCCGCCATGACGGCAGCAAATACCCCCTGTTTAAGTGAGCTCTGTTCGCCTCAGTTGTCTCAATGTATTCAAGCATCTGGACGCGCCGAACAGACAATACTACGGAAGAGTCCATCCTTGGTGCTGCTACAGGGAGTACTAGAACAGCGTATTTTAGAAGCTGGATTCTTTTGAAAAAGAAAAAAAAAGAAAAACAAAACGAAGACAACTTGAATGATAGTACTTTTAACTAACAATCTCCAATGCCTCTCGATACTTATTATCTCCCAGTAGCCGACAAACCATCCCAAATATTGACCTTCTCAATAATAGCACTCCCCCTTTCCCCCTTGGCAAATGCTGATATGCCACCAGGCCTACAATCTTCCGGAGAATAGACCATCGTAGCCAAGGCAAACCGATCATTTGCAAAGACCTCCAAGACATCCGCGTCAGAGACTATGCGAATACGCAAGTTCTCCAATTTGTCTTTGGGCTCGACACCCAGATTGTCAAGCCCGTAAAAGAGTGTAAAGGGACCTTGTTCGGGGCAATTGCGTACGTCTGGGTCAGATGTTGACCTTCCCTTGCTGATACTAATCGTCTCTTCCCGAACAAAAAACGTGATCGTAGTGCATATACACATGTCGCTATTGTGGCGGATATGGAAGCCTACTTCCAAGCAGTGACTTGGGTCGATAGTAATTTCTGCCTCGAGCTCCCAGGTTTCGAATAATGTTGAGTACAGTACATGCGATAGTCCAGCTGTCGGAGATGGGAGTGAGATATGTTTTCGGTGGCAAACACGACCACAGTGTTTGCGGAGTTCAACTATCTCTTCAACTGGCCGTATTCCGAGAGTGTAGATAGTGACTGAACCGTCTCGGTTTGGAACTTGTTCAACAGACGCTATCTCTGACAGAGGACTGTAAAGAGCTCGTGTAATATTTGGTATAGAAAGGAGGAAGAGCTCGCGAGGAATGGCCAATGCACCATTCCATCCTTTGCGTTTGGCGTAACTCGCTGTAATATCCTCTTCGGGAATCCATGCGTGCATTATATGTCTCTTCGACACCGGATCAAAGAATGAATTGGCTGCATATAATGACCCGCAGTCCAAATATCCGCCATGGGTGTAGTCAACACTGACCGAGTTGTTCTCAACCCTCAAATCACCAAACATCCACAATAGAGAACGAACAGTCCTTGGAGGAATATGTGCAGCAGATTCAAAATCTCGAATGTGTTCACGTTCCACATCTCCCTCTGCTCCAAGGATGAGACACACGCGGCTGTTGGCTTGGGTTTCAAGTGTCAGGAAATTTGCGCATTCCCAGTTGACGCCGAAATTTCCAGACCATTTCGGCGAGGGCTGGAATCGAGCAGGCATGTTGACCAAGGGACCCAAATAGTGCCATACTGATAAGTTCTCATACGGCACGGAATATAGGAAGGCTGTCGGTCCATAGCCTTCAATTCCACCTGAGACAATACCATACATGGACTTTTGTCCACGAAAATGATTCAAAGCATCCCACTCTGCTAGAAAGGGGTCACGAAAGCCAGTTACTTGAAGCCCCTTGGGTTCACCTGTCAAGATTGGATTTTCCGAGCATTTCGTCCATGTTTTTCCATTATCCCTGGATTCGGCGATTGCTAGACCAGCAGCGTTGCGGGGATATGGAGGTGTGCTCCAGTGAAATGGCAGATGGTGGACTGATGAATATATAACTTTCAAAGAACCTTGCTCAGAAGTTGCGGGTGGTGCCATGCAACCTGTAAAGACTCCCGCACGATCATAAGGTTGATCGGGTATTAAAGCGGGCTTGGTGGAGGGTGTCCAGGAAATGAGATCTTTGCTGGTGAGATGACCCCAGGACATCGAGCCCCATTCGGTACCATGTGGGTTGCCTGCTTAACGTAAGTTACATCCAGCCACATCGCCTTGAAATACTTACATTGATAGAAGACATGGTACGACGCCGTCGCCGGATCATAACTGGGAGCACAAGGATCGTTGATCCAACAATCAGCAGTAAAATGCAGAGACGGCTTGGTGCGAGCGGAGTCCATAATTTTGCTGCATTCCAGATTATCATTTTTGTTGAATTTAAAAATAATTTATATGCGACTGCCATTGCCATGTCAAGATACCGATCTCGGCATGTGCCGAACATGGCGGAGGAACCTTGACTCTCCGCGATATGTCCTGCAAGATACCGATATCGGCGTGTGCCGAACATCGCGGAGGAACATTGACTCTCCGCGAGACTTATGAACTTAAAATCCCCAGATTCGACATTTTCCCCACGGGGTAATCGAAAATGCGTTGGGGCGGTGCATATATAACGGCATACTGTCCCCACCTGAGATGTGGGTATAATGCACCGCTACATTGGTGAGGATCTATCACGATGGCCGACGAGTACAGAGTACACACCCTCCGGGAGGTTACAGTGACTGACTTCTCGCCAGAATTGACTACACCGTTATAAACCCTGATAGGAAATGGCAAATGCTTCGCGCGCAGTGGCGGTTTGCTCTTTGGGGTAAGTCTGTGTCCCTCAGACAGTGTACACGTACTTACCTTGTTAGCACTCTGGATATCTAGTGGTGTTATGATGCAGGGCTTCGACATCGTCGCGGGAGGTCAATTAGCGGCGTTGCCTGCATTCAAGAAGCAATTTGGCATGCTTGAACCGTCAGGAAACTATCTCATCCCGGCGTATTACATATCGGCTTGGAGCTCGATTGCCCCAGCATGTGAGATTGTAGCTACCTTTCTTTTTGTTCCCTTACTAGAGAAGTTTGGCCGCAAGCCGGGGATTCTGGTGGCAGCGATGATATCTGTTGCCGGTGTCCTCTTGCAACAGTTGGCTACAGACTGGAGAACTCACCTTGCCGGCAGAGGGGTCAATGGTGAGTGAAGCTCTTCACAAGTGTTCTTCAAGCTGACATCGCCCTAGGAATTGCTATTGGTATCATGTTTACTATATCACCTCTCTGGATCGGGGAGACATGCCGACCAGAGCTACGGGGTTTCTTCCTGTGCTTCTTCAATACTAGTATTGTGTTTGGCCAGTTTGCGATGTTAGTATTTCCTTTACCACCGATGTGTGGCTACTGTTACTAAATCCGTGCAAAGTGTTGTTTTCTCAAAGGGCGGAAGTAGTATCGACGGAAAATGGTAAGTTTGGACTTACAGTGAGCGCTGGGTTTTAACTCACTCAGCATTATACAGGCAGTGGTGGCTCCCGGTGGTGGCCATGTACATCTTCCCACGTACGTACAAAACCGGTCATGCTACTACTATTATTAACATTTTACGTAGTCATTCTTACCGCAGGGTGGGTTTTCTTCCCTGAGTCTCCATACTGGCTAGTCAGGCACGGAAGAACAACTCAAGCAAAAAAGGAGCTAAGGAATATCTACGGCTTCAACGAAGACTCTTTCTACAACATTGAAATCCAAAGAATGGAAGAAGAAATCCGCCTTACAACCGAGATTCAAAGGACATCAGACACAGCTAACCACAAACTCTTTGGCATCGACATGTCCGCAGAGGTCGAGTGCTTCCAAAGCAAAAACCGCAAACGAACCTTCACCGCGATCTTTGCTGCCAGCGCTCAGCAAATGATTGGCGCTACCTTTGTAATCGGCTACGCGACCTATTTCCTTGAATTGATCCACGTGAAAGCTTATTTCGATGCATCTGTGGTTCTTTACATCGTCATGTTTCTGTCCAGTATGGCAGCCTTCCCCCTGACCGAGATTTTAGGACGTCGAACCCTAATAGTCTGGCCACAATTTGCACTGTGCTTTATGCTCTTGGTTATAGGGATCCTGGGATGTGTCCCAGATCAAACCAAAGCCAGTTGGGGAATTATAGTTTTCATCTACTTGTGGGCAATCATTTTCCAGGTCTCCATTGGGGCGACAGGTTTTGTTTTAGCATCGGAAATTGCTACCATGCGTCTTCGTGGTGCAACCCAGGGACTTGTCACCATTTCCAACGCGGTCTGGGGACTAATCATGCAATTTACCATCCCCTACATGGTTAGAAGCGATATGGATTGACTTAGGTATATTGGCTGATCATTTTCGCAGATCAACCCCGATGCAGGAAACTTGGGTGGTAAAGTCGGTTTTATCTTTCTGGCGACGGGGCTTATTGCTGCGATTGGAGGGTGGTTCTTATACCCAGAAACAAAGGTGCGACTTTCCTACCTATGTGGCCTTACCAGTGCTTACCAAATTGTGCTACTAGGGAATCTCGTTCCAGAAGCTTGATGAATTATATGCACTACAAATCGCACCCAGACATTTTCAACAGATGGGAAATGATCTAGGCCTGGTTGAGGAATCAGGCCTAGCCGAGGAGAACCAGAAAGGAGAGAGCTTACATGTTGAACAGAGCTCGTAAAGGTTCTTTATTTTCAACATCAGGCCCGTAGCATATTCTTTGCTAATAATGGCATGGGAGGGTGAATGATCCGACATCTTCTCATGTAAACTAAGAGGAAGTAAAATTGAGGAATCTGGCCTAGTACGAAAGATCTCTTGTCCAATATCTCAGCTCTTAGTGGGAGGCGTTTTCGTGATAATTTCCATTTTCGGCTGGATTACATTACCTCTTACGTTTCGGCGATTTCGATCATGAATGATGACACAGCATGGACTATTCATACATGTTCTTTTACCCCGAGTCGGATTTACCATTGGTAAATCCGACTCGGGGTAAAAGAACAACACAAAGCGATTAGGCGAAGGGAAGGCTAACAATGGAGGAAAGAATAGTCAAATAAACAACATAGATGTCGAAATATGCAGGTAGTTGTTCAAGTGGAATTTGTTAGTGCAATTGGTGTCGTGGGTAAATGTAGCCAAGGCTTGTAGCGAGGGAAAGTCTCCGGAATATTTCTCGGTTAGGGTACTACATACATAGCCCAAGGCCTAATCGAGGGCAATAATCAGCTTTTTTAAATGTTAGAGAACATTAAGCATGAGCATGAGCCTACGTAAGGATGAGTGAGCCGCTCGGTCTGAACTTATTTTCTATTGTGTCTCTACGAATCTTCTCAGAGCTAATTATGGTGGTTTCAATACAGTGGAATAAGCCCTTTCAACGCATTTCTGTCGGTGAAAAAAGGTGGATTGTTATCCATAAACAGCATATACTGCCGTACCATTACTAGTACTGACGAATAACAATACAGAATTGAAACTGACAGGAAAAGAAGAAAAAGACCACCTTCTATACAATGAACCACTTCTTGTTTCATTCTTGATCTTGTTCGAATTGCATCTCCCACACCATGGATGCGAACTCGACGAGTTCTTGTGTCCCAATGACTATATCACGTTCTCCGTTGATTTGTGCGGGGCGTCGAAAAAGAGATTCAAAAGGGATCACGAGCTGAGGTAGAGGATGATGGGGATCAAAGTAGACTGCACCATCAGATTTCCTACTAATGGTCAAGTGAGTCCTGTTGATAGAGCGGGAGGTTTGGGAGCTCCATTCCCACTGATCGATCGTGATCTCGGGCCTTTTTGTATGGAGATTAACTCCGATAGCGACATTGGCCTCCTGTCTTTCCGGATCTATCCAGTACTGAGCATCACGGCGGAGCTTGGCGTAAGTCTCCGAATTGGCGACCTCCAAAACAATCGTGGGTCTCCTAGGAGCGTTTGGGGGGGGGGCTTCGTGGACCCCACCCCCCGTCTGCCTGCTTCCTTGTGCCATCTATGGCAAGCATCACTGTGTCTCCCCAGGATTTAATTGCTTTATGCAGGCCCATTGGCTCAAGGGCCAGTATAAGCATGTCGTTGAAAGCCATTGTGGCTTGTTCGTGCGCCGGGCCGAGCATTTTGACGATAAGGATCTTCGTTTTCGGATTGAAGAATGTATTGGTACGAACAGGAGGATCCGAGTTGATGAAGTCGTGCTCGAAGGTCGTAGGTTCAATAAAGAAGATAAGGTGTTCGCTGTGGTCTTCTTTCTCGGGGCTATAATCTTCGTCTGGCGTATTCTTAGTGTTGTCTCTCTCACCAAGGATATTCTGACGATTACACTCACCTACAAGCCTATTGCGGTGGAAAGTGCGAATGCGCTTTGGCTTGTCCGCCGAGCCGAATTGAAGGGGGTCTTCCGTCTGTGGCAGCGTGATCGAATGGTCTTTGAGTCCTTCCCAACTTGCACCACTTGCCCGCGCTTTTGCCTTTCGTCCAACGCGGAAAGAACCATAGAGACGATCATCCTCAAGCAAGATAATCTGGCAGAAATCGTTCATACCACTGTAGCGATATGCTTTGACCGAAGGAGATAATCCTTCGATATCCTGCCGGCCATGTTCGATGGCGCTATCATTAAACTCGAACATCTTTGCTTTTAGAGAAGAGCTCGGCTGATATAAAGCTTGAGGATAATTTGGTTTATAGAACTGGCAAGAAATCGTCTTTTAAGGCATTAACAAGAAAGCTACCTCATTATGACTGTACTGTGTCGTAATATCTCGTCAGTTTACATCGGTCTGGGAGAGGAACATGGACTGTATGCGATTGGGTGATGGGAGAATTATAGATAGTGTGAGTAGGATGCGACCGCACTAACCTGCCCAGGTAAACTAGAATGTATATAGAGAAAATGAATGGAAATGAGACCATGGACTGAAATAAGCTGGAGAAAGAGCGAGAGGAATAGGGATCAACCTAGAGTAGCAACGTCCTACACTCGCCGAGTCATGGACATCCCACTGAACAATTTTCAGTCATTTGCCTTCCTCGTTTTCTTACCATTCCATTTTTAGGATGCCCTCCACTTCCGGGCTCGCCTTGCCATCCCTTTCAAAGCTCGCCCCTACCACATCCACAAGGCTGATCTTCTCTCGTGGTGCGTTAGGCTCAAGTGAACCGTCGACATGGGTGACGCTCAGCCTGTTGAGCTACTCACCGGTGAGTACATCCAGCCAACGGCTGTTAGGCCACACACAGTCGGGAAATACTTCCCCAAAGGGGGCCAGTCTCGCGCAGTTACTCTATTCCGCAACCTCGCCGTCGACGGCCCACTCAAGTCCTACATTGACGTCGCAGCCAGCGCTTATGCCGCGGACCAAAGCCTTCACAACACTCTCACAAATCACACTTACAACAAGGGCTACGCACAGTTCCCCAATTGCTTCACACTAGAGACACTCGAAGGTTTGTTCAAAAGTGGCATAACGCTGACTTTCCGGTTTCACCGAGTCACCAGCACTGCTAAGAAGTGCGAGCCATTTAAGTGAATATAACTCAGAATTCTAATTTAGATTTAGACGATTAACTAGTTAGATAGTTAGGGAAACCCTAGATCTAGTGCACCTACGGGTGCGAATGCTAAATGCATTAGCCCAGATAATTAGTTAGAATAGAAAGAACTATACGACGATTTAAATATCATATTCGACGTTAGAGATACTACTACGGTAATAATCTAGTCTATTAGTATAGACACTAAAGACGTTCTTAAATAGGTAGATGTAAGAGTATACAGTTTTCAGGTGTAAGGCCAGTCAACCGGGTAAGATACAATGACTTGGAGAGGAACAGGAATGTATTGTCTGTGTGTACCAAGGCTAATTCTTGCCAAAAGGAAAGCGGATTCCGCGGAATCCTGGACTATGTGCCGCCATGCTCACGTGGGAGCCATGTGATGATTCCTTGGCGATACATTCCGACCAATTCAGTCAGGTGACTCGGTCTCCATATTGTAAGGATCTTTATCCGTTACATATAGAGGGTGAGAATCACCCTAGTCGCGCGACTACTGCACTGACCCTCTCAGCTGACACGGTGCGTGATGTGATTGGATTGTAAGTCGAACCTGAAACACTTAGTCCCTTAGCATGTACACACAACCACCAAGTGCGATGCACAGAAATACAAAATACACCGTTGCCATATTATAACTCATACAAGGGCTTAGACTTCACGTTAAAGGCCAGAATTCTATTCCTAGAGTTATTCGATGTATCCGCAGCAGGCTTACAGGCGGAAGCAACAAGGTATCAGGGAAATACAGCGACGAGAACATCGGTGTGTAACTGTAGAGCTATGTAAAAAGCAGGGGGAAAGGAAACCAAGCTAGTAAGCTACGAAGAGCCATGTGATATATAGAAGTGATAGTGCCTTGCGAAAGCGATCTACTAAGTATACTTCTTTGGTCGATCAGGAACTTGTAAGTCCTCATACTTTGCTTCTGACTCAGACAGTCGTAACAATATGAACCAGGGACGTATTAAACACTACTACACATACTGATTGATATAGGTCTTGAACTTAGAACGGAATCACTGAAATTTTGGTGTCACATCTACTCAGAACCCATTGCTTCTCAAGTAGTCACCCAAACCCTCAACAACCGGAGCTGACTCAGCTTGTTGAATGGGGCTCTCATATACTGCGACGACTGCAGTCTGGGTAGTTTTCACAATGATAGCCCCATTTGCACCCTAGATTGGATCATTGAATTAGTTATATGTATAGTAAGATTCCAGATAATGCATTTTATGTCTGTTGAGGCACCTACCTTCTTCAGATATATTGAGGAGTTCGACACCTGTACGGCGAAATATTTTTGCCCATTTAGCTTTAATCCCTTGGCTTGCGTCTGCGACGTATTTTGAAACGCAGATACCACGGCATTTTGCTCCTCGGATGATAGCTGTGAACACTGATTAGTCCAAGCAGTATAATTGATATAGTTCAGCAAAAGTTGAATTCTCACTTGAAATCCTTCGCTAATTGCCCAGACACCACCATTTAGACCGAGGATAGCGGCCTTACTCACTTTGCGTGAGCCGAGCAGCTGATAATCAACGTACTCTAGCCAGATGTTAGCAAAAGTTAGGACGGACTAGGCGATAGTGATGGGCATACGTTGCCAACTCATTTCCGCTAGATATTGGAAGGATATAGAACAATCGTTCTATACGTGACTGAATTCTTCTCCTCGGGGGGAAATAAGGCTCCTCTTATACTCGTGGGCGAACACCACCCACATTAGACAGACACCTTGACTTGACACACATATATTCGCCTGCAGTATGAGGTGCAGTTCATTAAGATCCCCCTCACTGTGGATCCCTGGGGTAATATGCCGTAACTGAGTTCGTTAAGGTGTTGATTGGGTATTCATGCAGAGAATCAGGATTTTGACTTGCATATTGTTAGACACCTAGTGTGATAGATCAAGTAAAACAAAGACAGCATTAGATATTATTGGAGCTATTTAACGAGATCTGTCGATTGTAGATCTATGCCAAGTGATCTTCTAGATAATTTTAACGATTGGCTGATTTATACTTTCTTCGTAGATCGCATTCATAGTTGGGGTGGCGGTCAGGCAGCCACCGATTGATATAATACTCTCAAAGTCTATTTCGTACTAGTTAGCATATTTTTTCTTCGTATATAAGAAGTCGGTCAAGATATATGATATATCCAACCGATAGCGTATTATTTTCAGGATACAATTTCATTTAAATACTGTATCTATCTTACCAAGTAAACAAAGTAACATTCTAGAAAATTAAGCATAGGAAGGCATAGTGACTAGACATAAGTTCGTATACCCCTTAGCCTCCCACGACCTGATTATACTAACTCAGAATTATTTGGTACGATCTAAGTGAGCGAGGTCTTATTACAGGTGCGCTATAAATGGGTGATTAGATACGATACTGAGCAGAGAGGTCCTCTAGCCATTTTTTCATATTCCGTGGGATATACCGGGAAGAGAGCATGAGAATAAACAAATGTTCGCCTGGGTCGACCTTGCCTCTATGCTAGTAAGACGATTGGATTGGCACGAGCATTCTTTGACACTGGCGGGAATGTACATACTCTCTTCCAGACTTATCGTCCTATAGTTGCGGACGAGGCCATAAAATACCTTGGGAGTGATAAGGATATGAGCTGGCCTTTAGATAGTGACTGTGACTGGCGGAAGACTTTGAGGTCTGGTCTGCGCAAACCTTCAAGATATATTCAAGAGTGCCGAGTTCTAAACATCTAACCCAAAGGACAAAAGGAGATAGAAAAAGCCTTGTAAAAAGACATTGCATGGCAGTAATTACATGTGAATGGAATCCTACGAGATTGTTTGGTAGACTGGGAAGCGCTTTTGGGGAAATTGCGAATATACGTAACATCAGAGTGTAGTCGCGTCAACGAGATCAAATGGCAAGGTGGGTAAGATAACACAATATCCATAGATTAGATAGTTCAAGGTGGGACTGCCACAGCTCAAACACTCTTCACTAAACCCATCACTAGACAGGAACGATAATTCACCATATTTGCCTCGATAACCAGTACGTAGCATTCAAAACATCAAATTCTCCTTGGCGTCTTTGTTTACGACATGAAGTCCCGGCCTAACAGATTATTTTTCTTAGACAACTTAGGAGGCCTCCTCTGTAAAGAAAGCTTAGACGGATAGAACCGTCTCAGTGGTGTCATGTATACATGGGGAAAGTGTTCATAGAAGAGATATATTTTGGAAAGTATCTATATTAGATCGCTTGAGACCGATTTCTGAAGAGATCCTGTCACCACTCATGGACATGCCATATCGCAGTATTGATTACGATTTTAATTTTTTTTTCTTGGGAAATATATAGACAAATAGGAATGTTAAATTGACGCCTTATCAATAAGTTCGCATTAGGGCATCTAATTAAATATAATATTCACTACTAACAGGATTTTCCCTCGTTTCCCCAATTGGGAGTTTCAGAGCTTTTTCCATCAATAGATATACAGGAACTCATCGTTTTCCTTGTCCGTGATGTCCTTGAAGGGCATGCCCTCCCCTTGCTCCGCCTGAATCTTACTATCGATGCCAACCTCGGCGGTCATAGAGGTATCCTTGATATCACTAGCCTTGCCGTTGGCAATTCTGCGCTTCTTGTGCTGCTTGTTCAAGAACCAAAGGTTAAGGGTCTGAATACCCACGCAGCCAAGCAAGGCAATGAAGAGACCGAGCACAGCACGTGTACCCTGAAGATAACCCGGAGCCTGATCAGCGGTGAACAGGAGGGGACCCGAGAGGGCACCAGCGGAAGTACCGGCCTGGTAGAATGCAACCATGGTGGACATCTTGGCAGCACCGGCGGTATTTCCAACGACCCAAGAGAGAAGAAGGGGATTGGCGGCATAGATGAATGAAGTCAGGTAGTATGCAAAGAGCAGCGGTCCCTGGTTTTTCTTTTCGTTATGTGGGAGCGCGTAAAGAATGGCGATTCCAACCACCACAGGAAGCATAAAAGCAGCCAAAACGGCAGACTTGACCTTAGCCTTGTGGGTGGCCCAGCAGCTAAGAATGATCACGATCGTTGTAATAGCTCCATAGGGAATGTTGAGTAGGGCAGCCTGGAACTTGTCGAAACCGAAACCAGTCACGATGAGAGGACCGAAAAGACTAGGCAAGGCCGATCCCATGTTCGGGAGCAAGGCCATCGTAACGAAAAGCCAGCTCTTAGGTTCTAGGAAAACCTCAAGAGCCTGCGACCACTTGAATTCGTAGGAGGTTGCACTGTTCTGGTTGGCACGGAGACGCTCAACCGCCAGGTGTCGCTCGTTTTCAGTAAGGAAACGGGCAGTAGTAACGTCATTGTCAAGCTTCCAGTAAATGAACGGTGCGGTGACGATAGTGACAAGACCAACGAATAGGAAAATACTGTATAATAGTGTCAGCGGTGTTCAAAAGTATAGCGATCTCGAGCATCTTACATCTGCCACGGCTTCAACACATCAGACTGAATATGGCCAAGACCGTAAGCTAAAGAAGCAGCCACCATAGTACCTGTGCCGTTACCAGAGTACCAAAGGGCGATACGAATCGGCTGTTCGATACGGCGGTACCATCTACCGGTGAGAATGGTGAAGAGAGGCATGCATCCGGCTTCAAACAGACCCATAAAAAAGCGAGCGGCCATGAAGGTTCCGAAAGTATTGCAGGCCGCCATGCATGCCACAGCGATACCCCATCCGAGAATCATGGTCGGCATAAGAATACGGGGGGGGAACATTGACCAGGATCCATGCGGAGAATGGCTGCCACGCCAGTTGCGCGGCGGGGGCAATCGTTCCAATGAGGGAATACTGGTTCCCCACAAGACCCATATCAGACTGGAGATTGAACAGCGCCGCCGTTCCCAAAACACCTTTATCCAAAATCTGGTAGACGGTTAATGAGAATCATATGTAATCCGGGTATTACTCGGTGTGTCTTTACCTGTAGGAAATACACCCAGATGAGGATGAGGAGGATGACCACATCGGTCTTTTTCTTAATTCGATCATTCTATAAACAGTGGTCCCATGGTGAGCGATGTTCTTCTGTTGGGGAATGTTGTGAAGTGTACCTCTTCTTTGGTGACAGTGATCACCATACCTTCCGCGATCTCCTTTGCAGACGATGCATCAATGTCTACCTTGGGAGACTCCATTTCGATAGAGCGTTTGATATTCTGGTCCGCCATGTTGATTGCCTCCTTGCGACGTTGCCGTGGAATGCAAGGTTGGAAGAGAGAGGTATGGTATGCAATGTTTTTCTGTCAAGGAAATGCCCTGGATCTTATGTTCCCCCAAATCACTCTTCCGATAACACAGTGCCCCTGATAACCTCTTGATAATATCTGGGGCAAGTTAATTAAACGGCCAATCTCTTCCTTGGATTCCCGCATACCCCGCTTAGCCAAGTTTACACACCCCGGATTAGTACACCATCGACTCCCATCCCCATCCGGGATCTAAAGCGAGTACCGGAACTTCCTTTGGACCGTTGATAGAGCACAGCCTCATTTGATTGGACCATAGAATCCTTTTTCTCTTTCACTCAATCTCCCCGCTTCGGTACAGCCTATCGGTTAGAGAAAGCTTCTCATCGTTAGAAGATTAACATGATTAGTCTACGCAACCAATCGGGTTCACTGAGATACATAGAATTAGGAGCATTCAAGATCAGGTGAGTACGGGCTGTGCTTGACTGATTCCGCTTTTTAAGCTATACTGCCGAGGACCGAACCAAATTCTAATCTAATCGCGAAGGGGTTGAAACTCATACCGTATCTGCGTGGCAAGGTCGTGTATTTTGTACGTAATAGCTTCATTTTCAGGGTTATTATAGCGAGAATGGTAAGCCTAGACTATCCAGAAACACTACAAGAGGCATACATTGAGTCCCTGAAGGTTTCGCTAATTCTACATGGGCTGCTGGTTAAGTTCTTGGAAATCTCTTGGTGTAAATCGATACTCGATTAAGATTCCTGCCCCTGGCCTACTCCCAGCCGATCGGGTCTACTCTGCCGAAGCGATCGGCTCGGAAAACTAGGGGGTGCATGCGTCGATCCGACGTATTCGTCCATCGAAACTAACGGCTGGCTTTTCATTTGCATTATCTGAGATGTGGATCAACGGATTTCAGGACAGTTCGCCTCATATTCCCCGGTAAGCTAATTTGATTTAATTTATTTCCAAGCTCCATGGCGATGGATCCCATCGAATTAATCCTCTATCATGCTAGTGGATCCTCCATCTCTCTATTTCGCGGGGTATCTCAATCTATTTTGCACAATCGAGATGCACACTGTTGGATCGTTTGGCCTATCTCCAATAAGTTCAGATACTGTGTCGTTCAAGTAGTTGCTGGCAAAGTTCCATGTAGCCTTACTAAGTATATAAGGCTGTATGCACTCCCCACAAAAATAGAATCATTCACCATTTCCATCTCGGCCTCCAAATCTCCACTTCGATTCTCCACTTTTTCTCCATTTGCGGGGGGTTCAACATGTTCCACAAAATGAGGCAAGCCTCCTTCTTGAGTGTCCTTGGTCTGTTTACAGTCCTGTCTGTAGCAAACCCGGTTGGACCCTTGGAAGCGAGAGCAGCGGTGCCTGAGGTTAACCTCGCCACCAAGGGCGAGGGACCCATCGCCCAGTATCGCATTGTTGCGTTGACCTACCTAGGCAACAACGTCATCCTCGCATCTTACGATGGCCGTCCCGACGGAGGAGATTCCCCGTCTCCGAACTCCATCCTGCAACGCCGTAGTACGGACAATGGCGCGACCTGGGGTGAGCCCACCTACATCGCGAAAGGCCAGATCAAGAGTTCCACGGCCCTCCAGTATGGCTTTAGCGATCCTAGCTACATCTATGACCACAAGACTGGGAAGGTGTTCAACTTCCACGTGTTTTCTAAGGATCAAGGCTTCAACGGCGGCGTCCTTGGCAATGATGACACCGATCGCAACATTATCAGCTCTGAAGTCTCGGTCTCAACCGATAAGGGTCTTACCTGGTCTACGGACCCTTCGAATCAGCCTAAGCTCCCCCCGGTCGCCTCTAGCAAGGCCGGTGCTCCACCACTTCTCACCAAGGCAGTCAAGCCGAACGGTAGTACCGTGAATGGAGTCGCCAATGTGGGTGGTGTTAGAGCTATGTTTGCCTCATCTGGGGAGGGTATCCAGCTCCGATATGGACCCAAGGCTGGACGCCTTGTACAGCAGTTTGCCGGAAGTGTCGTTCAATCCGACGGTTCGAAGGTCAACCAGGCCTACAGCGTCTACAGCGATGATGGAGGTGCCACATGGCAGATGGGTAAGCCCATTGGCAAAGGCATGGATGAGAACAAGGTGGTTGAGTTGTCGGACGGTACCTTGATGGTGAACTCGCGCCCCGGTGATGGAAGTCAACACCGCATCATTGCGCTCTCTAGTGATGGTGGCGAGACTTACGGTACCCCCCGCAGCGAGACTCAGCTCCCCGACCCCGCGAATAATGGTGCTATCACACGGGCCTATCCTGATGCTGCCCAGGGCTCTGCCGAGGCTAAAGTTCTGCTTTTCACCAACGCCAACAGCAAGACCTCTCGCGTGAACGGTACCGTTCGCTACTCTTGTGATGATGGAAATACTTGGTCCTCTGGCAAAGTATTCAGAAGCGCTACCACTTCGTACTCCACAATCACTCCTATTGGTGATGGCAAATTTGGACTGTTCTTCGAGGCCGCGAACAACGATCTGCAGTTTGTTGCTCTTACCAAGGAATGGATTGGCATTTCTTGCTAATTTGTGCCCATCGCCCCTGAGCGGTCTGGTCTGGCAGGTCTCCGTTTCACTGGGCTTTACCTTTGTGGCTCAGACTATTTAATCTTATATCCTATTGCACCCTTTGCGTGCTTCGCAATCGAATATATCTTCAGTGTATATCTCACGTCGCCTCTCTCTTCCCATGTATCATATACAGGGCCTACGTAGATAGCATAATTTCTCAGGTGTATTTCAGGTCGTCTAGGGATGCTCAGTAGGCTCAGAGACCATACTGTTTCCTGGAAAAATCAGACGCTCGGGGACTCACATAGGCAGGTTGCATAGGCATCTGCAGTGAGCGACCTACCTACTTTGGTAGGTCCCGATGTAGGTCCATGGCCGCCGGGATGCGAAGCTGAGGGGCCAAGATTCGAAACCCCTTTAAACCCCCTTTTAAATAACGTCACTGATAAGAGACTCACCATTGTAAGCGAGTCAAGGCCTAATTACGGGAAAGCTTCTATCTTAGAAAAGTTGGCAAATGCTTATCAGGTTAATTAAAATTGCTCACAATCTCCCGAGGTCCGCTCGAATGCTACATCGTTATATCTTTCATGAGTAGCGCTAACTCTTTGTAGCAGACCAAGTTATCTTCCTTCTCCGATCCTTTTTAGTCGAGAGTGAAGCCACGTGGTATCGCAAGTCTCTCATTTTTCCTAAGGCGTTGTTGGAATTTTTGTTCTATGTCTATGTTGAGTATTAGGGGAAATTGTGGTAGAGCAGGAGAACTGCCCAAGACGACGCTTTTATATAGTTAAGGGACGCCAGGTCTCACCCCACTGTTGACCTATGAGCGCGCTCGCCCTCGTTAAGATGTGAAGTTCCAACCTTCCTGATCTCCAACCGCCCATTAACCTGAGGTTCGTCGAGGTTCAATCTCCATCGACCCTCATGAACCTGTATATGCATAATTTCTTGACGTCTTTCCTCTTTTGGCTAGATAAAATCGATTAATGATTGATTATTCAGCTTTGTTTTTATAGCTGTTCTGTCAACCTTCAAACCCATCACTCGATTCTTTATCACTACGACGTATTTTAATGAAATAATAATGTAAATATAAATTAAAAAGGTGGTCATCTAGGAATCAATGATAAAATTTGATAAAATCGATAAATTAGTGGTTTACGACCGTGATCTAAAAATATATCAGAATTCATGATGTAAATTTCCAGATATATATATTCGAACCACTGCAGCAATAGTACATATTCATCGACATCATCTTATCTTATTTGAATCATCTGAATTGTACATTATATCGGGAGTTTATTAAATCATTTAAATCACTAGAATAATTTTAACCTAATTACTATTAGATACGACGAAACTGGTGGTGAGCTATGCACTTAGAAAAGTCATGTTTATCATGTTTGTCTAACCTCTGGTTCACCCGCAGGTAACCTCTTGAGGTTCGTGAGGTTCACCCGCGGTTCCCAGCCAGGTGTATTCATAGTGATGCACGAGGGAAGAGAAATCAAAAAGGACACAAAGTACACGTGAAGGGAATCACAGCTCTGAGAAGGTTTAATAGCCTTTCTGCTTTCTCTGATTTCTTCCTATTGCTAGAGATCCTGATTGTTACATTCCTGCCATAATTCATAAAAGATCGAGCTATATATACGATACTCCAAATCATCACAAGCATCCCGTTCCAGATTCCATCTTCACACGACAACCAATCACCTCCCTCCCTAGAACAAAGGCAACTTAGCCGTATTTTCATAATCCACATTCCCCTCTATAGACTCAATACGCTCCATACAAGTCCCAAAAATCCGATCCCACAGCCTCGTCTGTTTACCATAGTTATAACTCTTCCGCCAGCCCTTCCGATGATGCAAATCATGGTCCTCAATAACAATCTCCGCATCAAACATCGACAACAACCAGCTCAGCGTCGAGGGCACTGTCGAATGTATCCGCAGTCCACTATGGCCAAACACTTCCGCAAACACAACATATTCATGGCAAATCCACCACTCATAAAATCCCATCGGTAAACCAAGTAGTTTCAAACTGAAGTACGTCATCACCGGTACGCCGACCATATCGAAGAATTCCTGCTCGTGGTCTGCGTATGCGGCGAGGAGTGGATTCGGATGTTTGGTCAGGTGGTGGGTTCGGTGGTATTTCCATAGATAGCTCACGTCGTGCATCAGTCGATGGTACCAGTAGAACCAGAAGTCGAGGACAATGCCGTATAGTCCGATTTCGAGAGGGAGCCAGACCCAGGACATCTGCGAGGGCTTTTGGGTTTGGCTATAGGAGAAGATAATCGAGAGGATCAGTCGAGACCCGGTGGTTTTGTATAGGGAGGCTACTACTTTGGCCACGCCGATATCAGGAACGCCGTCGCGCTCATGCTTGTCGCCGTCTAGAAAGCCATGTTTATGACCGAGACGCCGGAGGATGTGCACTTGGTAGATCACTGTCACGTTGAAGGCGAAGAAGTAGAAGTTGAAGGCCGTGATTGGGCCTATGGTACGGCCGGTGAATGCCATGTAGGTCTCATGGATGAGGAGGGGGAGGGCGGAGTAGAAGAGAACCCAGCGCTGGAGATACCACTGGGGCATGTACGGCACTTTTTCATCTTTGCTGTGCACTGGTATCTCCTTGTTTAGGTCGATGGGGTGGGCGTTGAGCGCATCTATCAAATAATGACTGATGTTCCATTCGCTGCGAGGGGCTGTGCGCCATGTCGACCGCATGGAATCTTTGGAGAGTGGTTTGGAGTCCATGATGGATGCCCGAGTTGAATTCTGCGGCCGTCCATAGCGGCGGGGATTGTGTTTATATCATTCCCATGAGGAGATCGGTTATGAAGACCCTATGTGAATAGCGAGTTGTGAACTTCCCCAGATGGACGAGTTTACCCCAACAGAACTTACAACTCAAAATGAACAGGAAATGGTAGAGGGACTATGCTAATCAGGCGAGGATCGGCTGCATGTGAATTCCCCACAAAGTTGGCGTTGGAAGGCTAAACCTCGTCTGGACATTAAAATGGGGTTTATGGGGTCCATCATTACACCAAAAAGGGAACCATTGCGATCTGATGTGTGAAAATCGATCTCTACCCAATAGTAGGCGAGAAAGACGTGGGCCAAGATGAGCCGACATCCTGCGCTTGGCTTGAGCCTCGGTATAGCAACCTTGATGTCCATGAGTCGATCAGTTTCGATTGGGGTTTCTTATCATTTTTACGTGCGAAACGTTTTGAACGTGAAGTCAAGAATTTTCGAGGCCATATGTATATGTACGGTAGATTGCTTCGTACCAAAGATTCCTGAAGCTGATTACCTCTTGACGAATACAATGTGAGGAAGTGTATACCAAAAAGATAGGTGACAAAGTTAAGATCGCTGGATTCAAAATTATGGGATGTAGAGGCAAGTACCCCGTATATAGGACAGACTAGATGCAATACACAGGCAAATCCAAGGAGAATTGGATCATGGCGGTCAGCAGTGATGCGGGCACCAGCCCGCATATTCTGATGGATACGCAATCCTGTATACTTCATCATTGGGGGAGGGCTGTTGGTTTGATAAGCACCTGGACATGTGTCCAGGAGTGAAGATGCAACCCTCGTTGAAGTGTATCTTTGAAATTTGCATTTTGCAGGATCATTTTGATCCAAACTATTGACGCAGTCATATAGAGACAAGATATCTAACTATAAGTCTAAACGTTGGCTACGACCGGCGCAGAAGTGGCCTCAGGGTTCACATGAGGCGGAGCAGGGGCATCCGGTCTGGGCGCCGGCTTCTCAAAGCTCTTCATGGGGTAGTATCCCCAGCGATCGAACATGATACGGTCCTCATCCCAGCCAGTACAGTCGGTAGTGAGCATCTTCTCACCGGTGAAGATAGCGTTAGCGCCAGCTTGGAAACAGGCAACCTGCTGCTCTTCTGTGAGCGCGATGCGACCGGCAGCCAGGCGGACGATGGTACTGGGCATCACAATACGGGCAGTAGCGACGGTGCGCAGCAAACGGTCAAAGGGGATCATCTTACGGTCACCGAGAGGAGTACCGGGGATGGGGACGAGGGCATTGACGGGGAAGGATTCAGGGTGGGCGGGCAGGCTAGAAACCGTGTGCAGCAGACCAATACGGTCGGCGTCAGTCTCGCCCAGACCGAGGATACCGCCGGAGCAGACGTTGATACCGGCGTCTCGCACGTGTGAGAGCGTCTTCAGGCGCTCGTCGTAGGAGCGGGTGGTGATGATCGTCGGGTAGAATTCACGCGAGGTATCGAGGTTGTGGTTGTATGCGGTTAGACCAGCCTCCTTTAGTTCCTTGGCCTGGTGTTCGTCGATCATGCCTAGGGTCACACAGACTTCCATGTTCATCTCGCGGATTCCGGTAATCATCTGCTTCACATTCTTGAGACTGGTCTTGCGGCCACGCATGTCGCGCCATGCTGCGCCCATGCAGAACCGAGTGCTACCATTGGCCTTGGCATTGCGAGCCTTGGTGAGGACCTCGTCAACGGGGCTCATCTTGGTGGCCTTTAGACCCGTGTTGTGCTTGGAGGACTGGGCACAGTACGAGCAATCTTCACTGCATCCACCGGTCTTGATGTTCATCAAGGTGCACATCTGGATAGCTGCGGGGTCATGGAAACGGCGGTGGACAGCAGCCTGTGGGGAGTCAGTTTAATTGAAGGTCGGAATCAGGTCGTATAGTGAATGCCACTTACCGCCGCATATGTGAGTTGGCTCAATGGAGTCTCATAGATCTGCTTGACTTCATCTCGAGTCCATGTGGTCCGGGGAGCGGTAGCACCCGTGGCATCAGTCAGAGTGATGGGGATGCTGGTCAACGAGGCCCCACTGGGGGAACCTTGGACAGTGCCGTAGGACCGCACCAACGTACGAGACAATGACCGGATAGGAAGCGACATGGTGATATGGTGTAAGGAAAGAAGAGAAGAGAGTATATGACTCCCGAGGTCAAGAGGGGCAGAGATGATTCACCGGGGACAAGCGTGTGGAGAAGAAATTCTGTCGGCTCATTGGACTCGTGTTAACAGGGGCGAAGTTAAAATGTTGACTCCGTTGACCTTGTTGACTTGGCTATTATTTGTTTGATTCTTCACGTCATAATAGCCCGAGGGTTGAATCCTCCGTTGAATCATCCCAACATGTGAGACATTGAAGGCTAGCATCGGCTTAACTCTTATTTGCGGGTTATGATTTACCTTTATATTCTCCAGATAAAAACATACACATTATTCTCTATTATTCCAATCCTCTCCATGTTTCTTTCCTTTTGATAAAATCCCTTCATGTTGAGCTGTTTGCGTCATCCAGCTATCCACATTTCCTCCAACCAATGATATCTCGTATATTAACCATTGAGATACAGACATGTTAGCAATTCCAAATAATTCCCATAGCCTTTACGATATGTATCAAACCCCAACTCTATAGGACTTTCCTGCAATTGCATCCCAATCCAATATACACAGCAACCCAAGCCATGACCCAAGCAAAATAAATGGCAGAACGGAGATCCCCATAAAAAGCACCCATCTCGGCATATCCGACAATGACCACCGAATACTCAGTTCAAGCTTGAAGCGGGCTGGACCCTTTTTCACATTCCCTGCGCGGTCACAGAATCGAGGACTGTATTGAATCTTGAAAAGGCTGCAAACCATGATCCCATATTGTAGGATGAACCCAAAGAAGCATGACCACAAGGTGATGGGTGTATATACCTCATGGACATCGGTTTGAACAGACGCGGACTTGCGAATTTCTGTAGGGGGTTGAATCACCGTGTCTCTTCCAGGTTCACCACCTTCGATGGTTTGATCTTGGTGGATTTCCGTTGGTTCTTCATAGCTTAGGCTACTCGTTTGAACCGATCCATTACACTCGATGGTATGCGCCTGTCTTCGAGTCGTGATTGGCTCTGGATCGACAGGCTCATCGATGATCTCAGAATGATTTTCTCGGCGATGTTCTCGCGTCGGATTCTCCCTTTTAGCTTTAAACTCCTGCACCATGTTCCTCCATATAGTATAGGCGGCATCCTGCTCCCCATTGTGCTGCCGATGGACTAGCAACTTTGCGAGATCGTTGATTGCATCCTTCAATGGTGGGCTACCTGGTCTGGAGCAATATATGCAGCACTCGAGTATGCATAATGCCTTTCTTTGTCTATCGCGGGATATCGGGGCCCTGCAGTTTTGGCCTTTGAGAGTCTTTCCCAGACAAGGTATCTTTCCATGTAGCGGGATCACACGGTCATCGAGAGCTCGCTTCAAGGGGGTGCAAGTGGTATGGCACGACATTATTTGCTACTGGTGAATGATTGAGAGATGGTTTGTCGGGAAAGCGCCGAGGACTTTTAAGAATGACTCGGTTGAATCAATTTCATGTTGGAGCAACCTCTTGTTTTATATTGCTAACAGATCCCATTCCATATCTCTTCCTGTGAAGCCACAGCGAGAAACATAGCCACATCTATGATGTAGGCAGCGATGTTCCTACGGCGCTTAACAGGGGAACTGCAGTAATCGAGAGGCTGTGCTTCGTTGGTTAGATTATCTCTGATTTTGCTTCGCGCAAGCTTGGAAGCAAATTATAAAACATGGATATCTGACTGGATTTTCAGGTACAATGGTCTACGTTATTAACTAGTTATACTCATTGCCAAAGTCAAGGCCACTCTTTTTCAAGGCAGATTCAAGGAACGGAAAAAAGGTACTTTGGCATCAGTTAGCAGCTAGCACCAGACCCCTGCTTAGTGCATTGCAAAGTGTAGTACGTTGTATCCCCGATGTAACAGACCGAAGTTGGGTCTAAATAAGGAATAAAATTAACACTGCCTCTTATCTGAGCTCTACATGACGCAAGATATCACAGACTTTTCAATCTAAGTACATTGAGTTAATTAATTCGACTCAAGTTCAACATATTCTACTTTAGTGGACTCTAATTGTTGAAGTGCCATCGCGTCCCAGGAGTGGATTGTTTGTTGGGATGATCAAGTCCCACCTCAACATCTCAGCAATTTTATTAGGATCTTTATGTTGAAACTTATTAACAAACGTTAGATCATCAAATATGAACGATTTATGCATATATGCGACCGAGGCCAGGATTATTCACCTTCCCCGCATTTCTTTGTATATGAACTAGTCTGGCGAATAACCCAAAATGAGATCTGTGCCGAGGTCAGCGGCAATTGAGATCCCCTCACTTCTATACTTATACTAGATAACTCCCTTGTATATCACAGGATCACTAGATTGCTAGGGAATATGGATATAGGTGCGAGGTGAAATACTGGTTACAATTGATCTTACTGACAAATGATAGGAACCGCCGCCGCTGCCCTCTTCGGAGGAGCCACAGTCGCAGGATATCTGAATGCCAAGTTTCATATCCAGAAGGATGTATCATCGTTGGTCGCGCTGAAGCATGCAGAGCGACAGTATGCCAATGCTAGTATGGTTATACTATTCCCACAATTGCAATGCACATACTGATCAGCCCTTAGTTAGTCAAAGCCAAGGAAATCCATGGTTCGTCCTACTGCAGACCGCGAAGCAATACCCTAACATGATCTGTCTCTGGACCCGTGAGAGATCATATACCTACCGACAAATCCGAGACCAAGCCTGTCAATATGCCCACTTCTACCTATCACAGGGCGTGAAGAAAGGCGACCTCGTTGCCCTCTACCTTCAGAACAGCAACGAGTATATCGTCGCCTGGATCGCGCTCTGGAGCATTGGCTGTGCGCCCGCAGCAATCAATTACAACCTTACCGGTGACGCATTGCTGCACTGCCTGAAGATCAGCGACGCGAATATTCTCCTCGTCGACGACGATGCCGGATGTCGTGCCCGCATCGAGGAAAGCCAAGAAGCAATCACACGCAATCTGGGAATGAAGCCGATGATACTAGACAGCTCCCTAAAGGCGCATATTACAACCTTCCCAACAGCGCTCCCACCCAAAGAATTAAGCAAGCATGTGGCCGGTGAGTTCCCGGCGATTCTCCTATACACTTCAGGCACAACGGGCATGCCTAAGGGCTGTGCGTTCACCATGTCCAGACTTTATACCAATCTCTTCATCCGCCGAGCCATGATGGGAGATAAGGTCGGTCCGGACGGTGATCGCTGGTACAGCTGTATGCCTTTATACCACGGCACTGCGGCTATTGCCATGATCGCGTGTCTGGTAATGGGTGTAAGCATCGCGATCGCGCCTAAGTTCAGTGTCAGTAGATTCTGGACAGATGTCCGCGACTCGGAGTCGACTGTTTTCGTGTATGTTGGAGAGACTGCGCGGTATTTGCTCGCGCCGCCTCCATCACCGCAGGATCAAAACCATAAGGTCCGCTGTATGTACGGTAATGGTCTCCGACCGGATATCTGGGATCGGTTCCGCGAGCGGTTTGGAGTCGCTGAAGTGGGAGAATTCTTCAATAGCACAGAAGGTGTCTTTGGTCTCTTTAACTATAACCGCGGTCCTTTCACGTCTGGAAGTGTCGGTCACCACGGTTTGATCATGCGCGGTATATTGCATAATGTCTTTGTTCCTGTTGCGATCGACCCGGAAACTGGAGACATCCTGCGAGATTCGAAGACTGGGTTTGCGGTTCGCTCGCCTTATGACCAGGGAGGCGAAATTATCGTCAACGTTCCCGGTGAAGACGCTTTCCAGGGGTACTGGCACAATGATGAGGCGACTAATAAGAAATTCTTACGCGATGTCTTCAAGAAGGGAGATCTCTACTATCGATCTGGAGATGCTCTACGTCGACAGGGCGATGGCCGTTGGTATTTCCTCGACCGACTCGGTGATACCTTCCGCTGGAAGAGTGAGAATGTGTAAGTTGCACACCTTAAAGCGTTCCTGGGGATTTGGGAAGAAAGGCTAATAATAGTGCCAATGCAAAAGAGCAACTGCCGAGGTTTCAGAAGTTCTAGGCCAATTCCCTGGCATAACCGAAGCCAACGTGTACGGTGTCCGTCTTCCCAATCACGAGGGTCGCGCCGGGTGTGCAGCAATTCAAATTAGTCAGCATGCCCGTCAGACATTTGATTACGCAGCGCTTGCGAGATTCATACGTTCCAAGCTACCAAAATATGCTGTGCCGCTATTCCTCCGCATCGTCGAGAATCCCACTCATATTCACAACCATAAACAGAACAAGGTGCCACTTCGTGCCGAGGGTGTGGATACTGCCTTGATTGGGACTAAAGCTCCTGAGGGTAAAGATGACTACTTCTTGTGGATTGCACCTGGTGATGAAAGTTATTCACCCTATGGACAGGAAGAGTGGGAGAAATTGTCGACTGGGGCTGTTCGGTTGTGAGCTGCGTGATTATACAGATTCTGAATATGATTAGATCTTCGCTATAGGTGTTTCAGAGCACCAATTCTATTTTATTCAGACTAGATATCCAGATTGTGCATATATCAGAAATTTGAATGTGATGAAAGTGAACTGAAAGCAATCTCAAAGCGATCTAGAAGTATTGATAGGTTATGGATTCACAGGGAGAGTTACGTAAATACGACTGACTCATACTTGAAATCTAATCGATCAGACTGTCGCAAAAGCAAGTTGTCTATGAACGTAATTCTGTCTAATCTGATGAGGTAAACACCAGAGCAAAAAGTGAAAGCAGGTTCTTCCTTAAGAAGCGAACGAAAATAAAAAAGCAGGAAAGCTCGCTTCAAATCAAATCCATCATTTGAACCGTCGAGGTCAAGGAATTTTAAGTCGCACCGGGCAACCATATTGGCCTCTATTTCTTGAGAAGGCCCAAGAGGTTGATGCTCTTGGGGCGCTCAATGGGCATGCCAAGAACACGATCCCAGATCAGCTGGGACAGGGGGCCAAGAGCACGGCTGACACCGAAGGCGACGGTATAGTAAAGGGGCTGCTGGAAGCCAAAGTGGTGGAACAGGACACCACTAGCGGCATCGACGTTGGGGTATGGGTTCTTGGTCTGTAAAAAGGTGAAAAAGTCATTAGTTGGGAAAGGGATTCGTGGTGTTCAGTTGTTATTGGACATACCTTTCCGTGCTCGGTAAGCACACTAGGAGCAATCTCCGAGTTCTTCTTGACCAGTTGGAAGACTGGGTTGGCCAGAACGTCGGGGCGGGTTGCGGCAAAGTCCATCAGAGCCTCGAAACGAGGGTCGGGCTTGCGCAAAACGCCGTGACCATATCCAGGGACCACACGACCCGACTTGAGGGTATCCCAGAGATAGGTGCGAACATCCTCATCGGTGAACTTGGTTCCGATCTTTTCCTGCATGGCAGTAACCCAGCGGAGAACCTCCTGGGCTGCCAGGCCGTGGAGTGGGCCAGCCAGACCCAGAAGACCAGCGCTATAGCTCAGGAAGGGATCGCCGAGGGCACTTCCAACGAGGTGGGTGGTGTGGGCTGACACGTTACCACCTTCGTGGTCACCGTGCAGAGCAAGGTAAAGACGGAGCAGGTCGTGGAAGTCAGCATGCTCTGAGCCACCCTTGCCCAGCAGCTCTGCGAAATTGTGCGACCAATCCTGAGCGGCGTCGAGCTTCTGGGTGCCCACGGCATCAATTTCATTAGGACGGAAGACAAGTGCCGCCACGCGAGGAATCTTGGCAAGGAGGGAGATACTGTCGTCAAAGGTGGGCTCCCAGTAGTCGGCCTTGTTGATGCCGTTCTCGTAGGCCTTGGCGAACTTGGACTCAGTGTTGAGGGCTGCGACCGCAATTGACAACTGGGTCATAGGGTGCATAGAAGCGGGGAAAGACTTGAGCAGGTCTAGAATGTAGGAGGGAAGTTCGGACTTCTCGGCCAACTCGCGCGAAAAGGCACGAACTTGCCCCGTGGAGGGCACCTGGCCCGTCAACAACAGCCAGAACATAGCTTCGGGCAGCATTTCTGTGCCAGTTGTGCCCTTGGGCAACTCCTTCTGGCAGTCCTTGATTGTTTTGCCGTGGAAGCGGATACCCTCATCCGCATCCAGGACGGAGCCCTCCCAGAGCATGGCCTTGAGGCCACGCATACCACCAATGACATTGCCGACTTTTACGTCACCAATCACATCTTCACCCTGGGCCTTGACCTGCTTGAGAAGTTCCCGCTTAGCCGGGATGACCTCCTTCAAGGTAGTCTTCAGGTCGGGCTCGGCGGTCGCATAGTGACGCGCCGAAAGGGCAGGTCGTGCTGCCTGTTAAGGGTTAGCGGTCCTGAAAAGCCAGATAATATCCCAAATCAACATTTAGACTCACCTGGGCAAGCTTAGAGACATGCCGGGTTGATCTCCAACTAAGGGCCATTTTGTGTGGTATTGATGGAGTCCGGGGGTGGGTTTGCGGGGGCGGAGTTGAATTGCGGGGATGAAAGGGGATGAAAGAGGATCAATCTGAACAACAATTGAGTGAACCTGGAATTGACCCTGATGATAAATGTACAAAAGGAAAGAAAGAAAATAGTGAGAATGATCGACTTGGCCCAATGCAGGTCGGTTGGACGCGGGGCACAAGGGGGGTTGTCTACCGAGGCCCGGGGCCATGCGCGGCCATGTCGGCTCAGCTTGTACAGGGATGAAACGTATTGCAAGGTGAACATCTGGGCTATTTCATAATTAGCTCTCGACAAAATAGTAGGACTTATATTTTTCATTGGCATGATTATGCATGACTATACAATATCTACTAACATACTTGAGGAAGGCTGGACTTTCGGATTGATGGAGATAAGGCCAGGGGTACTTTATTCCCCGATGAGCCTCGGGGGGGTTACCACTAAAAAGGAACATCCATTTACCCGTCAAAGTGTCGGTCTGCCTCTGATTGTCGTGACGTAGAGTCCTCCTTCTTATTAACAGCCTCAGGCATATATATGTTAATGCCTCAGGCATATTTAAACTCAGATTGCCAGGCACCAAGGCATTAAGGCATTACGGCATCAAATGTCACGGATCCAATCAGACAAATCCGGTTAGACGCCTTTTCGCCCCATGGCGCCGCCGGGCCCGCTGATTGGATGAGTAAGCAAAAAAAAAAATTTCGGTCCCAGTGGGTCAGCAATCGATGATGGCGAACATTGTTTTTACCTTCTTTTTAGACCACTCTCCCCTCTTTGTGTTTCTTTTCTTGTTGTGTTTCAGGGTCTTCTGGGTTTTTAAGAATCGTGTATATACTCTACGATTCAACCCGATCCTAACTTACCTGTTTATCTGCGCGAGTGCGCTGTGGACAGTTTCTTTATCTTCCGTTAGGTCGAATTGCCCCTCTCTCCCCAAGGGCTTTTATTTCCCTCAATTTTTTGCCGATATCTTTTTTTTTGATATCGACACTCGATCTTTGAGTCTTTGATTCTCTGGAAAATGCCACACACTGTCTCCCCCTCTGAGACTCCCGCCATGCCGACCATTGTCGCAAAGGGCCCATCCGGCGTGCCCCCCACCTCCGAGGAGATTTCCTCCCTTCTCGACACTATCTTCACAGCCGACTCCTCCCAGAAGTCACTTGATGGCGCATATGCCTTGACCAACTTGCTCATTCAGGGCTCTGGCTGTGCAGGCCTGCTGAACTACAATGTTCTCGCCGCTGTCCGCAAGGCCGCTTCCGATAAGAAGAATGGCGCCAAGCGTGAGAGTGCCATGCTCATTATTGGTGCTTTGTTCGAGCGTTTCCCCCGCGAGTTCCCTCTCAGCGAAGCCGTTTTCCTCTTGCACGACGGAGGCATCTTTGACGTTGCTTTGGACGCCCTGTCTGACAAGGGTGCCGTTGTGCGTGATGCCGCCCAGTACGCCATCGATGCCCTCTTCGGTTGTCTCAGCCCCGAGGCCATGGTCAACGGTCTGATCCCTGCCCTCGAGCGTTACCTGGCCAAGGGCTCTGGCAAGTGGCAAGGTTTTGTCGGCGCCTACTCGCTTATCGAAAAGATGGCGGTCAAGGCACAGTTGGGCAAGGGTTCCAAGGAAGAGGAGCGCCAGAAGGACTTGCTGCGTGATGCGATGGGCAAGACACTGAAGGAGCTCATTCCCATCGTTGAGAGCGGCATGCACGACCTCAAGAGCGAAGTGGCCAAGCAGTCTTGCAAGACCATGACTGCCCTCACCACCCTCCTGTCCAACGACGACGTTGCTCCCCGCATTCCTCTTTTGATCAAGACTATGGAGAACCCCTCCGCTCAGACTCTCCAGAAGGCGATCCACGCTTTGTCCCAGACCACCTTCGTCGCCATCGTCACATCCCCCGTGTTGGCCATGCTCACCCCTCTCCTCGCCCGATCCCTCAATACCCCGGCTACTCCCCAAGAGACTCTTCGCCAGACTGTGGTCGTTGTGGAGAACTTGACTAAGCTGGTTCATGATCCCGCTGAGGCTCGTACTTTCCTCCCCAAACTCCAGCCTGGTGTGAAGTCGGTCAAGGAGACTGCCTCCCTGCCCGAGGTTCGTGAGCTCGCCACACGTGCTCTCGATGTTATTGAGACTGCCATGGGCGATGATAATCTCGCCTCCGGTTCCATCTCCAAGACTACCTCCGAGGAGGTCCTGACCGTGCTGAACGCAAAGATTCAGGAGCACGGTGGTCTGGGTGGCTTTGGTGACTCCAAGCTGCAGGATTTGGCCAAGAACTACATTGCCAGTATGGTCCGCGAGGATGTCAACTGCCGCATGCACGACCGTATTACCGACCGCATTGATCCATACCTCCGCGGTCTGCTTGCGGATGGCAACACTGAGGCTGTTGCCACCGCTGTCCAGTCCCACTACATTGCAGAGGACGAGGTCAAGTACGGCAAGCCCGTCCCGGAAGATCCTAATGATGTTGAGATTGTGAACGCCGACTTCTCTCTTGCTTACGGAGGTATGCTCCTGCTGTCCCACACCAACCTGCGTCTCCTCAAGGGCCACCGTTACGGTCTCTGCGGTCGCAACGGTGCCGGCAAGTCTACCTTGATGCGCAGTATCGCCAACGAGAAGCTGGAAGGCTTCCCTCCCCAGGATGAGGTGCGCACTTGCTTTGTGGAGCACAATCAGGGCGAAGATGCCAGCCTGACCATCTTTGAGTATGTTGCCAAGGACCCCAAGATTGTTTCTCAGGGCGTAGACCACATTCGCGACGTTCTTCTCGAGTTCGGCTTCACCGATGGCCCCGAGGGCCGCCAGTCCCAGCCCGTGGGCTCGCTTTCCGGTGGTTGGAAGATGAAGCTGGCTCTGGCCCGTGCTATGCTCCAGAAGGCTGATGTGCTCCTCCTTGACGAACCTACCAATCACTTGGATGTGGCAAACGTCAAGTGGCTGCAGGAGTACCTGAAGGCGCACACTGAGATTACCAGTCTGATCGTCAGTCACGATTCTGGCTTCCTCGATGAAGTCTGCACTGATATCTACCACTACGAGGGCAAGAAGCTTGTCTGCTACAAGGGTAACCTTGCCGAATTCGTCAAGCAGAAGCCCGAGGGCAAGAGTTATTACACTCTGTCTGCCTCCAATGTGCAGTTCAAGTTCCCTCCCCCCGGCATCTTGTCTGGTATCAAGTCCCAGACTCGTGCCATTATGCGCATGAGCAACGTCTCATACACCTACCCTGGCGCCCCGCGCCCCTCGCTACACGATGCCTCGCTGTCGCTCACACTCTCCTCCCGTGTCGCTATCATTGGTGGCAACGGTGCTGGCAAGTCTACTTTCATCAAGATTCTGACTGGTGAGACCATTCCTCAGGGCGGAAAGGTGGAGAAGCACCCCAACTTGCGTATCGGTTACATTAAGCAGCACGCTCTGGAGCACGTGGAGATGCACTTGGAGAAGACTCCCAGCCAGTACCTCCAGTGGCGTTACGCCAACGGTGACGATCGTGAAGTCTTCATGAAGCAGACCCGTATTTTGACTGATGAGGACAAGGCGCAGCTGGAGAAGCCAGTTGACCTTGGTGATGGTCGTGGTGCCCGTCGCATCGAGACCTTGATTGGTCGTCAGAAGTGGAAGAAGTCCTTCCAGTACGAGGTCAAGTGGGTTGGCCTTCTCCCCAAGTACAACACCATGATCTCTCGTGAGACCCTGCTCGACCTTGGTTTCTTCAAGCTGATCCAAGAGTTCGACGATCACGAGGCTTCCCGTGAAGGTCTGGGCTTCCGTGTTCTTGACCCCAAGACCATCACCAAGCACTTCGAGGACATTGGTATGGACCCCGAGATCGCCAACCACAACGAGATCTCCGGTCTTTCCGGTGGTCAGAAGGTCAAGGTCGTGCTTGCTGGTGCCATGTGGAACAACCCCCATCTGCTGGTCCTGGACGAGCCGACTAACTTCTTGGATCGTGATTCCCTCGGTGGTCTGGCTGTTGCCATCCGTGACTTCAAGGGTGGTGTCGTTATGATTTCTCACAACGAGGAGTTCGTGGGTGCTCTCTGCCCCGAGCAACTGCACATTGCCGATGGCCGTGTTGTCAGCCGTACCAACAACGCCGTCAGCCTTGACCGCTTCGAGGACAGCGCTACCAACTCGCCTTCCGGCCCTGGTACCCCCGCCACTGGCTCGGCCGTTACCAGTGCCGCCCCCTCTGCCGTCAACTCCGGCGATGAAGGCGATCTCAAGTTCCGCGCCAAGAAGAAGAAGAAGATGACCCGTGCTCAGCAGAAGGAGCGTGAAATTCGCCGTCGTCTGCGTTACATCGAATGGGTGAGTTTCTCTTGTTTATATCTTTCCTTTCGACAGCATGCTAACCTACTTTCTAGTTGAACTCTCCCAAGGGTACTCCCAAGCCCGCCGACTCCGACGACGAATAGACGTGCTTCCACGTGCTTCAACATTATGATTCGTAATCGCGGAGAGAATGATTCCGATTATATCCTCGCATCATGAGCGCCATGTTAATGTTTTGGTCCACATTGGATCCGATAGACGGTGTTTCGGCGTTCTGTTTTATCTTGATTTTTCCGGCCTAGATTTTGTTATATGCCCTTTTCAGTACTGTACATGTTTCGGATAGATACTTCAGTGTGTCTGCCATTTCAAAGCAAAAAGTTTATACGTTAGTTATTTTGTTTCATTCCACTTCCCAAACCCTGCCCATGATGGCCTTTAGTAGGATAGACATACTATGGTCAATTTAGTTCAACGCGCTGTAGCGATACTTGCGGGAACCGTTCTCCGCCAGAAAGGATTCGCTTTGGGCATTGTAGGGACTTATGAGGCGCCTCATTATCGGATGTTAGATAACTACAGATCAAACAGTGGACATTTGAAGCCCCCAAGGTTGGACACCAGACGCTGGCAGAGTACACCATCAACCAACGTGGCCCAGTTAGCGTGTACCTTGCAAAACATGCCACGGATCTTGTGCTGGCAGTCCCGTTCTATGTCTAGCCATTATTTGACTATAGCCAACCTTCTCCCGAATACTGGATCAATCAGCCAAAAATATCGGTGATGGTACCAAACACGCCCGCAACCAGTACAGTCTTGAGCCATGCTATATGTACATAATAAGGAAGTAAGGAAGTAGCTTCAAAGAGTTCGCCATGGAATCGCCCAAGGAATTACCACATGTCCCTGAATACATATACATACTAATGGAGTTGCATTCCTATGCATAATCCGTATTTAGAGAACTTCTAGATTATATCTTTGTCATAGTTAGGTCATGAAGTCTTGTGAATATTCGTTGGGGATAACACTCAGAAGTAGAAACATCTTATAATTGAGTAAAGTCCTGCCTACCTAATAGTCGATCGTATTAGATTACTGTATCTGGAATTTCTGCAGGGACCACAAAGATAATGGCTGGCTGTGGGAGCCACCCCCCTTGCATCTTGTGGAGTTGTACATGGGACTGGGTGACCCACGAGTTCCCAATAAGGATCAATAGGGATAATTTTGAGAAAACATCATACTTGTTGCTGTTGATTTTACCATCTGTCTGGATTTGTTCATCAAAGCAGAAGAACACGAATCTCTACCCATTTTAATCTCCCTGTGACTTCTCCCCAAGCCTCATGGCTCACATCCTCGCCAACTCCCCAGTGGGCTTGATCGGCCACTGGCTCTCCAGGGGTTGTCTGTTTAAGCCCACCGAGCAGAGGCCAGGGTTCAAGTTGCCACAGCCATATCAACTCGCGGCAGCTGGCAGCGATATCGTCCATGACCAGTCGAGCACACTGGAGGGCAAGAAGGGGACCCGCATCGCAAATGAATCAGTGTCCGAAGGCAGTATGTCGAATTGTCTCAGTCCCTTACAAAAAACACCATAGTTGATAGGAAGAACAGGCTCCCAGACCCAAGCACATAGCCCGATCGTCCTGCAGCTGCAGCAACAAGAACAGCAACAACCTTTATGGAATGATCCCATTATTATGTCCGATGGGACAATTCAGGTCGACTGGTACTCCGATCAGGACCCAGACAATCCGCATAACTGGTCGATCGCCGCCAAGCTCCTGGTGCATATCACAGTCAATCTCTTTACCTTCATGGTCTACATCTCAGTGGCCATCTTCTCGGCCGCAGAGGAGGAATTCACGACCCTGTTCGGCGTGACGCACTCTGTGAGCGCGATGGGAATGGCGCTGTCTGTGCTGGGGTATGGTACAGGGCCTATGATTTGGAGTCCCCTCTCAGAAATCCCATCCATAGGTCGCAATCCCCCTTACGGGATTTCCATCACAATTTTCCTACTACTCAGCATTCCGACTGCGCTCGTTAATAATGTTCCAGGCTTTTTGGTTCTGCGGTTTCTCCAGGGATTCTTTGGCTCCCCCGGGCTGGCTACCGGTGGTGCTTCTATCGCCGATGTCACCGAGCTTCAGAATCTTCCGTATGGCCTCTACGTCTGGGGAACATGCGCCGTTGCAGGCCCAGCCGTGGCCCCGGTCATTGCAGGCTTCAGTGTCCCCGTAAAGGGTTGGCGCTGGTCTATGTGGGAAGTCCTCTGGGCCGCGGGGGTTTGCTTTGTATTTCTCATCTTCCTGCCCGAGACCTCTGGTCCAGCCATTCTACACCTGCGCGCAAAAAGGCTCCGAGCTCTCACGGGCAATCCAGCCTTCCAATCCCAGTCCGAGATCGAGGTCAAAAATACCTCGCCTATGCAGACTCTCTACGATGCCTTGATCGTCCCCTGGAAGATCAATGCGTTGGACCCTGCCATCTTATTCAGCACGATCTATATCGGGCTTGTTTACGCCATCTTCTACTCATACTTCGAGGTCCTTCCGCTCGTATACATCGGGATTTACCATATGAGCCTCGGGCAGATGGGTCTCATCTTCCTGGCCGCCATCGTGGGCACCATCGTGGTCCTCCCATACTACTTCTGGTTCACCCACTACTCCCTGAACGGAGACTTTCGTCGGGGCCAAGTTCCCCGACCAGAGAATAGACTCGTCCCTGCGCTTTTTGGGAGTATCCTTGTACCTATTGGCTTGTTTATGTTTGCGTGGACCTCGCGTGAATCGATCCACTGGATAGTGCCGACGGTGGGTATGGTCCTAGAGGTGGCAGGCATGGCGCTGGTCCTTCAGTGTATATTCAGTTACATTGCCGTGGCTTATGTCACCTATAGCGCGAGTCTGTTTGCGATTAATGATCTGTGTCGTGCGTATTTCGCATTTGGGGCGATCCTTGTGTCGAAGCCTATGTATGGTCATCTAGGTGTGTCCAAGGGGACGACCGTGTTGGCGGGTCTTACTGTGGGCTGTGTAGCGGGCATGTTTATATTGTACTGGCTTGGGCCGGAGTTGCGGAGGCGAAGTAGATATGCTCAGCCTGACTAATTGCATTTTCGGGTTTACATAGATTTATAAATGTATGTTAGTCTTCTCCCTTGAGTCCAGTAAATCAAAACTCGACCACGAGGGGTAAATTCCTAGAACTCCGCCCCGCCCAAATACGGAATTTGCCTTCTATAGGCAGCACCCAGTTCTGCGCGCGAACACTCCAATAGCTGAGGTCCTTCCGGGTTAACGTCATCTTGACATTTCTAGTCTCACCTGGTTGCAAGAGGACTTTCGAAAAATTCCGCAGGACACGCTTAGGGAATTCAATGGACTCACGGGACCAGCCCAGTCCACGGTGCTCGGCGACATCGTCAGGGAAGGAAACATATACCTGTATCACATCTTGTCCTGTGCGAGTGCCGGTGTTTGTCACTTCGATGGTGACCTCGAGCATGGGCTCGTAGAGGGATGGATTTCCTCCTGGTCCGCCGCCTGCGGCGGATGGGTTCTGGGATTTATTATATCCTTCTGGGTATGGGTATGGGCCAGGTTCGGTTCCTTCCAGGGTGGTGAGGTAGGGATAGATGTATTTGCGGAGTGCACGAAACCCTGGAGGAAATAGATTGCTGGTAGGGTTGTCCTGTTTTTTGTCGTATGCAGGAGGTTCTACTTCGTTTGCGGGCCGTTTGGAGGGCCATTGAGACTTCTTCTGCAGTTTTTGAATGCTGAGGGCAGTGTAGTCGAAGGTTGTGTATGACAGGCCAAACCCAAACTCGAACCGGGGGGTGATGTTGAACTTGTCGAAATAACGGTAATCGATATACAGGCCTTCGTCGAAGTTGACTTGGGGAACCGATGAGTCTGGATTCTCATACAGGACTTGTGCTCCTGGGCCGTAGTCTTCTAGGCGTCGTCCGATCGTGTATGGCAGTCGTCCACTGGCGTCAACATCTCCAAATAGAACGTCCACCAGTGCATTCCCGCTTTCTTGCCCGGGTAGGTTGGCATACAATACACCGTGTACACCAGGGAGGTCAATCCAAGACTCCATAACAACGGGGCCAATGGAGTGTACAATTACGATTGTTTTACCTTGGCCACCTCCGCAGTGCTTGGCTACACCCTCCACCAATTGAGTGCCGTTCTTTTGTAGAAACAGGTCATTTCGGTCTGCATCAATGCCATCACTGCGGATAAACCCTTCGCCGCCATCTGCGTTCACAAAGACCAAACAGAGATCCTGCTCTGCGAGGTCTTGGGGTGCAACATCGTTCGTCAAGTAGGCTTTAACATCAACAGAGTCTTTCGACCACGCGTGTTGCAGTGCTTCCCATGGACTGACCAAGTACGGGAAGTCTACAGCTCCACTACCCCAACCAGATGCCAAGGTTCCTTGGTTACATCCTCGGTCAGCACAAGAGTTTGGTCCTTTGCCGGAGCCAGCGTCTTCGCCGTATACACCGACCCGGTGCTTGCCATTGCGGGTGGAATTTTCCCGCGAGAGTGGAAGGGTATTATTGATGTTTTTCAAAAGCACAGTGCCTTCTGCAGCGATCTGGCGAGCAACAATGGAATGAGCATGATCGCCTGTTCCCTGTGCGTCGACAAATTTATTGACCACACCGGTTGTATGATTATCCGGTGAGCCTTCGTGCAAATTTCCAACCCGCTCCTTCGTCCAGGATGAGAAGTTCGGCCCGCCGTCGCCCTCAGGTGCAGGGAGTTCCCATAAGTCCTGTCCGAAATGGTACCAGGCGGCCACGATGCGAGTGACCATATCGTTCAGGCGTTCCATAGGAACAGATGTGTTCAATGCTGCCCGAGTCAATTCACTCCCCCAGACCGGAATACCGTTAGCCCAACTGAGGCCGTCACCGGGCATGCTCATATCCAGGCCCGCAATGGCGCTGTGAACGCCTGAACGCTGTGCCAGCCAGTCTGACTGCACAAACCCTTGGAACCCTAGCTCATCTTTCAGAATTCCATTGATGAGCTTACTATTCTCGCAAGCATAGCTGTTGTTAACCATTTGGTAGGAGCACATGATGCTAGCCACGTCGGCACGTACACTCTCAGCGAATGGCCAGGCAAAGACCTCGTGCAATGCGCGATCATCAATATTCGACGACAGTGCAGTTGGAGTACCCCATTCTATTGCCTGACGAAAGTGTTCTTGTTCATTTCCAACAAAGTGTTTCGCCGTGGCCATGACTCCGTTCTGCTGGATACCGCGAATGGTTTCTGCCGCAGCCACGCCTTGCAAAACTGGATCTGAACCAAATGCCTCCCAATTCCGACCACCGACAGGCATCATGCCGAGCGGTCCCATGGATGGACCAAGGATTATATTCACGCCTTTCAGCCGCGCTTCGTTTCCTAGAGCCAAGCCCCGCATTTTCATAAGCTCGCGGTTCCATGTCGCGCCTGTGGTGATCCCTGCGGGGAAGGCTGTAATGTTTTGCGCGAATCTAAGGCCGAGTGGACCATCTTGTAGGCAAAGGGAAGGGAATTTGACAAGTTCAGCAGGTCCTAGACAACACACTTCACGTCAGCGTATGCACAGCCATAATATTGATAAGATATCAAGTGCCTACCGGTATTACCAACACAGAGACCCATTTGCCAGCCTGTTCCAGTTGTGACGTTCACTTTTTCGGTGAGGGTCATTTCTCTCACCATTTCTTGTGCCTTGGCGTAACTTTCCTTCCATTGTGCGCTTGTTCCACCGAGGGGAGTAGGGTACCAGGGGACCGTTTGCTGTGATTATTAGATCATGTTTCTAGATCTCCAAACGACCAATTGAAAAGGAGGCAAGACCTACAAATCCATCATTGCCAGCTGTGGCAGGCGACCAGGGTAGACCCCTGATCGAAAACCATACTACCAATATCGCGATTGTGAACATGCCGGCAACATTCCACCAGGATTGCAGCCGGAATAACGACCTCCAGTCGGAGCCTTTCTCCCCATTTTCACCCTTCTTGTCTTTCAAAAGCAAGCCCTTATCAGGTGGGATGCCATAGTCGTCACTGTATCGATCACTGAGAAGCAGAGAGTCTCTGTCCGAGTGTCCTTCTTCCAAATCCGTAGCGAATGAATGCGACAGCGCGGTTCGATCCGCCTCAAGAAGATCTTTTATGCGCTTTGAAACGTCACGCTCGTCGTCGGGGATATCGATGGGAGTGGGGTTCGGACCATTTGTTTTGGAGCTCGAGGGTCGTGCATCTCGAGCTCTGCCGTGTTTCAAAGGTCGAAGTTTTATATAGCCCTGCTCCGAGGATTCATCTCCACTCGAAGGTGTGTCCAGGCCATCATTTTGTCCCCAGCTGCTCTCTGACGTTGAGTGTTCGACCGGTGGATTCTGTAGTGACGTGTAGCCGCGACGCGTAGGAGGGTTGGAGGATTTGGCTGAGCGCGAGGCTCCGGCCTTGGCACGTGGGGAAGCCATTCAATCTGCGATTCCCATGATTTTGCAGATTATTTGAAAATGATCGAAGACAAGTTTGGTAAGGAGTAGATTGATTCCTGTCCTATCTCCAACGCGTTACGGAGGAAATGGTGGGTCACCTGACATCATATCATATCCAACATATGCCCCTTTTTGTCAACATCGAAGTGTGAAAATATCATGCAACCTATGTTGTAATCCTTCTCCTGTAATATAAGACAATGTACTCCGTACTTTCCGGAGTTGACTACTCTGATGCTGTTATATTATTATTATCACCTCGTAACTCCACATGGTAGTGCTGGTGAGAGGGATGATGGGTATGTAAATTATATCTGATTATATTCAGCTATACATAGAAGTCCTCGGTATGATAGTATAGCATCATAATTGATGTATAAGAATAATTAGAGTCGGTGGCGTCAGATTAACTGTTGTGACTATACGATCTATATCATCTATATTAAGTCGAGACCATTCGAGAACTCCCAGATCGAAAATTGCAATATAAAAACTTCACAATATGCACAAGGTACCCATAGATCACGCCAATTGACGGCAGAAGCCAATGATGTCAAAATGTTCCCTGAGACAATGTGGATATCGTGGATCCACATATGGCGCAGCTAAGAGGTTGCCGTTTTCTTGTTATTATTCCTCAGAGGCAAAACCTGTCGGACTTCCGATAAGCCCTGTCGATCTTTACTTGCTGTCGAACTTTCATGACTTCTCTGAAACAGCTCTTCGGGCTCTTCTATTAGGATCTTCAGATTCCTACAGTGTGTGTTTTGGATCAATCGGGGGGGTCATCTGCTAATTTTATCTGCTTGGATGTCAATTGGCACAAAGAAGAGGAATATAACGGCGTAAACAACCATAACAGACAAATTATGTGTGGGCTCCCATTTAGTCAAATCCTCAGTGGAGATTCTTCGACCGATTGGACCCTATCATGTTTTTGAATGTGAACCCCTCAATAGACTAATGAACAGTGGTAGAGACATTATACTGCATTGGATATGAGTTGTATGTTGTCACTACCTAAGTCGGCTTTCCTCCCATTTTGGGCCTCGTGGCTCCATATTCTCCGTTCTCCGTATCTCCCGAAATAGGTTATAGTGTAGATCAAACATTTCTCTCTATTTCTGGTTTCTTCGTTTTGGCTCCACCTGAATTCAATGTCGATCAGAAGGTTTAACCGATGAACCCGCTCAGAGAGTTTCCCTAGCATCTCCATTTATGTGCCCATCTTATATATGACCCTGCTAGATCCGCTCAAATCTCTTCCTGGTTTCTATCTCTCGTTCTCAGTATCAATCACTTCCTTCCTCACAATGAAGTTCTCCGCCATTCTCGCTCTCGCCCCTCTTGTGGCTGCCATCCCGGGCTCCAAGCAGCCCAAGAGCTCCGATGCTGCCTTCAGCGTCATGTCTGCTCGCTCCGCTTCTCCCGTCCACCTGCTGCCTCTCAATGCCGCTGGCACCTACTTCTGGCTCGGTGGTAACGCCCACACCTATTCTCCCATCCCCGGAGTTCCCGATACCAATCAGACTGTGATTGCCAACAGCCACTTCTTGGTTAGTCACTCACCCATGTATCGTTCCAATGTTCCCATTTGCTAACTTTATATCCAGGACGTCGAGGTCCCCGGTGGCCAGGCCATCTACATCGATGACAAGGGTGCTCTGCGCTTCACTTCTCCCCACTCCGCCTACGAGCCCACTGGCTCTTCCGATGGTCCCTTCGTCTACACTCCCGGCAGCTCTTTCGGTCACTGGAGCTACAACGGCCAGGGTGCATCCGGCTTCATGGCTTGCCCGACTACTAACAATACCGCTGGGTACCGCCGTTCCCGTCGGGGCGCTGCTGCTGCCCCTAAGTGGCAGGTCTATGCTGCTCTGAAGAATGCTACTGTTCCCTCTGGCAAGGTTGATGACTGTCTCGGCTTCGATGCCCTCGCTGTTGCTGTCAACACTACCTCCCCTGTTGCTTGGGAGTACATCTAAAGGGTTCAAGTCCTGAGCTTGGCATCTTAGTTGTACAGTATAACTGTGAGATGTGGTCCTGAGAAGCATATGGAAGATACAGTTGAATATTTTCATTGCTTTTGTATCCATCTGGTTCTTTCTCCGAAGCACCATGGATGAGGAATGGTCCCGAGTGCCATGTTTTTGTCTTCCGGCATACAAACTTTAGCCAAGAAATGAGGGAGTAGATAGAAGAAATCCTTTCTGATATCCACTTTTTAGACGAAAGTTATCCAATGTCATTGATCAATGCCCCATTGCAGATTTTCGACATCCCAGTATATCGCATTATCGAAGCAAATGTGAATCCAGTTCTAAATCCACATGTTCTGACTAGTCATAGCGTCTCCAATCCGCAAACATTAAACTTTTGAAATTTTCTGTTGTAGCTGCGTCAGATGCTGACAAGGAGCACGGAGATTCGAGGTAGGGGTAATTATGTGGTGATTCACCTCTTCTAGCATTTGCCGAAGACAGTATATGCAAAGCTTAGCCCTAGGGCAACCTCTATAGACAGAAACTTTGTACTGTTGCCTCTGAAGAACTGTCCCGTTACCATATGCTGCCATTTGGACTCGCCGGGCTGCTTGGATATTATGGGGCAGCACCTTAGGTCTTCCTCATCTCAAAACCATACGTAATCACACTCTATATACAAAGTTTCCGGCTACTCGTGGAGCACACATGACAACTTGTGTAAGTCAGACAAGTTGCAGAGTTGAAGCAACGAGGATGGCTGCAGGAGTTATGCACACAATGGGGATAACAAGAGAGTCTCTTCGTAATATTTGCCCCTCCGAGAGACTCGGAATCTAGATCCTCGGGTCCAGAGTCATCGCCGATAACACCGGCATCAATGCTCGCAAAAGCAGCGTCAAGCTCTTCGCACAAGTCGTCGGCAGTGATAGCAACGACCTCTTCTTCCATGTTCTTGAGGTAGTATCCTCCGTTCTCGGAATGAAGAATTGTTTCCGGGTTGACCTTGACCAGATCGTTGAGGGATTGTCTATCATGGACGATGATAACGTCGCTCGGGGGCGTAGTATGGTACCGGCTAAGTCCTTCAACCATCGTGACCAAGTAGCACAGCAAGTACACAATGGCCAGGATGGATTGCATATCGAACTCGTGACTAGTGAGGGGGCTCCTTTTAACGACATAAGCGCATTGGTCAATTAGTCATGTATTACTTACCACCCGCAGCCAAGTATACATCACAGGTTTTGTGACATAGATCTCTCTCACATACCTTGTAGGAAGTCAAAAATTGTCAAAAAAAAGGAAGATTAACACACAATACTCTAGCTTTTATTGGACTTCTCAGATAGAGCCGTCAGTGAATGGAAATGATGTAGTAAATAGTCCCAGGGAAGTTGGCCTACCTTGCTATCTCTGGAGTAATGCGGGAAGCGACTGAGATACAGAAGCACAGATAGGAAATGGTGGTTCCTTTAAGCTATTCAGATCAACTAGCTAGACTAGCCATTTGACCTATGGGCAGTAAAATCTTCGACCATAGGCAACTTTACCCGATCATTTGCGCCTAGTGTAGCCATCATAAGTCACTCCTGCTTGAACTGGAATGTAAAGATCCGAGTCGGATCACGGTGAGCGATTTTCTAAGACATGCATTTATCTACTAGCAAGAGATCCACTAGGGGCGGATTTGGCGACGAGAAATATAGTCACTGTACGGGCGACGGATAGTGTCACTGCAATAATGGAACTTTTTCTGCCCTGCAGGAACTTGGTAAGCCACCCATTAATAATTCACACGCTGCCCAAATGTCCCGCATAGATATTGAAGCCCCTAACCATCTATATCTGTAATAGTGAGCACACAATAACTTCTCGGGCTCACTATAAGGGCTTCTAACCCTAAACGCTACATATACAAAGGTGATTTTATTTAGGTGCTGTATATAGGTCCCGTCCACCCGTGGTCCCGTGGACGGGACCTCGGGACCCCGGGAGTACCCGTCGACAAGCAACTTAAGAGGTTGGTTAATTTTAGTTCTAGTTAGACAGAGCAAATAGTCCATTACTGTATACTTAAAAAATTGATCGAAGTGAAATAATTTTATACAACTATGCTAACTCCAGATGGTAGATGGTAGATTAGGTCATAGTCAAGTCAGACCGGGCAAAAAGAAACAAAGGGTATTCATCATCATAAAAATCACAGCTGTACTCAAAGCTTAGCAGCACTACCGGCAGAGGAGATTTCATTGTACAGCAAGCTGGTCAGGAAATCAGCGTAATCCTCGCCGGTAACCTGGCCAGCAAAGTACCGAGCAGCGAGCTGGAACTTGTTGCCCTTGCCACCCTTAGCCGCTAGGCTATCAGCCTGCTCCTGCAGCAGGCGCAGCGCAAATGCCTTATCCATGCGCTTGCCCTCGGCTGTGGTGACGTTGTGACGAGTCCACTGCCACAGCTGACTGCGGGAAACCTCGGCTGTGGCGGCATCCTCCATGAGGAAGTTGATGGGAACACAGCCGACACCACGGAGCCAGCCTTCCATATAGCTGAGGCCAATGTTCAGGTTCTTGCGGATACCTTCCTCGGTGATCTTGCCGGGGACGTTGGTGTTGAGGAGGTCGTTGGCGGTGATGTTCACCTCCTCGCGGCGGACGAACAGCTGGTTGGGGGTGGGCATATGTGTGTTGAAGACGTCAGAGGCAATCGCAGCCAGTGCAGGGTGCGCAACCCAGGTGCCGTCGTGGCCGGCGCGCACTTCGCGCAGCTTGTCGGCGCGAACACTCTCCATCGCCTTGTCGTTGGCGGCGGGGTCGTTCTTGATAGGAATCTGTGCAGCCATACCACCCATGGCGTGAACGCCACGACGGTGGCAGGTCTTGATGAGAAGCTTCACGTAGGATTCCATGAAAGGCACAGTCATGGTGACATCGGAGCGATCGGGGAGGACAAAGTTGGGGTGCTGGCGGAACTTCTTGATGAAGGAGAAGATGTAATCCCAACGGCCGCAGTTGAGACCAGAGCTGTGGTCGCGGAGCTCGTAGATGATCTCGTCCATCTCAAATGCGGCAGTGATGGTCTCAATCAGGACAGTACCACGGATGGTTCCGCGGGGCAGACCAATGTAGTCCTGCGACAGGTTGAAGACGTCGTTCCAGAGACGAGCCTCCAAGTGGGACTCCATCTTGGGGAGGTAGAAGTAAGGACCGGCGCCGCGGGCGACCAGCTCCTTGGCATTGTGGAAGAAGTACAGACCGAAATCGAAGAGACCACCAGAAATGGCCTCGCCGTTAACGGTGAAGTGCTTCTCATCGAGGTGCCAGCCGCGAGCACGGGCAATCAGAGTAGGCAGTTTGCGATCCGTCCGGAGCTTGTATTCCTTCTCACCCTGCTTGAAGTCGACCTGTCGGCGAATAGCATCGTACAGATTGACCTGGCCGTTGACCATGTTGTCCCAAGTGGGGGCGCTCGAATCCTCGAAATCAGCCATGTAAGTCCAGACATCGGAGTTAAGCGCGTTCACCACCATCTTTCGGTCGGTGGGGCCAGTAATCTCGACACGACGGTCCACGAGACCTGGGGCAGGAGGAGCACCCTTCCAGGCGTCATTTTCACGGATGTGCTTAGTCTCGGGGAGAAAGTCGAGAAGATTGCCCTTATCAATCTCGGCTTGGCGATCGATGCGGCGCTGGAGAAGAGCCTTGCGAGTGGGATTGAAGGTGCGGTGCAGCAGAGCCAAGAAGGCACATGCCTCCTTGGTTAGGATCTTGCGAGCATCGTTATTGATGGCGCCCAGGATGGCGACATCCTTGAGCTGTGTTTCAACTTGAGACATGATGTATATATGTGTATAGATATGTAAACTATTCCATGTACAAAACAAATAGAAATTCAAACAAAAGAGGAGAGGAGAGGAACTATATTTCTATATAGCCATCTGCCCGAGGGTATCAAATACGTCAGAGCCACTTGAAGTTGCCGCGGTTGTTCTGGACCCGCCCAATGATAAGCCGAACCCCCATTTGACCGCTTCTCTCTGCTCTCTCCCATAGTGAAAACTGCAGTTCTTATAAGTTTCCCACGGGAAACTCCTTCCTCTCGGCCGACATTTCCCGTTCCCCGTATTTCAAGCTTAGTTGGCTGTTCGGTGTGCTCACTCCCAATCAGAACGGCAGTCTTATCACGATATTTGGGAAGACCTTATATAGCTTGTCTCCTATACAAAATGATAGTGACCAATTCTCGAATCTAATATGCAAAACCTTGAACAATTCTCATTCCCATGTTACCCAACCTTGCTTCACCCGAAAGTGGCTGTAGAATACTCTCCGCATGCCCCGGAAACCCCCAGCCGCGGCTCACTCTGAGCATCCATATCTCGCAGGGTTCGAAAGAGTCATATCCGAATCCGACTTGTCCCGGCGGTTTTCTGCGTCACCCAGTGGTCATCGGCATGTGAGCGCATGTGATGTTGCTCGGGAGTGAAATCATGTCTTAACTCACCCTCGCCGCTTTTTGATCACTGAGTAAAACTGACCACCAACGGACACCACAGAGTATTACATATCAATATACTCGCCCGTGGGCCCGTGGACTGCCCAGGCACTGAGCATCACCTGACCAATACAAGCCGCTGCTCAGCCAGCCCTACGAGGTGACCTCGGGCGGGTTCCAGCTGAGTGATCTGCTCACCGAAACCTCGGGATACTAGACAGTTATTATGGCCCTGAAAACGACATCCTCAAGGCAATAGCATATCGAGCTAGAGAATCGTTGAGATAGAAATGGTGGGAGAAATGCCATCAACATAGTTTAAACCCTGTGGGGCTAATCCTAGGGGATATGCCTGGAGCCCCGGGGTATTTTCCGGCTTATTAAGCCTATGCTGACACCCGTGGACCTGGGCATCTTCTACTGAGTGCCTGACCCTCATAAAAGCGGCGGAGATACAATCTTGGCCCAAGTGAAAACCGGGTATTGGAACTCTGGAAACCTCCGATCCAAGTCATTTGGTATATATATCTGAGGTATCCCTACTACGCCCTTACGCGCCCTCACACGCCCATTTCTAGGCCAATGCGACTTACGTACAATTCTTCCCCCGATACATTCCGGATCTTGCTCCCCGTAAACCGGAAAATCGACACGAAAAGGAAATCCCGCATTTACACGGTCTCGATGTACCGCTTCATCTCCCTGTGAAAATTTTAAGTCAGCATCCAAATGGGCATTGCAGTAGATGATATCGTACCAGTCAGTCACCGCCTCTTCGAACAAGCGCACCTCGTGTTCTCGAGTTCCGGCAAAGTGCTCGACAAATGAATCGCCAAATACTTCCCGTGCGACACTTTCCGGCCGTGTAAATGTAACGATCGCCTCCTTCAACGATTTGGCCAGACGCACACCTTTATCACTGGCACCGCCCATATCCTCGCCGCGGGCAAGAGGTGGCACGGGGATCTCGAGCTTCTTCTCGACTCCGCGCCATCCTAATGCCAGGATCGCCGCTAGGACGAGATGCGCATTGGTGTCCGCACCTGGCACGCGCACCTCGAACCGGGTCGCTTTTGGACTGGCTGTTGGTGGGGTGATCAGACGGATTGACGCGGCCCGATGCTCCAGGCCCCAAGAGACCGTGACCGGCGCCCAGAAGTTCTCCACCAGGCGTTTGTAGGAATTGATCGTCGGGGCTAATATCGGCATGATGTCCGGCAGGCCAACAAGAAGCCCAGCCAAGAAGTGTCGACCCAAGTCGGACAGATGAGCGATATCGGGGTAGAGGGGGGAGGGATCGGGGGTATCGCGATTGAAGGCATTCTTCCCGTCGGCCGTGACGAGCGAGATGTGCATGTGTCCGCTGTTTCCTGGCAGGCCTTGTCGGGGTTTGGCCATGAAGCATGGGGTGATGCCGTGCTTGATTCCGAATGCTTTGACGACGTATCTATGCGAACATCCTGGTTAGTAATAGCCCCTGGCGTAAGAACTCGAGCTGCTTGGAAAGGAGCAATCCTACTTGAACAACCCTGCCTTATCGGCCATGTCCTTTGCTTCACCAAATTGTAATGCCTATCATGATGTTTAGTCCCAATGCGACCCGCTCAATCTCTCATGTCACTAACAGCTTCATAGACTCCGGGTCCACTTTCAGTATGCCATCCCTCAATATCGCATCGGAACTTCTCGCAGGCGTCGAAGATGCCATAATAGTAATCTTGATTGTGGAGGGGCCGAGTGATTGAATAACCAAACATTCCTTCTGTCAATGGCGGCAAGGAATCGACTGTATTTGACTGGAGGAAGGCGGCCGTTGCAGATGCGCCTTGTTGGGGGGTGGCATGGTTGCCCGGCGTGCGAAATTGGTAGAATTCATATTCCGCTGGGTAAAATCAGACCGATCAGCTGCTGAATCGCACACACCCTGGTCTGCGATCGGACATACCTCCTGCCATCGCCCGATACCCTGCTGCCTCGGCTTTGGCGGCCGCAGTCTTCATCAATCCTCGTGGGCAGGCGCACACCGGCTCCCGTGTCTCTGGATCCAAGAAGCTGATGAGGAAAAATGGCACGTTGTTCTCCCAAGGAATGCGACGGAAACTGCGTAAATCTGGGACTGCGACAAGATCGCGATATCCGTTCTCCTTGTTGCTGATAGCCAGCTCCTTATAGTATGTCGCATCATGTTGGTCCCAGCCGAAAATGACGGAGCAGAAGCCGAAGCCCTCGGTGATGATGGATAAGAACTTGTCTTTCTTCATGAGTTTGCCGCGCAGTATGCCGTCCACATCCACACCTGCCACCTTCACCTTTGTGTCATTCTGGAGGATCTCGGCGATATTCTCGGCTGTGACCTCGGGGTCCGCGGGGCTCGACATGATGGATCGGGGCTAAGGGTGAGAGATAAGGAGTATAGGGATCTAAAGTATTATACAGAACGAGAGCAAGGGCAAGGGGTAAAGGAAATAAACGAATAAAAGTCACGTTTCAAGTCAACTCCAAATCAGGCAAATCAAGTTCAGAGACTCCGAGAGCAAGTGAACAACGCACTTGGGCAGCTTGGAAGCTTATCAGCGAGATATCGGTGACGCCTTACCGCTTCGGGCCAGCATCGTCACCGCTTACTTAACGGGATCCACCCTCCAGGGGCCCCTGCCCCGCGTATACCTTCGGTGCAACACACTCGATATTGACAACTCCCATATTGATTCGATCATTCTCAGTGTGAGTGACCTTCTCCATAGCGTATTTTATCGATATGTTATCGCTGTTGTGATCTTGGTGGTTGAGCCACTGCTAACCTAGACCGTCACCAAGACAAACAGAGCTCCAAGATAAGGTCATAATGGCTGCCACTACCCCCCAAGGACGTCTCCAAGGCAAAAATGCCATCATTACAGGTGCTGGCGGGTATGTCTCTTACTCTATTCCTGAAGTATACCGTCACAAAAAAAAGACTTGACTGATTCCAAACTTGGATAGTGGCATCGGTCTTGAAACCAGTATCCTCTTCGCCCGCGAGGGTGCCAATGTCCTCATGGCCGATGTCTCCGAGCCCGCTCTCGCCAAGGCATTGGCCAAAGTGAAGGAAGTGGTTCCTGGTGCCCCTCGAGTCGAGTCGATCCGATGTGATGTGTCCAAGGAGTCGGACGTACAAGCAATGGTCGAGTCACAGGATAGCTGGGGAGGCACCGACGTGATATTCAACAATGCTGGAATCATGCACGCGAATGACGCAGATGCCATCGATACACCTGAGAAGATCTGGGACCTCACACACAATATCAATGTCAAGGGTGTCTGGTTCGGCAGCAAGCACGCGGTCCTCAGTCTGCGCCGCCATAAGAAGACCCGTGGCAGTATCATTAACACAGCTAGTGTGGTCGCCTTGGTTGGTGCTGCCACTCCCCAGCTCGCGTACACGGCGAGCAAGGGTGCGGTCCTGGCGATGACTCGGGAGTTGGCTATCGTTCATGCCCGCGAGGGATTCCGTTTCAACGCTCTTTGCCCCGCCCCCCTGAAGTAAGTTTTTTTTCCGACTGGATTTTTTTTTCTCTTTTTTTCATATTAGCTCACGATGGTATAGCACCCCTCTTCTGCAAGACTGGCTGGGTGATGACCAGGCCAAGCGGTTCCGTCGGGAGGTGCATTTCCCCACCGGCCGATTCGGTGAACCCATTGAACAGGCTCATGCTGTGGTTTTCCTGGCAAGCGACGAGAGCAGCTTTGTGAATGGAACGGACTTTGTGGTCGATGGTGGAATGACCAAGGTAAGTGTGACGTGTAGGGTAATTTCCCCGGATTGCGCTAACGAACTATCCCAGGCTTATGTTACACCGGAGGGTCCGGCCACGCCTGCGCCCCAGAATAATGGCAATTAATGTACTTACATTATCAGCTCTTATGTCCTATATGATACTTCTGAGAAATGCAATTTTTGAAGTCAACATAAATTATAGATATTCAGAGGTGAGTTTGATTTCGTCCTAATTTGGATCACACGACACGACGATTCAATTATGATGGGATTCGAATATATGATCTACATAATAACAGGCAATTGTGAATTGTATGATGAAGCCTTGGAAATGTGGCATGATGGCACAGCCCCTATAAGACCTCGGGAGCGATCCTCGGAAGCGATCCTCGGACCTTCACGTCATGATTCCCCCGCATTCCGCATCTTCCGTGGCTTGACTTACAACTTCCTGACTTCTTTATTTCAGACTCCTAAATATCCACGTACTCTCCAGGAAATTCTACCAAATATACACCATGTCTCAATTTGCGCTCCCGGGTGCGAACAAATCATACGGAAACTCCCCAACCCCGAACCTCAAAGCTCGGAACGGGCGGGTGTAAGTTGTGCCGCCCCTTTTTTCTTGGTCCATTCAACTGACTTTGTTCACTTTTAGACTTATTCCTCTAATGGCTACAGTTGGTCTCGGTAGGTTTAGCGTGTGCTCCTCCTGTGTTGTAGAGAGTCATGCTGACTCTCCCCAGGTTTCGGCGCATACAACTATTACGTCGCGGCCAAGTCGCGGCGGGAACAATCTATGCTAGAAGAACAGGAACGCCTGGCGCGAAACCAACAGTTGATGGATGCATATGGCGACAAGAATAGTCTGCATGACGTTCAACAAGCACTTGACATGTACACTGTTCGATAAACATCGGATCCGTCCTTCAAGATGCTGGTAGTCTTGAAGTGGAGGACTTTTTTGCTTTGCGATTTGCGTTGCGGCGTTTCAAAGATTTGGGATTTGGGATTTGGTAGGTTCCAAGGCACCACATTCATTGAGAATGGGCGTATATTGGGGAGTTAATGCTGTATCAACTTGATCACGTATATTTATAAGGCTCAAATTGATGCAATTTCACAATCGCCAAATATTATTCAAAATGCATGCTGTACATTGCATCTGTTTGAAGATTATCCCCTAGTATCGATATAGGGCTTTAGCAACTCTCGGTTCTCGGTTGAACATTCTGCTCTCTGGTTATGGAATTGAGAAATAGTCCAGGCGAGATATATATATATATATATATATATATATCCACTCCATGTACATGTACATGTACATTCATAATCTAATAGTTTGTTATCAATGCACTTACTATCTGTGGGTAATGCACGTGGCAAATCCACAGTGAGAGATGAAATGCAACGACTCAACGTTGATATCTAGAAATATTGCATTCTATACCGTCATAATTCCCTCGGTCTATTGGAACATTTAATATACTCGCCCCCTTTTGTCATTTTTGTTGATTGGTGTTAGCAAAACTATACGATCTTAGGCAAGTCCATGCGACCAGCCGAGCACCTTAGCGCGTACACTTAGATAAGAGCAGCTAAACACCATCCCCGCATACGGAATAGCCCCCTGTCAGAAACAAAGATAACTCGTCTGGCAATGCCTTCCTGATACGTGAAAATGGGGGACATACTTAGATTCATCATCTCCCCTGGCTCTTGGATTTGTAAATATTCTCCGCATCTTCGAATCGTGATCCACTATGAAAGACGGTCCACTCCAAGGCGATGATGCCCGCTTGGCAGCTATGGGCCATCGGCCTGAACTCCAACGTACTCATTCGACATGGTAAGGAGGCGCTAGCATATGCAAGGCCTGGTACTGACGGGGATGCTTAGGTCAATGCTTGGTTTAGCCTTTGCGGTTCTTAATGTAAGTCATACAGGGATTGCGACCGGGTCATTGAACTAACGTGACTAGTCGTGGACTGCACTTTCGGCCAGTTTGTCCATTAGTCTTACATCTGGTGGAAGCACAAGTGTGATTTGGGGTAGGTTTATTGAGAATCACTTTGTTTCGGATACATTGCTGACACGCAAATCCTAGGACTGGTCACTGCAGGATTCTGCAATTTTTGTATCGCATGTTCGCTGGCTGAATTCCTGTCAGCATATCCGACGTAAGCTCCGACATGTCTCCCCGTCTTTTTAATATTTACGCCAGACTGATTTTCTTTACAGAGCCGGTGGACAATATCATTGGGTTGCAGGTAGATTACTCCGTGCCTACAAACACTATATGATTCGGACTAATGCTAACTTTTAATTCTAGCTAGTATGTCGCTCTCTAATATCTCATCGGGTTTATACTAATTACTCGAAAGTCGCGTGGCCGAGCTCAGTACCAATTCTATCCTGGGTTACAGGCTGGATCAATGTGGCAGGCTGGGTAGGCAAGGCTTTCATCTAATATCGGTTTCGAACTAACACATGTATAGGTTGCCCTCGTTGCAACGAACTCACTTCTTTCTAGTCAGCTTATTGTTGGCTGCATTTCCGTTTTTCACGAGGTGAGAAACCCCACGTCGCCCTCTCGCCGCAGTACTAACGTGGTATGCAGAGCTATGTCCCGCAACGCTGGCATCAATTCCTCATCTATATTGGACTGACCGTTGGCTCATTCGTCATCAATGCTTTCATGAACTCCATCTTGCCAGTCATTTACCGTGGTGCTTGTAGGTTACCCTCGTCCAGTCTGGCTCGCTCTATTCCTAACTATATCCAGTCATGTGGTCAATTGGAGGATTTGTGATTGTGTCAATTACGTGTCTCGCATGCGCCGCTCCCAACTACAACTCAGCTTAGTATGAGACCCCTGGCGATGTCAATTGTGCGGATAACTGACGTCGACAGCTTCGTGTTCTGTGACTTTGTAAATACAACAGGCTGTACGTCTCCCCGATCCCTCCATTATGACAATTATGCTAATTCGGCTCAGGGCCTGATGGAGTCGCATGGATGCTAGGTGTATGTTTACTGCACCCACTATAATCCTACCATGATACTAACAGATCTTCCAGTTACTTCAAGGAGGGCTTGGTGTGACTGCCTTTGTAAGTCATCATGGTTATTTCCCGAGTCAAGACCAAAACCAATCCAACTAACTTTATCTAGGATGCGGTAGCACATATGATCGAAGGTAAACACCCTGGGCCCTGGCCCTGAGAAGATAGAGAAAAGGACTGACACATCGCGTTTTCAGAGGTTCCCAACGCTGACATTGAGGGTCCGAAAATCATGGTTACCTGCGTGGGCATCGGAGTGTTCACCGGTTCTATCTTTTTAATAGTCCTTCTTTTCGTCGCAGGAAATATGGAAAAGGTCACAACCTCCGCAGCCGGCCCTCTTCTTCAGATCCTGATCGATGCGACCAAAAGTAATGCAGGAGGTGTCTGCCTTTTGATGTATGTGGCGAGACTCTCCCTCTATTGTGCGTATACTCTGACACCAGGTCCTAGGTTACCTCTGGTCTGCTTAGTCTTTGCTATAGTGAGCGTCATGACCACTAGTAGCCGAATGATTTTTGCTTTTGCAAGGTATTTGATACTCTTTCCGGCATACAACGCGCATACTTATTCTTCGCAGAGATGGCGGTCTTCCTGCTTCTCCGTTCTTTGCAAAAGTCCACCCAACACTCAAGTTGCCCCTCAATGCACTCATTCTTAGTGTTGTTGTGGTGATCGCTTTTGGATGCATCTTCCTAGGTTCTACAAGGTAACAATTATCACCCATGGGCAATAACGCAATGGTAACTAACAGAATTCAGTGCTTTCAATGCAATTATCTCTGCCTCGGTCGTGGCTCTTGATCTGTCCTACGGCATACCCATTGCCATTAACTGTCTCCAGGGGCGCAACTGCCTTCCCGAAAGAAAATGGAAATTGCCCAATGCAGTCGGATGGTTTGTCGATTTGGTATGTTGGGGTCATGAGTGAATTTTACTAAAGAAGAACATCTCTGACCATGACCAGGTTGCTTTATCATATATCGCTTTGACTACCGTTCTCTTTGTCTTCCCTCCGTCAAGCACGGTCACGGGAAGCAGTATGAGTGAGTTCATCTGTGGGTTTATCTATGACAGTCTGTTAACTAACCTATCTCTATAGATTATTGTATTGCAGCATTTGCTGTTATCATTAGTATCTCCGTGTTCCAGTGGTTTGTGGACGGAAGGAAGAACTTCACCGGTCCTCGCGTTGACATCACCATCGATGCACTGGACACCGTGCATACGAGAGAGGAGATTGAGCCCAGTATGGATGAAAAGAAATTTGCTGGTCGGGGCTAGCTAGCTCGGTAGTGGCATAATGAGGGCCCTACACTATCGCTATCCACTACTCACCTGTGGGACAGAATCTTAGCCGCCTTAGTGAATGTCTATAATGTAGGGTTGATACAGTATATATCACATAGGCGAGGTCGCCGATACGAGTCCCCTATGTGCCTAGACTTTGGCACCCTCACTTTTGTACAATATGAGTCACCTTTTTTAATTGGAATATATCGTCAAACATCAGACATGACGCCTCTAAGCCTCATACAATAACCTTGGTTTTTTCCTACATATCATCTATAGATAGAACTGGTCATTCATTCAAACAACTTAGTTTTATTTACGGCGGTTTGTAACTAGATATATGTAGGGAAGACACTACGATGAACAAATGCTTCCCAGCAGATCTTGGGAAATTGACAACCTACACAACTTTTCTATGTCTAACCGGGGATTATGATGAACCAAAATATGTACAATCCTTACGGTCGCTCTCTGCACTGCCCGATGTCGAAACCCTGATTCTTATTCTTCTCTTTGTTTGCTGTTTATTCTATGGACGGCTTACTGTCTCATTTACTCTGGACCCTCAGCGGTATGCAGGATAGCATAGCTATATATAACTATTGAGAAGCAGAGAGCCAAGTCAGTGCAAACAGCCCAAAATCAATTAGGTCCGGCCTGACCATACAGCAATCTCCAGTGCCATTATCCAGAGTTACTCTAGACCCATAGTTTCAATATCAGAGATCTTGCACTTATCATTTCTGGTTCCTACCTCTTTCTCTTATAAAAGCCGAGAAGTGGCTGAAGGCGATAGGTATCGTGCCAAGCGCCCAACACACACTCGGTGTGTGGGGGGGTGGGGGTGTGTTGGGCCGGCACAGAATCAAATCCTTCGAATCCTGTAAACCTGCTAGATGGGCACAAATGTTGCTCCGACTTATTCCTCCATCCTTTCTTTTTGTTCTTGCACTCACATTGCCATCAAAATAGTGTCCCCCAAGGCTCAGTCACATCTAATAGAGTGCCAGCTCGGACATCCAGTATGCATCCTATAGAATGAAAAATGACGCAGTCACAATGCGCATTAACCCCACTGTGGTTGAATCCTTGGGCAGATGCAAACCTTTATTACCAGAAAAGGGAGTAATCCCCGAGTCTATCGCGAAATGTCCGATTAAGGGCCGTGGCTGACACAACTTTCTACGCAGCCCTAGATTAATACTTACGGGAACGCTTGCAAGATGCGCCCAGGGGTACATATTAGAACTCCAAAAAACCGCAGACAATGAGTGGCCGGGCAATAGTCGGAAGACCCCCACAAAGCCGAGATGATGCTGATCTTTCTGTTCCGAGCGCCATGGCGTTGAAAGGCGGAAATGGCTGAAATACCCCGCAGCCACCATTTCTGGGGCAGAGCTAAGGGTTTCACTTAGATGATGCTATACGAGAATCAAGAGGTCTGCTCCAGCTGCGGTGATGTAAAATCAAAGGGAAAACCAACTATCCGGTATGACATAGATTGGTATTCCTGGAAACATCTCTAAAATTATGCATTCTGCATCTGTCCTGCACATCGATCTAATCTTGTCGGACTGAAATGTTTTAACTGGCGGAAATATATCGGGCGTCGCACCCTTCAGCCAAGCAACAGCCACTGCCAAGGCTTGGATTTCCTCAACGGCGCTGCAGCGTCTTTACCCCTGCATAGCAACATCAAATTTCATTATTGGTGGTCCAAACACTCCTACCACCTTTCGTAAGCTTGGTCACCCGTCCTGCACTTAGCAGCGTCGATCCTGATCATCTTTAAAAAGCCCCATTTGAGATTGGTTCTTCACAAAATATTCTTCTAGCCAATAAAATAACCCTTCCTGATTGGCCTTCTTGTCCGTACCCTGTAGAAATGGTAGGATCGGATCGTGTACGAGGTAGATCAATTACCCAAGGGGGGTTTGAAGTACAAACCAACGAGGCATGAGAATATAAAAGGACCTATCCCCAACATACGGTTTGGTCTGTATCCGATTCCAATCATTCACTTTGCTTCCAATAAACTACATCTTCGCCGAACATCATGAAGTCTGCCGCTGTTGTGCTCTTGGGCTCATTGTCCACCATGGTTGCCGGACACGGCTACCTGGTCACACCAGACAGCCGAACCAAGCTCGGATTTGACGTTAGACTCCTGGATGAACTGAGCATCAAAGATATTCCTTGGACTGACAATATTTAGGCTGGAACTGATACATGCCCCGAGTGCACCATCCTCGAGCCCGTTGAATCTTGGCCCGATCTCGACGCCGCCCCGGTTGGCCGTAGCGGACCTTGCGGATACAATGCCCGTGTGAGCGTCGACTACAACCAGCCCGGCAAGGACTGGGGTAAAGAGGTTGTCAAGACTTACAAAGCTGGCGACGTTATTGACGTTGTGTGGTGTGTTGATAACAACGGTGATCACGGTGGCATGTTCACCTACCGTATCTGCCAGGATCAGGCTCTCGTCGACAAGTTCCTGGACCCTGACTACCTGCCAACCGAGAAGGAGAAGCAGGAGGCCGAGGCCTGCTTCGACGAAGGTCTTCTTGACTGCAACAGTGTGGATGGACAGGAGTGCGGCTATAGTGCCGACTGCGGTGAGGGCGACGCTTGCCACCGCAATGACTGGTTTACGTGCAACGGCTTTGATGACACCAAGTGCAAGGGTGTCGACGGCGCTGAGCTAGGATCCTGCAAGACAACAATTGCCGATGGTTACACAGTCTCGAAGCAGATCAAGCTTCCCGACTACGTCTCGAACCACACTTTGCTCTCCTGGAAGTGGAACTCTTTCCAAACCGGTCAGATCTATCTCTCTTGCTCCGACATTGCTATCCAGTAAGGGATTTCCAGTTACCCGGTACCTGAATCGGTATTTAGAGCAGAGAGAGCTGCATGTGGAGGCAAGGACACGGACTACAAGAGCCAAGATAGATTGGGTTTCATAACGCATGTCACACTAAGATTATCTTCTGGCCTGCTGTACATGTATATATTAGATTTCGGCAATCTATGATTATTGGCTTATGACAGAGCAATCAGAAGTGACCTCCACAGGCCCTAGATATCTCCATATGTAACAAATACACTGGATCCTCACTGCGTCGAGAGTATCAAGACACCAACACTTCCAGCGATAGCCCAAACGGAAACGATTAAAGAAGACCCCGTCCCAGGCTTTACATACTCCCTGCCGTACCAACCGAACTACTCGTAGTAACATCACTCCTGCCACTACTAGCCTTTGTCCCGGTAGTAGTAGCATCTGCCGAGGACACAGTGACAGTATACATTACCGAGTTGGTAGTTGAGCCAAATGTCCTTGTAAAAGTATCACCACTGACAGGGGGTGGAGACGGTGCCACCCACGTTAGACAGAGCTTTCGTTCTATTTCTCGGCATGCTGTTAGGATGATAGAATTTGCTATTCCCACCGGCATCGGCACGACCAAAGCCCAGGTCGCCGGCGCAATCATACGCCTCAGGGTATGGTCCGCATTCCTCTCGATGGCCGGAGTTGAGAATGCAGGTAAATCACTCATCGATACTCAGTGAGGGAGGGTTTAGTCCTTGGGCAGGTATTCCAGATACTTACTATTATCATTAGTAACATAACAGCAATAATGAAGTCCTTTAAGCTCTAGGATGGAATTATCTGCGGAGATGATAGCACTGTATCCACAACACACAATAGATACATGCTTGACCATAATCAATCATCGTGTCAGTATAGCACTTTCGCTCTCGCCGGTCGAAAAGCACTCATTATTGCTGGATAGTTTTTGATCAGCGTTTGTACTGTTATCCGAGCACCCGGTGATTTGATCGACGATCAGACATTCTTGTAGATCGATTTTGCCAAGGTTGCAGGAACAGGAACCAGGGGCATCATCGGGTGTCGCCTAATATGGTAAATTCTCCCGGCTGGGACAGGTGTTGAGGGAGTCTATAACGGTGTTTTGGTACTCTCAAGAGTAGACCTAACATGAGTGTGTCAGATTTCAAGAACAGGGTTTCTTACCTGGTTCCAACAACTCTGATCTACGCAATCAATCTAGAAGGCGAACCTTTCATAAAGCCTTTAGAGTCAGCGCAGGAGAATGGCTCGAAATAACCGACTTCCTTGGCGAGCGACAGAGAAGAAAAGGCTACTAGAGCTAATAACACACGAGATGAGAAACTCATATGAGATGTTTTGGTGCGATAAACAATTTTTGCTCAACATAGTGTCTATTGAAGAAAGGCTATTTATATTTAAGGTGAACGCCACCAGGAGCCACAAGGTTCGCGCTGGATAGTAGTGCTGACATGGGGCTCGACCAGATCCAATCAGATCCAAGATATATTGGCATGAATGATCTACTCTTTTACTTATTATGGGGATCGGATTCATCTTCTCTTCTAATATTCTCCTGTGTGAAATAACTGAGGAATTCCAAGCTAGGTAAGAGTAGCCAAGCCCAAACAGATCCTGTCAGTCCTCGTGGCGACCAATTACAAGCTATATGTATGCAGCTATTATAGCGAATCCGAAGCCGATAGCACAATGGGCCCCATTCTACTATGCATGAGGGTCTAGTCTACACCGTACTCCGTAGCCTCTTAGAATCTAATTTTCTACACCGTCTGGAAAAAGCAATTTGCTTTCTTTCCGTTTGCTTTCTTTATCCGTTTACTCTTCGTTCCCGATTTGATTGAACTGCGAGGAAATACCACAGAAAAACAGGAATGACTTGCTTGATACCATGCATGTCATGCACGTCTTTGAACAACCGATACACACTGATGATATTTATAACCCCTTTTTCTGCTTCCTGATTTGCATTTAGGAAAACTTTTTCTGAAACTTCACCATGCTACTAGAGAGATATATTGCAGGCCAACAGACTCCTGCTCTCGGCCAACCTACCGCCAATATAGCTGAGACGAGCGAGCACTATCTACAGGAGACACAAGATCGGTATGACGCGGAACGCAAAAAACGCCTGCGCCCAGATGGACCAACCCAATATGTGGGCTTGACCGATGAAGTCACCAACAATCTTCATTCGAATGAAAATATCGCGATCGACAACAACCTGCTCCAGCAGAACAAGGTCCGAATGGTCATCGTCGGCGCTGGATTTGGAGGACTGCTCTTTGCGGTGCGACTACTCCAGTCTGGATTTCTTCGTGCCACTGAGATCCTCTTCGTGGATACAGCAGGTAGCTTTGGCGGAACGTGGTGGTGGAACAAATATCCCGGATTGGCCTGTGATGTCGAAAGTTACACTTACATGCCCTTACTAGAGGAAACAAATTACATGCCGTCGCAGAAGTATGTCAGTGGGTCCGAGTTGAGAGAACACGCGAATCGCATTGCGGATCAATGGCATCTCAGTGAACGGGGGTTGTTCCAGACCAAGGTCAATCATTTGGTTTGGAACGACCGGGATCGTCGATGGACAATCCATATCACACCACATTGCCAATCACCCACTACGATACGATCCGATTTTGTCATCTTAGCTACCGGACTACTCAGCTCTCCAAAACTACCAAAATTGGATGACCTCGCGAACTACAAGGGAAAGGTTTTCCACACCTCTCGCTGGGACTATGATTACACTGGAGGAAGTCCAAGCAGCCCAACTATGCATGGACTACAAGACAAAACAGTTGGATTTGTCGGAACTGGCGCATCTGCTATACAAGCAATCCCACACCTTGCCCAGTGGGCAAAGAAATTGGTTGTGTTCCAGCGCACACCGTCTGCTGTAGATTGGCGTCATAATCACTCCACCGATCGCGCCTGGTGGGCGAAAATGGTCCAAGCAGCAGGCTCTGGGTGGCAGCGAGAGCGCATGGAGAATTTCAACGCCTTCCTTTCGAATGAGAGTCCGCTCCCAGACGTAGACCTTGTCGATGATGGTTGGACTAAGATGCAATCTTTCAGTGTATTGATCGGGAGTCCCTCTGGCCTTGACCCGGACCATCTGACGCGGATGCGCGAGTTGGACTTGCATCGCCAAGAGGCGATCCGCCATCGCGTGAAAACCGCGGTAACGGATCAAGCGACTGTTTGGGCTCTGAAGCCGTGGTATCCCGGGTGGTGCAAACGGCCGTGCTTCAGTGACAAGTTTCTCACGGCATTCAACCAGTCTAATGTCTCCCTGGTAGACACTAATGGGAAAGGGATCCGCAATATTACAAATCGCGGGATCTTAGTAAATTGCCAAGAGTATGATTTAGATGCCATAATTTTTGGGACCGGCTACAGTCTTGGAGGCAGTGCCGATCTTGGGGATCTGATTGTGACCGGCCGTGACAATCAGATGCTCCAAGAAAAAAGACAGAAGGGGCTGGCTTCACTCCACGGAGTCATGACCAATGGGTTTCCTAACCTATTCTTTTCGGGTCCGTATCAAGCAGGAGCGACAGCAAACCAGGTCTATGTCCTTGATCAACTTGCCGTTCATGTGGCCCACATCATCTCCGAATCCGGCAAGGTAATCTCGGAGAAAAACCCGAATGTCACCGTCCTCAAGTTTACTATTGAGCCTAGCTGTCACGCAGAAGGAGAATGGACTTCCAAGGTTTTGATGAGAGCGCGAGCACTGGGAGGTGTTTTACATTGTACTCCGTCGTACTTCAATCGAGAAGGACTGCAATTTGAGGACCATGAAGCCGTGCAGGCGGCACAATTCAGTATCTGGGGAGAGGGGATCAAGAGTTATGTGAAAGAGATTGAGGATTGGCGACAGACGGGCGGATTGGCAGGACTTGATATTCAGCCTCGACCTGAGGCATAGTTTTTGGAAATCATGTTCACACAGATCTGATTAAGACGGCCTGGTGGTTGATTTATTGAAAAAAAAAAATATTACCTACTTCCTATTGCTGTACGGAGTAGGGAGAGTCTCGATGCAAGTGCAACCGAGCCGTCGGGTCCTGGACTCGAGAGCCTTGCACAAAGTACAACGTGGGACAATTCAAATCCAATCCCTAGTCCAAAAAAAATGTGTCAAATTGATTCAGTTTACCCAGAGAAAAAAGAAAAAGGGAATACTACGAATCATAGTCGAGGCCATGTATTCAAATCCCGAAAGGGAAATTGATCATGATTTGTAGATAATGCAACACGTTACCGGTAATCGGTGACCAAATACAGTATTAAAAAAAAAAGTCCCGGGGTAGTATTTTGCCCCAGGAATCCCCAAACCCGTGGGATCCGGAGATTTCTCCATGTTCCAAAGGTCTAATTAGTATGGAGTGCATAAGTACAATTTTAGTCGAGCACAAGTTCGATCCAGTACGGATAATTTCCCCTAGAATGATAAATTCTTCTAACGGAAAGTGTTCACCGAACTCATCTCCGGGTTCGGCTTGGGCCGTCTCTTCTTTTCGGTCGGGGTTCCTCGCTCCCAAGCTCCTCAACTTCGGTATCCGTCATGTACGCATAGCCAATGTGGGTCATTTGTGGTTCCATTTCTACCGAGAACATGGCAAGTTTTCTGCCGGGTCCTCCGTACTCCGTAAGCCGAGGAATACGGGGTAGCATTTACTATATTTGGGCGCTCCAGAGTTGGGTCACAGCGGGTTCTGGAAGGTTTGGGTAGAGTCATAATTTGGGAACGTCGAATAACATGCCACGCTCAAGCGCACCGTCGACACAGCGAAAAGCAGCCAAGAAAAAGGTACAAAATCCTGCCGACAATAGCCCGTCAATCATCTTGTGGCGATCATTCGGCACGGGACAGGCTGGAAGGATTCATTTTCACGCGCGATTGCCAAGATAGTGCGCGATTGCCAAGATTGCCAAGATTGCCAAGCCTAGGTGCGGAGATGAAAAGCTGAGACAGTTGGCGTTCCTGTATGGTAATTGGCTTATTTTCCCGTAGGAGAAAAGCCTCGAAATCCTCGAAAGCCCATTGCAAATCTTGTCTTCTGATAGACCCACTGAGTGGCTCGGCTATGCCCGAGCTGCGAGCCACTTTGACACTGTTGATCGTCTTGATTTACGATTGTTTTGGCTCTTATATTATTTGCTTTTTGAACAACGGCTAGGAACATACAAGGAACATACACAGACTTGAATAGGTAAAACCTTAGCATGAAACTAATCCTCCCGTGATTATTCTTACTGTACCCTGTCCGTACTAGTAAGCTTGCCTTACGCCAAGACTTATGGTTTCCCTTCAAGTAAAGGGGAGAGGAGTCGGATTGTGTGGCGTGCCCAAGGTCTGTGCTTTGGACGGCTTGCCCTCAATGTGACATTGATGTGAATATAGTAAGCTTTAGTTTGAAAGTAATGAACTGTGAACTGTCCTTTCAGGTCAGCAGACTCATCGCTTTTTCTTCCAAGGTTAAAAAAAAAAAAAAACCCGGGGAAGAGGTTACTATACATATAACATAAGTAGGAGTCATACGTCGAAGGGAAAAAGGTAAAAATATAAAAAATAAAAAATAAAACATATGTGGGGCACATGGAGCACAGTCCCATGGAAGTTAACCAATAAACATTGTTTTCCCCGCGGACCTTCTATCCCAAAGTGAACATCTCTGGTTTTCCGCGCCCCGAGGCTCTGTTTGGTTCTAGATGTTCCACCAAACGTTTTCTATAGGCTTTCTATGGGGTTTTCTATGGGGTTTTTTTTCATTTTGACCTTCTGATGGCCGATGAGACAGGAATCAACGGATAAATCCTGGGAGTTTCAACCAATCAGATCCTCCAAGCATACCCGGTAAGCTTGGGCCGTGGAGCGCTTCCCCGGTTTACCTATACTTGCCGTTTTTCTATGTCAAATCTCCAGAGCCGACTTGGCTACACAAGTCATTCCAGCCGATTTCTAGATTTCCCTTGTATTTGTTGCCGACAGTAAGCCAAATATGGATTAGATTAAGTTTTTTATTATTTTTTTCCTGCAGTTTTTTGCTTTTTTTCTTTTTCTTGGACATGGGGGAGGTCTGGGGATGAAGCACAAGTGGCTCTCTCCCCCAGGATATAAACCCTCTCCCCCTCCTCACTCCCTCTCCTCTCCTCTTCCTTCATCCCCATCGCTCATTCCACACCGTCTTTGAGGTATCTCACTCTTTCTGGATTTTTTTTAAACACATCTATCCACATCGACTCGCTACCATGCCCGGTGGAGCAGTCGTCTCTGATGAGCAGGTCGACGCCTCGCGCGTCGAGGCTCCCGTCACTTTCAAGGCCTACTTGATGTGCGCCTTTGCCGCCTTTGGTGGTATTTTCTTCGGTTATGACTCTGGTTACATCAACGGTGTTCTCGGTATGGAGTACTTCATCTCCGAGTTTGAGAATCTTGTGAGTGTCCATGTCTCCCCATAGTTCCTGTAATCCCACTAATCGTACCTAGGATCGCGCCTCTACCCCCGATGAACTCTTCGTTATCCCCTCATCCCGAAAGTCGCTCATCGTCTCTGTTCTCTCTGCCGGTACTTTCTTTGGTGCCATCATCGCCGGTGATCTGGCTGATTGGTTTGGTCGTCGGATCACTATCATCGCTGGATGCACCATTTTCATCGTCGGTGTCGTCTTGCAGACTGCTTCTACCAGCATTGGACTTCTCGTTGCCGGTCGTCTCATTTCCGGTTTCGGTATCGGATTCGTCTCCGCTATCATCATTCTGTACATGTCCGAGATTGCACCCCGCAAGATCCGTGGTGCGCTCGTCGCAAGTTACCAGTTCTGCGTCACCGTTGGTATGATGATGGCCTCATGCGTGAACTATGGCACTCAGAACCGTACCGACAGTGGATCGTACCGAATTCCCATTGCCCTCCAGATGCTCTGGGCTCTCATTTTGGCCTTTGGATTGTTCCTCCTGCCCGAGTCCCCTCGATTCTACATCCGCAAGGGTCAAAAGGATAAGGCTCGCACCGTGTTGGCCCGCATCCGTGGCCAGCCCGAGAACTCAGAATTTGTGGAGTACGAGCTGAATGAGATTGACGCCAACAACCAGTACGAACTCATGGCAATCCCCCAGGGTGGATACTTCAGCACCTGGCTCAGCTGCTTCACCGGAAGCCTTTGGCACCCTAACAGCAACGTTCGTCGTACTATTCTAGGTACCTCTCTGCAGATGATGCAACAGTATGTCTCATATTTCCTCTCCCTATTACTGAATAGAAACTAATGAGCCATAGGTGGACTGGTGTCAACTTCATCTTCTACTTTGGAACCACTTTCTTCACGCAGCTTGGCACAATTGACGATCCCTTCATGATCAGCATGATCACCACCATCGTCAATGTCTTCTCCACCCCCATCTCCTTCTGGACCATTGAGAGATACGGACGTCGTGCTTTGCTCCTTTGGGGTGCCCTGGGTATGGTTCTCTGCCAGTTCATTGTCGCCATCATCGGTGTCACCGATGGCCAAAACCCCAAGGCCGTCAGCGCCATGATCGCCTTCATTTGCATCTACATCTTCTTCTTCGCCAGCACCTGGGGCCCTGGCGCTTGGGTCGTCATCGGTGAAATCTACCCTCTGCCCATTCGGTCCCGCGGTGTTGCCCTCTCCACCGCTTCCAATTGGCTCTGGAACTGCATCATCGCAGTCATCACTCCTTACATGACGGACGCCGACAAGGGTAACCTTGGCGCTAAGGTGTTCTTCATCTGGGGTTCGCTGTGCAGCTGCGCCTTTGTCTACACCTACTTCCTCGTACCCGAGACCAAGGGTTTGACTCTGGAGCAGGTTGACAAGATGATGGAAGAGACCACTCCCCGCACTTCTGCCAAGTGGAAGCCTTCCACCACCTTTGCTGCCGAGATTGGATTGGACGAGAAGACTGCTCATCTCCCCAGCGTGACTCAGCAGGAGGTCTAGGTCATGCAGGTGGGTCTACCTAGCTCTGGCATGGTGGTTCACTTGTTCACTGCTCCCTTGACGTAGTTTTGGCTCACTTTCAGCCGGCCTTCGTTTCTATTCTTGCCTCTATCATGCGTTGACGGTTTCATGCGACATTGCCCCCGATATCCACGAATATGCATGTACCATACTCCATTTAATTCCGAATACTCGTGATACTATCTTCCTCTTAATTCCTGTAGAAACCCATTTAACTGTGTAAATATTAGATAAAGATAAAAGCTTCAAACCCGTGCCTGCCAAGCGAACACCCCTGGGGTGTAACTGATGAGCCATCCTCTCTCGCATAAATTTGAACCCCACATTCACTACTCTTACACCAACCATACCAACCACGCCAACATTCGTCAACTTCTCAGGCATCGGAAGATCTTCGGGCAGCAAGCAATCGCCAAGCCTTTCATGGGGTTATGTCAGCGCCTTGGCAAGCCCTGGAAATCCGAGGTCCAAACGTCATTTTGCAAATGCTCTTCAACACAGATTGAACGGGAAATGCACTAAAGCAAAGTCTTTCACATGTGCCTTGTCTTGCATTAATTGGAATCCGAGGTTTTCCGATAATCCTCGGAATGCGACATGCTCATTGTTGACTATTAACACAAATACACAGCCAAAGCTGTCGGGGCTCCATTCTCCGCTGACTGTTGTCAGGGGACGGGACCGCCAAGACCCGACTACGTATACTTACCACGCACGTTAGGAAGACTCCTCCCGTCTGGTCGTTACATTGCAGCTATAATGGACCGGGCTTTGGGGGAAATTGATTGGCGGGGGGTTTTACAGGGAGCCTATCTGTCCCCTGGCGTTAAACCTATCCGTGACGAGTCGGGGATGCATGCGCTACCCTGCTACGGCCTTGCGCGGTCACCGACGGAGATGACTGCTCGTTTGCTATCTAGTGGCTATGTCTCTGCTTTCAGATACTCCTTCCACAACTACAGATTTCTGGGTGGATCAGCTATAGATTGGATTAAAGAAGCCTCGTCATCTTGGTCGATCACTTGGTCCAGTCCACGCAGGGGAAGACTTGTTCTATGAATATCATACTTTGGCCTCGTCCTTAATTCCCCACATGGACAATTGCGAAAACGCCAATGGCTCGTTTGTCCTTAGCAGGACACTAGTGCCAGAATGATCGACAGTGGATTCATCAGAGATGGTTAGAATTACTGCTGTCTGCCTCGTTCATAATCTACCGATGTCCTATCAATTGCAGGCAATTACAGCCCTTTGCCCTAGGATGTCGCGGTTTTATTGACGGATGGTTAGAACTCCGCTGCGGGGTCCTGCAGTTACCAGGAAGCCTTCCTCGCTGAGAAATATTCCGCGTTTCATTTGTCAATGTAACTCCATATTCCTCGTCAGCTTCATGACAATGTCTTTCTCGGGCGGGACTATCCTGAATCGAGTCATGATCCGCCTTGGATGTTATCTGGAGAGGCAACAGGAAGGTATAAAACACCCCAAGTAACCCAGCTGTGGCATCCTCAACTTCCTCCTTCACATTCAATCAGCTTTTAAAGCCTTGGTCTGGACTCCCTACTTTGAAGTTTCTCCTTTCTGTCCTTTGAAACCCAGTGATTAGGTTGATACCTCGACCATGGTTTATCTCGCATCTGTTGTTGCCATCGGCCTGAGTGCTCTGACTGGCATTGCGTCCGCGCACCCAGGGCATGATGTCAGAGCCGAAGCTGCCGAGCGAGCTGCATTCTTGCAAAGTGCCCCTGTTCACTCACGCAGCCTTGCGCAATGCGCCTCTCGCCTTCAGCGTCGAGGCCATCAAAGCCGAAACGTTGCTCGGCGTCACATGGCCGTGAAGAACATACGTCGCCACCTTGGTCTTGAGCGTAGTATGTTTTGAAGTCAAGTCCAAATACTATCACATTTTAACAAGTTGGTAGCCAACCACTATCTCAAGGCGCGTAACGCTGATAGCCCACTGGATACTTCGCACCACTCCAACCTCACGGGAGTGGATTCCTCTACCGACCCCGAAGTGTTGTTTGGCACCGATGCGACCTGCATTCTTGGGCCTGAAGTCACTCAGGGGCCTTACTGTCAGCTTGCCATCTCTGTTTTACGATTGAATTTACTGACGCGGCTTAGATGTCACGGGTGAACTGGTCCGTAAAAACATCGCGGAGTCCCAGGGTGGTGTTCCTCTCTACATGGACATCCAGCTGATCAACACCAACACCTGCGAGCCTATTCCGGAGATTTACATAGACATGTGGCACTGCAACTCGACCGTAAGAAAATTCTCCAGCCCAAATCTCACTGTATCACAATGCGAACCGTTCCGCTCATGTCCATCATTATAGGGTGTCTATTCTGGAGTCGTCGCCAGTGGAAACGGCAACTCTGGCGATAGCACTAACCTTGACGCGACCTTCAACCGAGGTGTCCAGAAGAGTAACGAGGATGGTGTCATCCAGTTCCAATCAACCTTCCCAGGCCATTACACTGGCCGTGCAACTCACATCCATGGTAAGTTGCCCAGCTACGAGAACCTCCCCTCATAGTCATGTCTCCTTTTCTCTACAGTTTTCTTATTTGCACAACTTACCTTTGCCACATATGGCCAGTTAAAACACGTTGCAATATTCACTAACTTCATCAACAGTCCTCGCCCACCCAGCCAATGAGACCAAGGTTCTTGCAAACGGAACCATCTCTGGTCTGTATACCACGCACTCCTCGCACGTTGGACAGATTTTCTTCGACCAGGATCTAATTGCCGCCGTTGAGGAGGTCGCCCCGTATTCAACCAACACTCAGGCTTTGACGACAAATGCCGAGGACAGCATTCTCGGCGAAGAGCTCGATACCATTGACCCATTCATGGAATACGTCTATCTGGGCGATGATGTCTCCGATGGAATATTCGCTTGGATCTCGGTTGGTCTCGACCCTACCCAGGACACTACCGTTACCCCTGCAGCCTACTACACCGAGGAGGGTGGTGTTGAGAATGAGAACTCCGGTCGTCCTGGTGGCGGTGGCTCCGGTGGTGGCCCCCCAAGCGGCTTCCCAACTGCCTAGGCTACGTCTCGGTCTGTCTAAATGAGACGGTGTGTGCTTGTCTCACGACTGCTGCAAATGGGTAGGTAGGTCATATGGTTATTTAATCTCCTGTCCTCCACTAGCTGTTACATTTTCGATATTGCAAGAGTCGAAAGAGTTTGTGATGGGTTTTGCCTCGCTCTTCACATCGAATTTACAGTTATAGTTTTAAGTGATTTGTTTGGAAAGACACTGCTTAGATTCCAATCCATATCAGTCGTAAACTGTTCTGCGAGAGAGACTCGTCTTCACGATAGAGATTCCCTCCTTGATTAAGAACCGGACCTACCTAGTAGTATCTAGTGATTATTTCGACATCAAATGAGCTGATTGTTAAGGTCAAACCTGACCTAAGAGTGTTGACTACGCAGACTTTGGTGAGGCACTTTTATTAAGCGCTGTAAATCATTATCATCAAAGAAGTCTTTCCACTTGTGCTTTCCGTCGGTTATGAATTTGCTAACAATTTTACCAAGAGACAAAAGACTCCAGGGGTGCTGCTCAAGTGGCCAGTGCAGTAATATCTTCGATTACTACACAGTAAAATACACAGCCCTCTTCAGCCATATGGATGACACATTCATTTCATTAACGGCCTCGCGTTCGTCGTGTCGGGCGAGGAGTGTATTCAGGTTCCAAGTCTTCACCCTTATCATTGTCCGCCTCGTTATCTGAACCCGAGGAGATAGACACAGGGGAGTCTGCAGCAGGACGTCTAGGTTCAAATGACATGCTGTCATCGGCGTCATCAGCGTCAGTCTGAGACGGATTTGCATGACTCCGCTGCTGATCATGATTCTCGACTAACCCATCGTCCGCATCATCTTCATGACCAGGAAGAAGAAAGCCACCGCCATGATCAAACGCGTTGTATGACGACTCCCGATCAGGCATATCTTCATCAGCCCCATCATCCAATTCCTCCTCTCGCTTTTTCTTCTGTACAGCAAAAGGATTATGCGAATCGCGCTCCCGATCAGCATCTGGATCCCCACCCCCATACTCATCCCTCACTCGCTCCATAATTCGTAGCCCAAATAGAAACTTCCTCCACGTCTGCAGAATCTTCTTCTCAGCCTTGAGCTCCTCCCTTTTCCTCTTCTCCGCGGCCTCAACCTTCCAAGCATCCCTAAGCAAGCCCTCATTCTCAGCCGCTACAACAACACCTTGAATAACCGGCACAGCCATCTTTGACCCAAACTCGAATCCCGTCACTGCCTCCGCATAGTCGATGCCAAGCTTCTTACACACCCGAACGGTACCAGGTAAGGGGACATGTGCCGCACCCGCAGGGACCATACTCGGCACGAAACAGTCGATATTACCATATTCGTTCTTGGGGATACGGCCGTCCTGGATAGGCGGCGGGACAATGTACTCTGTCTGGTCGCGCGCGTACAGACCCTGTAGTGGTTTCTCGCCGGTCTGGCGATGCATTTCGTCGACTTCGCGTTTGCGTATGAGGGTCACTGCGCGGATGGGCACACGCTTGAGGGCTACTGCACCCGGTTTCGGCTGGCGACCTTCTTTGTGCCAGCTTTCAGCAGAGAGGCATTTTAGTACGTCTTCCCGTCGGAAGACGGGTTCTTCTTTGGCCCGGGCGCCTTTTCCGGCGATGAAGGTTCGTACGGGTTCGGCGCCGGGGCGGAGGGCTTCTTCGCGGCGGAGGAAGCGCTCTAGGACGAATTCGGTGGAGGTTCGGAGGCTTTGGAGGGTGTCGGCGGTTTGGGTTGTTTTCTTCTTTTCGGGTTGGTTGGGTTGTAGATCTCGCGTTTCTTCAAGTTTATCAACTGCTGTTTTACTCTTACGGGCTCGTTGGTACCCGCGCATTACCATACCGAACCAGTCGAAGGCGATGTAGTTCCCGCGTGGACCTACGGGTACTTTTTCCAGGGGCATTCGGAAACCCTTCGTTTTGCCGGGCCAGGTCCGCCGTCGAAGATATCTTGTTGTGACCTCTTTAGCAGTACCATCCGATGAATGGGCAACGACGTAGCATATGACTTGTTTAGCACGGTCTGCTTTTGCACCGCGGGGCTCGAAGTTTGCTTGTAGATCTGTATCTGCAAATGGTGCCACGGGGTTAGAAAGTACAAGCGGGTCGACAGATATGATCTCATTCGTGACCGGTGAAGCAACTTCGGTCCAGTAGATAGGAAACGGCAGATCACTGTCAAACTGTTTGCGCTTGTTCTTCGCTGGTCCTTTATTTTCGGCTACATCAGTCTCGGGCTCAGATCCTTCCAATTCTCCTTCTTTTTCGGTATCCTTGGAAGGTGTGACAGGTGTGTACGTCTCTCCCTTGGTCCAACCAAATCCCAGCGGCTGTAGGCTAGCCACGAGTCTGGCCTCGATGCCTAAAGCGCGGACGAGAGCTGTGAAGAGCTGTGCGCCGATGTCCCGTGAGCCCTGCATACGCTCGGCGGTCGCGCGGAATTCGTCGATGTTGGCGATGCGCTCACCATGGCGCTCTGGATCATGTTCTTCCTCACGAAAGTCGGTTATTGCAGTTTCCAGAGCAGATACCGGCCGGTATCCATACTTTCGCAGTCCTGGCGCCGTGATGTGAAACTGCTTCCTCCAGTATGCGACCAACACCTTCATCAACGTAATGATTGGATCGCCACGGCTCATATCCGGCTGGCCTGGTTCCAGTCGCTCCGACTCGTCACTCCAGTCTTTATTTCTCTGGGCTTTTTTGCCCTTCTTCTTACTCTTGGGCGGTTCCGGCTTTGGTTCTGGGAGCTCTAGGCCCGATGCTATGCGCCATTTCTTGACTTCCTTGTGGATCCCTTCCGGTAGCTTTTTGCGCAGGATCTCATGGACCTTGGAATCGTTGCTCCAGGCATTGCGGATAGCGTTGTGGAAAAGCAAGCATTGGACATGCATACAGTGTGTCTGGATCCGGATTTGGCGCTCAATTTTACTGGGCCCTTTTTTCCCATCCAGAAGATCGGATACGTGACTCTCATTTTGATCCAGGGTCAATTCTAGGTCCTGTAGCTCCGGAGCTGCGACGGTAGGTGTAGTGGCGTTGGTCTTTGTGTCTATCGCATCCTCCCAATCAATATCCTCTTCTTCATCATCAGATTCCTCGGGTGTATTTCCCTTGAGGAGATCTTCAGGTGCGTCGCTCAGAGATGAGTTGGAATCGGAGTCGGAGTCGGAGAGGTGGAACGGAGCACGGGGAGCTTGGGAAGGAGCTTGAGAATCATCGGGCCGGGCCTGGCGCTTGGCCGGGGGCGGGTCCTCGGAGGAGACGCGCTTGCGGGGGACGAAGGGTGGCATGCGAAATGAATGTGATGTGAAGTACTAACGAAGGGTCGCCGAATGTCGGGGGGAAGAGGGAGAGTCATCGGCCGAGGTTGCGCTTTATTTTAGTTTTCCTTGCAACTTGCAACTTCACAACTTTACACCCTTTTGCCATTATTTACATCTAGTTAACTAGTGCCCTTTTTAAATTATTCAATCCTTGAATCAACATACATTTATCCCAAATGGCAGCAGTCAAGCGGTTCTTCTCTTCCCCCCGCTTTGCAGTGGCGGGGGCTAGCAATGACACTCATAAGTTCGGATACAAGAGTAAGAGAAAACACCTCTGTTGGCATTTGTACTAGGGAACTAAATCATTGCAGTCCTCGCCTGGTATCATCAACACTCTCTACCGGTGACACCACTCAATCCCCGAGCAGCGCAGATCACCCTCCCCTCGCGTGCTTACGATACTGTCCCCTCGCCGGCCAGTTTGCCATCGCCGTCGCAGACTTCCCTGTCAGTGGTGACTCCTCCGGCTGTGACCCTTAAGGTGTTGGAGGAAGCGCACTCAGTAGGGATCCCTGCAGTCTGGTTACAGCCTGGCACTTTTGACAATCAAGTGCTGGAATACGCTCATAGTCACTTTGAGGCGGTGATCGCGGGAGATGGAGGACAAGGCAGCGAGGGATGGTGTGTGTTAGTTGATGGTGATGAGGGATTAGAGGCAGCTGGAGTACAATGGACCAGCCAACGATTGTAAATTCAAGGATATATATGTATGTATATCATGAAAATGTCATGTAGGGGGTTTTAAATAGTGTTGAGACAAACAGGAACACTAATCCCGACACGGTATCCAACCTCTCTCTTTTTTTCTTCCTTTTTTTCTTCAGTTCTCTTTTTTTCTCCGATTTTGATCTTTTGATCTTTTGATCTTTGATCTTTCTCTTTGTCTTAGTTTCTTTTCTTCTAAAATGCCCGACATGCACGCCTTCTTCAACTCTGCTTCACCACCGAAACTCGACCTCTCAAATGCGCCCTCTCAGCTATTCCAAGTACCAGCCTCCACGGCTTCCACCTCACTATATTCTCTTTCAGTCAGTCGCAAGCGACCACGTCGTAACACAGAAAAACTTTCGTCGCATTTTGAGTCCAATTTCACCGAGTCTCCCATGATCCACTCCAACTACCGCTCAGTAAGCGTAAGTGGAGGCAACGATTTCCACGCCTCTGCCGAGCTAGATTACCGTCCGAACCGATACCGCGAATCCTTCCTCCCACCCTCCTTCGATTCCAGCGACGAGTCCACAACTCTAGACTACAACGGCAGTCGCAAGCGCAGCCGCCGCGACTCTTGCATCATATCTGCAAGCCCCGATGGCCCCAACACCACAACTCCCACAGGCTGGGGCCAGACCGTGATCAAAGCCGTTACCAAAGTCCTCGATTTATGCTGGGCTGGTGCCTTTCGAGGTTTCTACGCAGGAGGAGGACAGGGCTATGACATGTCATCCGGGCCAGCAACAACTCTCGAATCCAGCTGGCAGCCCTCAACCAACCCATCTACCGAGAAAGACTTGTACAGCCCGAGCACATTCTGCTCGACGCCCATACCCGGCCAATACCCAGATGATGACGTTGACCGAAGCTGGGTCGTGGTACCCGAGAGCTCGGATCCATTCGTGGGCAGCAGTGAGCTTGCTAGCCCGTCACTCCGCACACGACGCATTTTTCAGGCATCCAGTCCTCGCCGCAAATCCGCTGTAATGCCCCGGCTCGCTAAGCGAGTCACTTATTCTTCTGGCGGAGCCCACTCACCTCCTAAGGGACAGGCGGGCCTTCCATCCCCTCGGTTGAGGGATGCTCCTGCGTCTGCTGATATCCAGCGACAGGCTGCTAAGATGCGCCGAAAGGAACGAGAAGAAGATGCCAGTATCCAGCGATTAAATAAGCAGTTGCAGGCGATGATCAGGCAAGGTAAGGAGGCGTTGGGGACGACGGTGGTAGTGGACGATGTGGACATGTATGACTCTGATTAGGCTGGTCTTTGCCTTTCGGGACATCTTCCATCTCGAGTAGTATGGCTGTATTTATTTTCATCGCGTGTAACGACCTGATACCCCCAAGGGCGCTCTTTAACTGGGTGGTCCGGACCGGACAAGCCGGTTTTGATTTGACTACGACTTACGATTTCTATGTTTCGATTTTTTTGCGTGCGCTCCTTGCAGCTTCGTCTGCCTGTCTCATTACATGGCAGGATTTTCCTGCGGGTTTCTGTGTCCAACTTCAAATTTGCCTGTGACTTATGCACCAAAGCTTCGGCTTATCATTGAATCAAGGAATGCATTTGACATTGTTTCAAATAATAAATAACAACTTAACAGCTGGACAACATAGCCGATTGCGCATCCCCAATCTTGGTCGGCTAGTCTACTAATTTCACAACCTCCTCATCACAATCTGTTCAACTGATAAAAAAGAATAAAACACAACGCAACTATACCATGTATGGCTTACTTGGAAACAGCAATAGAGCCCTTCTTCTCAGCAGCAACGCTAAGGCTGGAGTGAAGACACCAAACGCAGGGTCTATAGGACCCGCAGCGGAACCATCACCAATCTTAGGGGAGTTAGCGTCGAGCTTAGGCGCAGCACTTTGCCAAAGCACCATCCTAGAGAACACTAGTCAGTGTGGAGCCCTAGATGGGGGGCGTCGAGCTTGTTAGCGTCGCATCGCATCTGGACGAATGTTAGCTTGTTGGTTTGCTTCTGCGTTATTAGGTGACATTTATTTGTTTGTTCCTAGACATCCTCCGCCTTAGGGTTTCCTGTCTCCCTTGGGATCTAATCGAGATATTTAATTCCATCATAATAGTCACTCAGATTGCTCATGTAAAAGATAGCTCTCACCTCAGGCCTACGTTAATATCAGTGCATGTACGTACTTACTGTTTGTAAATAGCTAGCTACATGTAGATTAGCGTAGTGTCGATAGCTTGGCTCCTTATGAATACTTAACCTAAGCAACTAATACACAAGGCGGCCAATTGGCCTAGTGGTAAGGCATCCGTTTCCGGTGCGGGAGATCGTAGGTTCGAATCCTGCATTGGTCGTTATCTTTTTGTTTTTTGACGTGTATACGCGTTTTCTTTTTCCCATTCTTCTTGGCTTGCTTGGTTTACTTACTTAGTTTATTTAGTAGGCCGCCTGCCTCTCTCTCTTTTTCTCTCTTCATCCTCATATGGCGGGGCGGGGGTGGGTGGTGTTTTTAGGCAATCCTGTTTTGCAAATCCATAGGAGTGAATGGTTATTTAAAATGCATGCACTGTGAAAAGATGATCGGTATCATTCACATGTATAACAGGTTATTAATTAACATGGTACACATGTTTTATATATTTATTCCAGGTAGTTTCGAATCTATTCAGTAAGATAAGTTTCAAACAAGGTAGCATGTTCCAATTGACCAAGTATACATATAACTAACTATATTTATTTATATATATGAAGGGAGGGCTCTATCAAACAGCATATTATTTTGATCATAAGTATTTTCTCCGTCCAACCCAGTTAGTGCTTTCTCCAAGTTTGTTTCTTTTCTCCTAACTACCTACCTGCCTGCCTACCTCTCTATACACAAGCCCTAAATAGATAGCCACACGTGATTTATTTTATATCTCTTACCACCTACCTCATCACCCCAGTCAAACAACCTTCAGGCTGTCTCGGAAGAAAAACATTCCATGGATTCGGTATACAAAAACTATACCCCCTCTATATATCTACAGGGGAGAGAAGCAAAAAGTTGACGACCAATGCAGGATTCGAACCTACGATCTCCCGCACCGGAAACGGATGCCTTACCACTAGGCCAATTGGCCAACCACGATGAGTTGGGATGAAAGATCTCAATGGCCGGCGTATATAAAGCATATGCTTAGTTTCCAGATTGAGAGTATGTACCAGATAATGTCCGCAAGTCTTCCTAGGTTGAATAAATTAACAAAGAGAATGACAGCCAGTAGTCTCACCTGGGCTTGGTGTATACAGTGATTGTGAATATTTCAAGGAAAGAAAGGAGGCTCGGGAATTTGTTCATATGCATCGGAATGTCTTTGTACCTGTGATATATAAATATCGAGGCTTATGAATCTGGGTCTACATTTTTTTGTAAAATTTTTGTATTTGATCCATTCAACACCCCGTATCTCCCTACAACAAGCGACAATAAGGAAACCAACGAATAGATATACTAGATATTTAGACGCAGAAGGTATACACATTGAGCGGTTGATACCGAGGGTATTTATTGCTGTACTTCGGGGGAGTAGGTACCAAAAATTGAAGAAACTTAATATATTCCGAGTACCAGCCTCGATGTCTATAATTAGGTCTATATAAATCACAAACCTCTCAATAAATCCCGTCAGGCCTGCCGTGCGGGTGATCTATCGAGTCTCGCCGAACCTCGCGACGAATGAATCTCCCAATGTGAAGTGACCTGAATATGCCCGGGAGCAAGATGGCCCATCTTTGCCACGAAAGGCTGAGTGATAGTGACCAGAGGCATCTCTGGCTCATCCAACCGCCTGCCCGAAAGAACCGTCGTCCTCCAGTACCTCGCAAAATTGGGGTCATACATAGAGGTATGGATTGGAGATGGTAACGCCGATATTCTGAAGATCCTTTGAATGGCTGGCTCCAGTGTTGGGAGGCAGGCAACAATTAATGCTAGAAGAGGGATGATGCACGAGAGTATTGACTTCCTGACAGAACCGTGCGTTGGGTCTTTTGGGTCGAGGTCGAACTCGAGTTTCGCACGGACAGCAATAATGGAAATGATGCTAGAGCATTAGTTAGTCAACATGTTTGTACTATGTATCTTCTTGCATACGATCATGGGGTGGGTACTCACCCCAGCCCTAGCACTTGGATACAAATTAGTACAGCCTTCCTAGTCTTCGATAACGGGGTACCCCATATCAAAGGGATAGGAAGAATGACAACAAAGAAGCTGAGAATTGCCTCACTCGCGTGGACACCAGTATGTAACATCTTGCGATCACCGCAATGACCCGGAGTGTCGACAAGCCATATTCTCTTCGGCGGAGTACAGAAAAACGCCGTTGCAAAGAAGGCTGCAACCCAGAGAGCCAAACACAGACTCATGATAGCATGTGCTAGCAAGGTAATAGCATGCCGACCAAAGCTGTGCACATAATAGCTGAGAATCGACAACTGGATCAAGGCAATCACAGTGACCCAGAGAAGATCACCCGCATATGTAAGCTGATGGTATGGTTAGTTGAAGAAACAAATCGATATGAATTAAATGGATTCCACTCATTGGGAATTACCTCGTTGAAACGAATAAAAACCTCAGCCCCTCCCACATGGGTTACTTCGGTGGAATGCAGCCCCATTCCACACAGTACGACCATGATGATTTCCACTACATAGCGACCGATCATAACAAACTATGTTTCTATAATCAGCCCTGTCGAGATATTGCGGGGAACTAACAACGCCACATATCGAGAAGAAGCAATGTAATAGATAACCATACCGTCGCAACTATAATCAACAAATCATTCAATTTCAGCGAAATACACTGCAATCGTCGCGACCATAGCCGCAGACCGACAGCAGCAAAAGCAATAGCCAAAAGGACCGACTGCACAGCAATATCTGTCTTTCCCAAGGTATTATGACCAAGGGAGTGAATAAGTGTTGCTGAGGGAGGCGCCATGAGGGAGAAGTTGACGCCGAAGAACCTCTTCGGAAAGAAGGATTCTGCTTTAATTTTCTAGGACACCCGCAAATATGAAACAATCAGACATGAAAATATTGGGGCCCAAGTAGCGCACAAGGGCGGGGGCAATTATCTCAAGACCAATGCCCAAGGAGAATTACAGCATTTACATCTAGAATATGAGGACCTGTGGGATTGACGCCGAAAATGACCGCTTTTGGAGCCAGAAACGGCTACCTTTCCGTTCGTAACTTTGGACGTCCAGCCGCCCCTTGACCGCCCACTACCCTGTAACACGCCCACTACCCTGTAACACCACTATTTCGCACCCGGGTTCCAGCTGAGCGGGTCTAGAAAAGACTTTGCGGGGACTAGAAAAATCTTACATAATTTCTAGTCCCCTTCAGCTTCTGACCTGGGGGGGACTAGTTAGTTAGTTAACTAGAAATTTCATAATTATATAATACTATTTTTCTCTTGCGGATTTTTTCACATTCCTGTTATCCTAATACTATTTTACATACCCATAGTTAACTGGATGTATATAACATATACAACTGGATATATAACATATGCATATAACAGCTATACCTAAATTCTATTAAAATATAATACTACAAATTTATTTATTTTGAGATTTTTCTTGAGTACATTTAAGAAAATCGATATAGAGCGCTATATACTAGGTCCCACAATTTTTGCTGGAGCTTTCCGGGGAGAGACGGCGCTCTTAGGGCCGCTTTGGAGACAGGCCCCAGTTGCCGAGGCCATGTGAAATCGGGACGCAGACAGGATAAGAGGGCTCCCATAGAAGATTGGGGTGCAATATGATCGTGCGGGAATTCTCAGAAGTGTGGTGCATACCCAGGTGCCCAGGTAGAGAAACCCGAAATAGCATATTTATAATACGTGTTTCACGCCTGACTGAAGAGGGATTATCGGATAAGATATAATCTGAAGCTTGACTACAGAGTAGATATTGAGGTTATTTGAATGAAGAATTAGTATCCAAGTTCTGCTTGTGCATGTGTCATCGCCCCATAAGTGTTTTCGGATGGCTACAGGCATATTCTAGTTACATGTGAATACACATCTGACCACCAGAAGGTGATGAATTCTCGAGCAATGAAGCGTCGACTTCCTCGTTTGAAGAAACATGATCATCGTTTCTCTTGGTAATATCCTCCGTCAAAGATTTGACGCCTGCCACCGAGTCGTCAGTAGTTCCCGCTGCATGAGACGTCTCTGAGTCGGGCAAGGTTACCAATATCATAGAATCCATGCGCGTTTGAGCTTCCGAGGAACTAGACTCATTTTCCAGGCTGTTATGCAACTGAAATGGCTCCTCTTCTATTGCTGGCTTTGGGGGTAAAACCCGTCTGTCCCTACTATCTGTCTGGACGGAGCGAGTAGACTCAGATGAGTAGCTTTGCGCCATGGGTATTCCACCACGAGTAGACTCAGAACAGACAGAGAGCGACCTTTCCTGCCTTGGTCGACCAAAACGGCTGGAAGGCTGGGGTGTCGAAATACCGGGACCTGGCCTTCCTGCGAGCCTGTGCATCAAAACCTGAACGATTTCATCGGCCAGTTCCCGCAAAGGCGGAGGATAGAACTCTGACGTGGAGTGTCTTTCACCAATTTCACTATAGCTATCGTACGTTCTGTAAGAGTCTTGGCTCTTTGTTGAACCACTCGAGGTATGTCTGCTGTCGGTGCGGCCACTGCTTTGTGTTTCCAAGCCGGTATATGAAAGATTTCCGGGGGGAAATGGTACATTCGGAGGGACCCCCGGCGGTAGGAATTCACTTTCTGACTCAGTGGTGGAGTCGTCAGTCATACGAGACTCGAAGGGAAAGACATGTCTAGGGTGCCGGGCCGGTTCTTCTCCGGTCCTCTGCGTTCTTTCGACTGATATGTCGCTCGTCGGCCTCCTATGCCTCTCCATGCCGTGAATGATGCTCTTCTCAACCAACTTTTCAACGGCTTCATTTTCCATCCCCAGGTCACGCAACATCTTCCGCCTGGCTAAATCCGTAACCTCCTCCATCCTTTGTAGCATCTTCTCCATTGCCCGACTCTCAAGCTCCTCGCTCTGTCTAGCCGTTGTCTCTCTCATATCCTCTTCGGTCTCTCTCTCCCTTTTTATCTTAGTCCGCAGGTCGTCCTCGAGGCGTTTTGCCTGCACCGCAGCAAGTCGCTCTCGGTCAATTTCCGCGCGTTGCTTGGCCTGTAGCTCTTCCCTCGCTTTCTTTTCAGCCTCGATTTTGATCAATTCGGCCTTTTTTATAGCCTCTTCCTGTTCACGGTCCATGGCCTCGAACCGCTTCTGGACCTCCTCTTCGGTCTCCTTCCGAATTCGCGCCTCAAAATCCTTCTGCTCATCTGCCAGTTTAGTCTTATATTCGATAGCTCTCATAATCTCGAGCTGGGCTTCAACTCTAATTTTGTCGACATCTAGAACGGTAGTATCCGGTGGATCTCGAGAAGGATAAGGGGGTTGAGGAGGAACATAAGGAAGGTCCGTGTGGACGTATGGCCATATTGAGGGCTGAAAAGGCTGCTGATACTGCGTAAAAGGGTTATCATAGGAATAGGAAGGACCAGGCTGTCCGTATTGTGGATTTTGATATTGCGGATTTTGATATTGTGGATTTTGATATTGTGGATTTTGATATTGTGGATTTTGATATTGCGGATTTTGATATTGTGGATTTTGATATTGTGGATTTTGATATTGCGGATTTTGATATTGCGGATTTTGATATTGCGGATTTTGATATTGCGGATTTTGATATTGCGGATCTTGATACTCCAGAGGATTCTGATGTTGCTGAGCTTGTTGATTCGTACTTCTGTGCGGATAAGAAGTCCGGCGTGCCTGCGATGCTTGTGGACGATTTGATGGGCGTGGGTGCAAGTTGGGAACACTCGGCCTGCCTGTTACCGGTTCCGGGTAGTTCACGAGATGGGACGGGTACGCCGTACTGGATAGCCCTGGCCGTGGTCCATATGGTCCATATTGGTATCCTCGAGGCAGCTCAGGAATGTGGCGAGAGCCATATTGAACTTGGCCTATTGGCATAATAGGCATAGCATATTCTACATGAGGTCTTGATGGTCTCGAGAACGTGTCCTGATGCAAAATAGGCTTCACTTCGACCTGTTGAGGAGTCGCTTCTGTGGGCACAGATCGACCAATAGCTGGTGGATTAGAGATCCGACGGCTAGATGGACTAGTCCGGTGCTTTGAAGTAGACCATATAGAGTCCATGCTATCGTCAGATTCCATGTTGATTCGGCCCCTGTGGGGGCTGGAATTCGAGCTCGTAACGTCTGACACCGCCGTTGCAGTGTAGTGCTGGGACTTTTCGCGTCGCGTTGTATCGTGGGACATATCGACATGAAGGCTCCGCGGGGACCAGGAATGGCTTCTTTCTGCAATGTTAAAACTTGCAGGCGGATCAGAGCGGGGATCTGAGGTCTTTAAGAAGTTCTTAAGATAATAGTGCCAAGCTCTGGTTGACTGGTGAGAGGTGAAGATCAAATTCCTTCCCTTTTTATAAACCTCTACCTTTCAACCTCAGGAATGTTTTTCAGGAATCGTGACCATCCAGCAGAGAGCCTCAATATGGAGTTCATGGTGAGCAAGAAGCAAGGCATAATGCCGAGTTAGGTGGGTAATGCGGCTTTAACTCCGATGGCCTAGCGAATGGTTGGTGTGACTCGATGTGATTCATGCAGAGCTTAGCGCCGACCTGGGTGTCAGCTGAAAAAGACAGCCACGAACTGTGTGCCTCAAATGCGGGGCATTAGTTTCTTATCAACCCTTCAGTGTTGAATAACTAACCTGTGTTGCTGCGCGTTTGACTCTCAAGAACAATATCGTTGGATCTCAAACGCCAAACAAACGTTGGAAATGTCCTCACTAGACCAAGGCTTTATGAGACCATTTATCACGGCAGATAACAAATCGTCTGGAAGCCAGTTCCTTGCTAATGGCCATGGCGACCAAAACGTGGCTTTCGGCAAAAGCCATCAAATTAATGACTACAGCGATCGTCGTAATATCACGAGTGGGTTGTGCCTCTCATCACTCTATCTTGCATCTGTCGTTTTGCTTTGATTAGTTGCTAATAATCAGTATAGTCGTGACCTCCGATTTAGGCATGCCATCGATATGGCAATCAGTCAACGGAACAAGTGAACCAACCCGTATGGTGATAAATCTTGGTAGTAAAGAGCACTGCGCCTGTCTCTGTTCTAACTATTGTCCAAGGGGCTGCCATAATTGACTGGCTCATGCGTTCGCTAGGCCAAAGTCTCCCGGATGCTCACCACCGTCACAGTGAGCTGTACAGCCAAGTGACGACCGGCACGGGTGAATGGGTTCTAGACAGTGACCAATTTCAGACGTGGGAGGATCCATCAAACCCAACATGCGTTTTACTAATGCATGGGATATGTAATTCACCACTCTTTTCATGTTTCTCGGACTAGCTAACGAGTATATCCCCATTCGAAGTGGGAGCTGGGAAATCAGTGCTTGTGTACGCAACCTCCGTCTCAAAACAATGACAACGTGTGAGAATTCGCATCTTATAGCTAAGTCCTTTTTAGGTCTATTATTATCAAATCGATTCAAAGGAAAATCGATTCACAGCCTAACACTGCCTGTATCTACTTCCACTTCAAAGATGGAGACGACACTTTATCACCGGCACATCTCTGGGCGACCTTATTGGAGCAGCTTTTGCCACATGATGGCCATGGATCCATTGCACCAAAGCTAAAATCAAAGTTCAAGGATTCGTTCCAAGGCTCGAGACTTCTTTATCCCGATGAGTATTGGGACATATTCAAGGCTCAGACAGATATGTTCAAGACAATCTATTTGATACTCGACGCCCCCGACAGCTACCTTGGCCACAACGTGCATGGTTGGCAGGGCATGTGGGATGCCCTGGAGAAGCTACCACCCAATATCAAGCTCCTTTTTACCTCTAGGCATAGCTCACCGACCCGCAAGCTCAGAGCCGACTGTGAAATAGCTATCACGCCGAGGGTTGCCGATATAAAAATTTATGTAACGGACCGAATCAAGAGGGATACGAACCTGAATCAAGTACTAGCAAAGCCCCACGAGAGAGAACCCGTGAGAAAAAGAGTTACCAGTCTCGCCTCAGAAAGCGGCATGTTAGTATAGCTATCCTTATGCTCTTTCAATGTTGGGTGGCTCAACTTCACGTTACCCAGGCTGACAGAGCTTACCTATATTATGATACTTAGGTTCCTCTTAGCCAGGCTGCATTTAGACAACCTCAGCATGCATTCCGGTACCTTGGCTAGCATCAAAGACGCATTATCCCATCTTCCCACTGATTCAAACGCTGTATTTGAGTCCTCGGCGCTCCAAATAACCAAATACAAACCATTCGAGAACAAGTTAGCTAAACATGTCCTTACCTGGGTCGCCCATGCAAAAGTCGGTCTCACCATCAGCCAGGTGCAAGACAGCTTTGCCATGCAGCAGCACAGCAAAGGGGGAAACTACCACGATTTCATACCCTCCAAGGACTCGGTGATCTCCGTAAGCGCTGGACTGATAGTTGAGGACTCGGAGAATGGTACCTTGCGCCTGGTCCACGAATCCGCACGACAAAATCTTCACAGAAACGACATTATACCTCAAAATGCCGACTTGACAATGGCCAAGACATGCCTAACCTGCCTTCTGATTGACGGAGCAGAAGATGAGAAGCAAAGCCCACTTTTGGCATATGCTGCAATCCACTGGATATCGCACCTTGGCAAAGATTGTCAAAATGCCGACGCGGAAGCCAGAAATTTGGTAAAAAGGTTCTTTAGGAACAGCACCAAGCTCGCGCGAGCGTTCAACACCATGCAAGCAGATCCAGGATCTGGGTTAGACGGCATAACGGAGCTTCATGCCGCTGTCTATTTTAATCTCCGTTTCTACACCAAAGACCTTATCAAGGCACGTTTTGATGTTAATGCGCGATGCTCCAATGGGCAAACCGCTCTACACTGGGCTGTCAAGCTTGGTCGGCATCGTCTTTCAAAGTATCTCATCCAAAATTCGGCAGACACGAACATACGTGATAAGACCAAACACACACCACTCCACATTGCTCTCAAAGGGCCAGTGACAGACACCATTCTCATCGTACAGAGACTGGTTGATGGAGGCGCCAAGCTCGACATACCTGGTCCGCAGGGATTGACAGCGCTATCATGGGCTATACGGTACGGACCTACAGCTGTTGCGGAGATATTACTGAAAAGCCAGATTAATTTGAACAGCGAAATCAGCCCGGGGTGGACTTCTCTGAGAGAATTGTTTTGTCACGACCACTCAACCGCAGAGCCACCAGGTACTTCGGCCTATACATGGAACTCATTAAAAACTGCCGTCGAGGATCATGTCAGATACCTCATTCATGTCGTGCTTGGTCGAGGCGTTGACCTCAATCTCGCATCGAGCCATGGGTGGCTGCCTCTAACGCATGCAATCACTACCAATAGCCTGTCAAGAGTGAGGGCCCTATTGAAAAGAGACCCATCGCCGGCCGATGCGAACAAGCGTGATCAAGAGCGAAACTGGTCACCACTTCGATGGGCCATCTTTCGTAAAAACCCAGCTATCGTCAAAGTATTGGCCGAACACGGAGCAGACATGAACGAGAAGAATGACGATGGGTGGATGCCGCTAATCCACGCCGTCGAGAACGAAAGCGAAGATATCGTCTGGGTGCTCTTGAAAATGGGTACGCGACCAGAGACTCTAGACAAACAGAAGCGGCCGGCGCTGCTCCATGCTGTTCAGAGCCGCAACAAGAAGATTATATGGCTCTTGGCTATCAGCGACTCGAAGTCAAATATTTATCTTCATAGCAAAATGCTACTTGAGGTAGCTTTGGCGAACGATGACTATTCCACTGCTTGGCTGCTATGTGAAAATGGAGCTGACCCCAATGCAACGGATGGGCATATGACGTTGCTGCATAGGGCTTCTCGCAGTGGGCGTCTCAGAGACGTCAACTTCCTTCTTAGCCGGGGCGCCGATGACAGCCGTCTAGACAATGAAGGGTTTACTGCTCTTCACCGTGCTGTGCTAGGAAACTTCCATAAGATCGTTGCAGAGCTTGTGTCGCGGATATCGCGCCAAGAATACGTCAACATCCGCGATCCAAATGGGAACACAGCTCTCGTACTCGCAATTCTCAAGGACAATAAACCAATGGTGCAGACGCTACTCTATTACCAGGCCTCGTGCGAGACGTCAGACTCCCAAGGCGTGACGGCACTACATCACGCTGTGGGACTTGGATTGAACGAATTTCTGCGGCTGATGGTGCACAGGGCTAGCAATATCGATCTTCCAGACAAGAAAGGCTATTCAGCATTGCACCATGCCGTAAGGAGCGACAAAAGCAACGCTCAAACTATAGACATCCTCGTGGCTGGTGGGGCGGACCTCAATGCGAAGACAAACGACAATGAGACACCTTTGAGACTAGCAAGGCGCCTGAACAAGGAAGCTTTTATGCGCCAGCTGCAGAGCTTAAAGAAATCTTCGAGGAGTAGAACTAAGAAAGACTAAACATATGAATGAGAGGTACATTTAAACACAGCTGGAGTGATTAGAAGAATTATCAGATCTGAGCGTCAATAGTACAAAATAACATTTAAACGCACATGCAATTTTGCCCAGGGCTGGCATAATGATTAATCGATTGTTAAATTCATTCAAAAGGACTCAGTCGTGAGCAAAGTTAAAAACACCGCCAAAAGACGTCCCATTGATCTGTGTAGCTCTGTCGCTCGCGATATTTTGGTTGCCAACTCCGGTGTAGACATACTGCTTGTTCGATCCTGCATGCCGAAAGCCCACGGCCTCTTCATGATCCTCCTGTTGTATCGGTTCTTTTTTCTGTTTGATTTCCGCCACCAATCCTTCAACCTGCGCCCTGGTCGCCGCTTTGACAGCGTGATTCGCAGTCAGCACCTGCAGGTCCTCCATTATCCCACTAATGAGCTTGTCCACGTGGCTCGCCCTGGACTTCGCTTTCATTGCTATGAGACCCTTCGTCCACGGCGAAACACCTGGCGGCTGAACTATGGCTTGGAAGGCATCGTGGAGCGCGGTCGCTCGCCCCATAGAAGCGTCAAGAACCTGCTCCAGCGCGGCTTGGGACGCGGCAGACGAGGGATCAGCATCGAGATTTTCTCTCACCAGGGTGAGACTCTCTTGAATGAGAGGAAGGCGTGCGGCGCTGTCGCGAAACGAACTTGGCAAGCCGGGTCCGCTCTCGAGGGCTTTATAAATTGTCACGGAGGCTTCGATGAGAGTTATGACACCGGATATGAGCCCTATGATCTCAACACCTGACATTCCAGCTATCCAGTTTCAGTTCCAGGTAAGTGGTGAGGCTAGATGGAGGAAATTCGAAATGATTATGCTCTGAGGATATTGCTTTGAATTAGCGGCTGGGCTCGCGGACGAGAAGAAGATCATGGTGCGGATCGGCACGCCCGTTCGACCCCAGCTGAGCACCCGGGTGTATTACTGCATTACTTGGCCATTCTGGGCTGTATGGGTGACGTGTCTGCACGCCACTACGGCTAGCAATTGGGTACGATTTCTGGTGCTCGGGCTCTCTCATGGCTCCGCCTCTCTGGCCTGTCATGATCTCGGCGCCGCCTTGTGACCACCCTTCTGTATGCCAATGCCTACGCCAACCTGTTATGTCGTCTGCATCTCCTTTATTCGATTTTTGCCAATCTACATCTTATATATCTTGATAGAGAGCATCGAAATAAGGAAATTACTTGACTGGCCCGTTCAAGTTCGTCAAGCAATTTCAATATCACCCAGATTGCCACTCATTCCGAGGTCAACATTAAAATCATCGTGATGCCAGGCCACGAAATCACCAAGGCCCACGCTCTCAGACAAATCCGAAAAACACTCTCCGCCCTCAAGACTGCTGCCGAGTCTTGTGGTACAGTCATCGGAGCCACCGATCTGCCTCAGGCCTTCTCAGTGGTCGCTCAACGGATCCCTCTCAGCGTTGACATATTTACCTCGCTGGACACCTACCTCGACTCTGTCGGCGAAGACAAAGACAATCAAGAGTTGAAGGATATGTACCCCGTTGTCAAGGAGGTTGCTGATGCCTGCTCTCACCACATCGAAAGTCTCGAAGTTCTCTTCGAGACAGTCGCGCAGAGTGACAAGAATACCCAAGACAAGTTGACGAGCTACCGCGAAGCAGTACAGTATAACGGCGGTAGACTGCTAGAAAAAGTGATGCTTGACCTGCTGAGAGACACTGCCCTTGTGTGTGTGGAGCCCTTCGCAACCCAGGAGCAGATCCAAGAGCTGCAGGCGGCATTGCAGGAGCTACAAGAAATCTCGCCGTCGTTAAAGGATGCCCTTGGAGCAGCCGTTGTAATGAACCACAGTGGCTCAGGAAATCAATTCTACCATGGCGGCAAGGGACACCAGAATATATGCTCTGGCGGATTCCAAGTCACGGGAGATAACCACAATGCTCATTACACCTATACCGAGAAGACAGCCGAGAGAGCTAAGGCCTAAAAATCCTAGAGTCATACTAATTGTATGGGTCCAGCCTTGGAACTTGAAGCTTGTTAAGTATTTAGATGAGCCTGATATGATAATATTAGTACCTACTTCACCTGGGCAGGTATCCGAAAACTTGAAAAAATAACAAAAAAAGACACATAACTGGTCGAATTGGACTCTTGGGATCAATACATAACTTACGAACTACGGAGTACGCTATCCAGCGACATAAATCCAACGGGAAGTTCTTAATTACTTCCGGCACTATCGATCGATCTCGAACTTGAAGGTTGGCTACCATGCGTGAACTTGGAGCATATTTCTTGTTTACATTATGTGTTTCACGCTAGGCTGAAGTTCATGATGCATTGCCGGATGGTGTATAATCCGAAGATTGACCATTGCACGTATACAAAATAGATATTGAAGTTATGCTTATACGCGGATTCGAAGAAACTTGGATTGAAGGTCACTGAGATAAATCATAGCAGTCATTACATATATCTTGGCGAGAATAAAGCTACACTTCGAAGGTATAAATCGAGTGCAAAACCAAGCTCACCAAGGTGAGACGACAAAGGAAAACCATTAAGAATCAAAAAGAAAAAAAAAAGAATCAGACGCAAAAATCTAAAGTTCAGAGAAGAGATATCAAAGCAAGAACTGAGAGGATATAATAATCGTAAAAAGCAGCAATAGTCTAAGTATTCATGGTTCAGAAATATCAAGTCATATATACAGCTTAAGATATAATTAGCTCTAATCCTTTGCTCATCAAGATCTGACCGTGTCCACCGCCGACGAGTGCGAGTAGAACTCTGAACAGCACCAACACAGATGGTAACTGTCCCGGTATCTCTTAAATAAGTCAAGCACAGAGCTTTTACCAGTAGATTGATCGCCACATACCGCTAGCTAAGGTAGTGTAATATGATCGCTATCACTGTTAACGCGGACACGGTCGATTTAGATAAGTCGCTGAGAAGTTCTCGAGGACGCCGGGCCATGCCAGTGTCACAGTTCACAACAAGTTATGGTTCGTTATCTCCGGTAAAAATGAAAAGGGGCAGTGCGTCGGCTTGGAAGCAAATGTGCAGTAGTCAATGGGGGCCAGAGTACAAGAAAGGTGGCGGCGGTGAGTGCATGATAGAGAGGTAGAAAGAATGAACAAGTGAGAGAAAGGGAGGAAGAGCAGCGAAGACTCAAAGACCCGTCTTCGCTGCTCTTCCATGTCGGCGGCATTGAAGGGAGGTTACGTGGTCCGCGGTTTACATGCTACAAAGAGTAAGATCGCTAGACTACAAGAAAGGGCCTTCTGGAGATTTGGTATCCGTCACACTGATGAACCGCGGCAAAGTTTCTGTCTTGAGTTGGATTACGGCCATTGCAGAGTCCTTTTTCTAGGATCTAAGTTGCAATAGTATCGTTGCCTTAATATGTACTTTTTTTTTATCTCAAAACTCGTTCCAATTGCACGTGGTAATAGTGCATATAGTTACTTGTAAGGATTCCACATTTAAGATCTCGAAACCAAAGTCCCCAATTTATCTCTAACGTCTGCGTTTCATGTTCCGAGACTAAAACAGCCATCGCATCATACCTACTCCCCACTCGATCTGCCTGTGCGGCACGTGCGGGTCATCATTCACCGTCTAGTGTTTTAGATCGTGTCGTAAAACCCTGTAAGACTTGTGATTTAATGATGTCCAAAAAATCTCTCCGCATGTCTCTTTTCTACCTCTCAATGCGTTTATATTGATCTTCCGTTTCAAAAGGTTAATTGCCTGAGTGAGACTACTTCGAAGCTTATACTATATTGTGTGTGTTTTCGGTTCACTTCGCACAAAAATTGATATTATCATAGTCTTCCTCGAATGGCCGCACCTGGACAAGGACCAAATAGTCCATAGGCAGACGTATTGATAGCCAATCAATGAATTATATAATAGGTGAATAGAGTCAAAAACACGTGAGCATACGTGGTGAGTGTGGATATGTGTAGTGGAAGAAGGGCCTGGGCATATATGTGGGTGGCCTGAGGTTATACATATGCCTGGAAGGGTCCATGTGGATCTGCCATGGAATCTTGGGAATTACGTACCTGCCATCCATGGATGTTCCATGGATGTTCTATGGTTTAAAATTGCACCTTAAACCTTGTGGGTCCCGTACCTATATGAGAGCAAGATATAGTAAAGTGTATAGGATATCAACATCTAATAGGAATCCACTAAGTACAATATCATTAATACTATATGCATATATTGATAATCATAGGTTATAGACACCAAGGCGTTTAGAAAATGCTAAAACACAGACGAAGAATCCATGTATATAAATGGAGATTCCCATAAATGTAATAATTGATAATATCAAAAGTAAATGGTAAAAGCACCTAATCTCTTCATTTTTGGAAAATGAGCCCGTATTGATGGGCTCACTTCCCATGGAGTCATGCGGAATCAAAATAACGTCGGATTTCGACGATAAATATAAATCTCCATGTAGTTTGGATCAAGAAACCAACCCTGCGATGCAAGACGATGTAAATAATGTAGACAATGTGGAATACACTGCATAACTAAAAGCAAGCTACATCTATGGCGCTAATTTGTACCTGGCAGTTAACTCGACTTGTGAATGTCGACGCTAGCGTTGAAACAACACAAATTTCGCGGCAATCAATAAGAATTAATTGCAATGTCTAACGGCGAGAAAGGATTACCTAGAGCCGCCGCTTCCCTAGGAGGTGGGGATTCATCGTCAATGGATTTTCCAAATGGCCAAGACCAGCTAGCTGTTTTGTCTGGGGGAGGTAAAAATAACGAATTTTGTAGCATAAAAAGGAACTTGTGACTACTATAGTGAATTGATTGAAAAAATTATACGGGTTCGCTATATAAACGTTGTTATATATAGGGCTTACTGTAACCGAACAGCATTGTTGGCTCCCACGTTTTATCTGGACATCGAGAAGCTCTGAATCGCACCAGTAAACATATTTCCGGAGCCATTGTTGTTGTATTGATGCCCCGTACCAGTGTTAAGATTCTGATTCCCAGATCCGAAGTTGGTGAAAGAATACGACGGCTTGACTTCCGGCAACGACGCAGGCATCGCCTGAAACTCGCATAGAGATTGATTGAGCCCGTGAACTTCCGTACCGCTTATGGCGGTAAGTTGTGTGGTACTTGACATTGCAATCGCATTCTCGAGGATCTTCTTCATTAGGTCTTCCAATTGGTCTCCTTGTGCAACTCTGCGATACTGTTCCGCTGAATTTGAACTTCCGACAACACCTGTGAAGATCTCATTCACCCGGCTAGCGTTTCTCTCGCAAGTCTTTAGATAGCCAATTGTTAACCGATGGAACTCTTCTGCCATAATAGTTGCATCGAGATGCTGCTTGCATTTTTCGAAGTAGACTAGGAGGGATGGGATGTGTTTGGCTGTTTCGCGAAAAACAACGGGGGCGTTGCCTCCATTTGGTTCATGGCTCTTTCTCTCTACATTTTCAAGAGCATTGATAGTGTCACCCAAAATGCGGCTGTGCGCAGGGTCGGCGAATGGCATGATGAAAGCTTCCAGAATAGGTGATTCGTAGTGTGAAGTCTTGTAGTTGGGATGGGGTATAGAACCTGTACTCCGTAGAAGTACTTATATTATAAAAAGCTTTAAGTATATGAAATTATAGGAGTGCCTTAATACTTGAGAGATACCCCGCCGCTAAGCCCCATGAAGGTGGCCTAGACAATACTCATGCATGCCCGGAGCTATTATTACAAGCTGAACTTTTCTTTTCGCGCAAATGTCCGAAGTGGGCATGTCGACCAATCGAGATGAAACAATATGCAAGTATGACATGGCAGGGGATCTATTGAATTATCCATACACAAGTCCCTTTCAGAGTTCCCCTCTTCCAAATCAATTTGATTTATTTCAGTCTAGCCGAACACAAAAAATCGCACTTGTGTTTTTTTGCGTCAAATACCGAGAACTTTGGGAGTTTGAAGATCTCATTTCAATCGACTCAAACATCTTGCGATCAGAACCCTTGAACTGGTCCGGCGTCTCGCATTCCAGTATGCCTGGCTGGCCTTGGTCCAAACGCCCGAAAGTCTCCCGGGTTGGGCCAACAAACGGTGGCCACGCTGGATCCGAATACCAACACAATGTCAGGACTAGCGTAGGATTGCAGAGCCCCCCGTCAGTCCCTCTATTTCCGGATGGGGTTGAAGTGTTATATGAGTGCCCCGAAGCAGTTTTTGATATTTGCTTTATCCATGGTTTGACCGGAGATCGGCGAACTACTTGGACTGCTCCCAAAAGTACGTGGACTGCAAATACACAACCAGAGCCGTGGCCACAAGAATTCCTCCCTGGCGATATCACCACTCGAGCTCGTATATTGACTTATGGCTACGATGCCTATGTTTTGCGATCATCCGTCGCATCATCGAATTGGCTGGGGGACCATGCCACAAATCTTTTGAATAACTTGACAACAGATAGAGCCTCTTGCAACGCATCATCGAGACCTTTGATTTTCGTCGCACATAGCCTAGGCGGCCTTGTCTGCAAGAAGGCCATAATGCTCTCTCGAATTCACCCAGATACCCATCTCCGAGAACTGTTTACTTCTACAAAGGGCATCATATTTATGGGAACGCCTCATAAGGGCTCGTGGCTAGCTGATTGGTCCAAACTTAGCGTTGAGGCTTTGGGGAGTGTGAAGTCTACCAATACGGGATTGATGAAGGTGCTAGAGACTAAGGATCAATTGCTAGAGTCCATCCAGCTTGAGTTTATGGGAATGTTGCGTGAATACAGGAACATCAAAGTGACATGTTTTTACGAGGAGTTGGCTACGACCGGGGTGGGAAAAGTGGTATCCAAGCAATCGGCGATTCTAGATGGGTATATCTCCATCAGTATCCATGCCAATCATAGTGGTATGGTGAAATTTGCCTCCAAGGAAGATAATGGATACAAAAGTTTGCTCGGTGAACTTCAGAGATGGATGAGTGAAAATAGGTATGCCGCATAGTGAGCCGTATTTTTCGAAACATGCTAACTAATGTGCCTAAGCGCCGATCCGGGTCAGTCAGCTACTGGAACAGATGAAAACAGAGATTCGACAATGGAAAGCTCGTCGTCTGAGTTTCACAACCACGGAAGCGGTACTATAATCACGAACAATGGTTCGGGTATTCAATATAACAACTCTGGCAGTGGTAATATGTTTAACGGTCCCATCCACAGCTTACAACTTTCTTCACCACAACCCCGTTAATGAGATTTACCATGGAAATTCTTTTTGAATGTTTTCCGTTGAGTACATTGGTCTTTGAAAGTCTAGCTTTGTTGGACGGCCAGACTGCTATTAATCCCACCGAGGAAAGACTAAAACAGCAATTCTGTTTCTATATCTTTTACATAGACAGGGCAGTAGAGTTAGCTTGTGCTGAACTAATTTGAAGCCTTGGAGTTGGGAGTCAAGGTTTGTAGAAGGAGGCTCTGTTGCATACAAAGAACCACATTTGAAAAAGGGAATAGAGGGGAAAGGATAATTTGGGGAAAGACATACAATCTAAGTGCGACAAGGACTGAATTTGATCAGGACATAACAGAACTAAATTGATTTGGATGGCTCAACAGCTCACTGTTTCGAGAGAAAACAGTCGAGTTGATCCCGTTGATCCGGTGAGCCTCATTGTGGGCGACAAGAGTCAAGTACCAATGATAGGAGCTGAAGTTAGCGGCTTGTGCATCAACAAGGTCTCGCATCAAACCATGCAGGACAAGAGGATTGTGATGGCGTTCTTCAACGAGTCAAAGTATTGGGCGATTGGTGGTTGGATACTTGCATGATTGTGGCGGGCGGGTTGGCACGAATGATTCGATCGGCATATACAGGATTCAATTCCTGATCACGAAAGCGCTTATGTATTCATGTCACTCTGGCTTCTCCACACCTCTTTTGAAAATTTGGCAATCAACTTCATTTTCTCTTTGGTTGTCTGTATTAGCACTCTGTCTGCAATCGATGATTATTGGTGTTAACTATACATATATTGAGTACATATATTGAGTCCAAACCATGGGGTTTATCTTTAGAATTTCATTAGCTCTGTATAGCCTTGACGCCAAGGTGGCAGGGCAAGTACCCGGGTGAGGGTAGACTAGACTGCTATGTGGATAAGAGGTAACGTATTTCACCCCCAAGTGGCGCACACCCCCAAGTGACGCACCCCATCTAACCCATTAAATTTAAATGCATTTATCTCAACCATGACGCCATTAAATTAATTCAACTAACTGAATGGCCTATCTGGACATGTCTCTCTTCTGTGTCCTGGCTTCCTACATATTCCACACCCCCGGGGGGCCGCGTACGTGGCTGAATAGCCGATTCTCCAGGTATGCTAGGGCCGGGGGGAGGTCCTTCAGTTGCCTCCTGTTGCTGCATAATTAATGCAGAGGCTTCTTGAACTGAGAGGCCTTCTTCGCCGGGTATTTGCCTTCGAGATCGAGTGCGCTTTTGCTTCTGCTTCTCGTTGGCGGCGCGTAATTCCTTGTTTTCTTTGGCGAGTAAGATAGCACCTTGCATTGTAAGACGGAAGCCTTTTATAAGCTGGTTTAATGCACGATCTGACGGGCTAGGCGGGCTTCGAGATCTTGTACGAAGTAAAGCTTTGATTGATGAAGCCTGTCGACGTAGTTCTTTCTCTGTAGCTGGTGTTTTTGGCGTAAAATTTCGACTTGATTCACTCCCCCGACTTGGGGGGGGGGGTAGGGGTTCGAAGTCGAATATTAAGCTTCGAAATCACTTGATCAGGTGTAAAAGGTACTAAACCAGCAGCTTTAAAGCTATTGATAATAGTCTCCGATTTAAAAGCTTCAGCTCGTGCAAGGGGGTATGCTTCGAGGAAGTCAAGTTTATCAATATGATTGATCCCGTTCCGCATCTTAGTTTCAACCATCCGACCGTACGATCGTTTTAATACCGCAAAACAGCCCACATCAAGAGGTTGTAAAAGATGTGATGAATGCGCTGGCATACAGATTGGTATCACTTTATTTCGCTCACAAATTTCGTCGAATTTAGGTGTTAAATGACTTCCGTGGCCGTTAAGTATCAAAAGCCGATACCGTCCCTTCGTACGTAAAGAAGTCGTCGGAATAAAGAGCTTTTTAAGCCAACGAAGTCCGATTTCATCAGAGGTCCAGCCGTTAGGACTAACTTCGAAACGCCAATCCTCCGGGAGGCCGTCAAACCATGATTCAATGAAGACTTTGCCTTTAAAAATCATACACGGAGGAAGGGCCCAGCCAGAAGCATTCGTACATTCAACCACTGTCACCCATTCACGATTTCCAGGTTGTAAAACCGGCCTCCGACTATAGTATTCACTCCTCGTGATAACCTTCGCAGTTACAGTTAATCCCATCGCGAAACCAGTCTCGTCGAAGTTATAGATATCATCGGGATCGATTCCATATTGAAGGATTGTCTTTTGAACTAAATCAAACCACTCCCTAATGATTTTAGGGTCTTCACATTTCGCACGCTCGTAGTTATACCGTTTCGAGAATTGGGAGGAGAGGATAGGATGCCGTTTCACAAATTTTGTAACCCAATTTTCGCCGACCGAAAGAACCGGGGTAGTTCCACGTTGTTTAAGGAGAAGATCCGCCATTTCTCGTACCATAGAGGGCCGGGGGGCTGCTCCACGAGAATCCATAGAGAGAATCCATTTTTCAAGAGATTCCTCTTCAGTTTGTGTCAATTTACGTAAATTGACACGAGAAATCGCGAGGTTTGGTATACCATGAAGGCGGCGACGGAAGGTGGATTCGGGTATATTAAAACGGCGTGCCACTTCACGGATTGAAGAGATTTCTTGATTCTTAAAAGCCTGGATAGCTAGTAAGATCCTACCCTCTTGCTCTATTGAATTTTTAGAGTTTTGGGGGCGAATTGGTGGCATGGTGGGTGGTTGAAGAAGAAAGGGTTAAATTAATTGACGCGTTTTGGATGGGGTGCGTCACTTGGGGGTGTGCGCCACTTGGGGGTGAAATACGTTAGCCGCCGTCTTGGGTAAGGGGAAAAAGCAGGGGTCCAAGGCGAGACACCATGCAAGATACTTCAAATGTTCTATTTCAAGATGCATGTTTAGTTTAATCTATTCTACGTGCATTAACCACTCGTGTGCTGTGGCCTCGTACTCTACCCTGTACATATGAAGCCCCTACACGCCCCCCTCCAACCCAGAGACTATCACCTGTTGCAACACGTCTGCTATAGCCTAGGATTCTATTGTTTCTGAGGGTTCTAAAATCAGGCACATTCCTTGTGGCCATAATGGGTCAACTACCACTCCCAGTATGCTATTTTGACAACCGTGACCATGCAACGCAGAACGCCAATGTCAATGTCAACGGCAAAAACCAATACAACAATAACTCTAACGGGACACAGTACAATGATTGCATAGGTAATTAGACTGAGTGCAAGTTAAAGAAAATTTCGCGGTTAAATGGCTTCCGTGCCCGTCGAGTATTAAAAGTCGATAAAACCCCCCCCCCCCTTCGTACGTATAGAAGTCGTCGGAATAAAGAGCTTTTTAAGCCAGCGAACTCTAATTTCATCAGAGGTCTAGCCATTAGGACTAACTTCGAAACGCCAGTCCTCCGGAAGGTCTTCGAACTAAGATTCGAGGAAGACTTTACCTTTAAAAATCACACACGGAGGGAGGGCCCACCCCGAAGCATTCGTACACTTAATAACAGTCACCCATTCACGATTTCCAGGCTATAAAAGCGAGCGCCGACCAGAGAGATCACTCCTCGTAATCACCTTCGCCGTAGCGATTAACCCTATCGCGAAACCGGTCTCGTCGAAGTTATAAACGTCGTCGGGGTCGATTCTAAATTAAAGGGTTATTTTTTAAATAAGATCGAACCACTCTCGAATAACTTTCGGGTCTTCGCATTTCGCGCGCTCGTAATTATAGCGTCTCGAGAATCGGGAGGAGATAAAAGGGTGCCTTGTAACGAAATTTATAACCCAGTTTTCGCCGACCGAAATAGTCGGGGTGGTTCCACGTTATTAAAGTAAAAGATTCGCCATTTCTCGTACAGTCGAAGGCCGAGGGGCTGATCCACGAGAATCCATAGAGAGAATCCATTTTTGAAGAGATTCCTCTTTAATTTCTGTCAATTTATGTGAATTTGCGCGAGAAATCGCGCGACTTAGGGTATTCTTTAGACGACGGAGAGTCGGCTTCGGAACTTCAAAACGACGTGCTACTTCAGAAATAGAAGTGATTTGTTGATCCTTAATAGCCTGAATAGCTAATAAGATCCTACCCTCTTGCTCTATTAAATTTCTAGAGCGTTGAGAGCGAATTGGTGGCATGGTGGGTGGTTGAATCGATTAAGTGCTAATTGAAAGACGCGTTTTAGGTGGGGTGGACCACTCGCTTGTGAAATACGTTAACTAGTTAGTTAGAAGGGACAAGCGAGGTTAATAGGTAGTGGAGGACAAGGTTCCCCAATACACTATCTAACTAGTTCGAGCAAACGGACACCTTTAGTATTTTGCCTATGTGGTTCACTTCGAGGCTCTCAAATATCAAAGGACCCATTCAACGTTGGCTCTAATCTCACCCCCACCTGGAACTAGAGCGTTAATAAAAGGGCTTGGAGAGAATCTAAAAGAACACAGGTTTCCGACACTCCACCGAATAGCTGGGTACATGTAGGTATATATGTATAACCTGACAACCTAGCCTCTCAGCCGCGGAGCAGCCAAAGGCGAATCCACATCCCCCCACTCACAACCCTCACTCTCCTCTCCATCCTCATAATCCAATTCAAAGCTCTCCTCCTCAAAAGAGGGACTGACATGCACAGCTGGCGACGAGATAGGGCTAAGCGCCACGCGCGGTCGCGACTTAAACACACTCGCGTACTCGGCATCTTCCTCAAAGAGCTGATCCTGCGGCGTTGAAGCACGTGAGATTTCATCCCTCGAACAAATTGAGTGCGCGGAAATCTTCCGCGGCGTTACGAACTGATTAACCGGGAAGGACGGGCGGGGTCTGCGGCGTGGCCGTGGCGCTTCGTGGGCCACAGGTGGGAGGAGAGACATTGATCTGCGCGTGCGCTCGGCTAAGGTATGGGTGCGCTTGATGGGTTCTGGGGCTGGTTCCTCGTCTGACGAGGGGAGGTCTGGGAAGAGCCGGACGATTTGGGGGGAGGGTTGAATCTGCTCTGTTTCTGGATGTAGCTTGGGCTTAAACTCGGGCTCGGGCTCTGGGTGAAGTTCTGGGATTTCCAGATCTGGGGCGTGACTTGGGGTGTGATGTTCTTCTGCCACTCTTGATGGCGAGTTGACGATCTTAGATGAGCCTCTGAATGGTAACTTGCCGCTCATTGTCACCTCTGGCTTGTAGACCGCAGGCTTGACGCGAGATTTGCCGTTAATGCGAGATATGGCATCATTTACAGAGGACAGGAGATATTTCTCTGGCCCTTTCAATGTCCGCTGGCGATCCCCGGGCTGACGGACAGCTTTGGATATACTAGCAACTGTGAGAGACTGGTGATCCCGGAACAGCACACGTGGTTCTTTAGGCGAGGCTGTGCTCATTTCATCGGTCCCTCTTTCCTTTGAGAGAAACTTGTTGTATTCATGCCACTTGCGTAGTCGACTTCGTTGGAGTAGAATACGAGCTTCCAAGTCAAGGACCAGGTCCTGCTTCAACCCACTGTTCAAACTAGCCGCATTTGAGTCCGCTGCCCGCATCCATGCCGCTGAGAAAGGGAGTTCCAGAAAAGCGTCCGTGCTGCTTTGTGATCCGCCTTCGAGCAGGGTAGTGGCCCATTCCTCGCTGCCTAGCCAATTTGTTTGTAACTCACGCACCAAACTGTCAGAGTCGCTATAAATATCATCCACGTAATCACTTGATCCTTGATTCGCACGCTCGGTAAGCTCGGCCTTTTTATCATCTAGCAGCTGTGAGAACCGATGATACGCATCTCGAGCTCTGGCATGGCGTTCTCCCGCAGAGCTGAGAGATACTTGGTGGGCAAGAATGAGCGGCAGGAGATTCTGATAGTTGACTGGTGTCATGGCTATGGCAGTCGAAAGTTTCAAGGCAGGATTCCAAAGCATCTCATCCGCGGATACCGCCACAACTTTACGGAGAACGGCAGTGGAGAAGCCAGCGAGCAACTCCTCAAATTTATCGCCCTTGCAATCATCCAGCATGGTTTTGCGGAGAATAATCTCTCTTCCCAGATCGCCATTTTTCTTTAATTCGCCCAGGCACCGAAACAAGGCCGCGCGGAGGTTGACAGACTGTAGAGGCTCTAACGGGGGGAAGAAGGGTCGGAGTTTCTGCAGGGGATGTTAGTAAAGTCCACAGCTTTAGAAGGTAACGATTGGTTAGTTGTACATTTTGGGCACCTTCCAGATCCCAAATGGTATAGAGGCGGTAAAGGGCCCATTCTATCAGTCGGGTTCTTTGTCGTTGGTTCTGTGATGTCGGGGTCAAGCTGTGGAGAGATATGTCGGGCCAATCCTCGCGTTGATCCAGACGCAATAGCTTCAGATTGCGAATAAACACATCCAAATGTGAGGGACCTGGCCAGTCTAGGGGTTTCGGCCGAACAGGCCTTGTCGCAGCCATCATGTGTCGAAGGGGACTAGTAAACAGGCGGCGGAGAGTAAACATAGATAACGAATGTTTGTACTGTTTGCAACGCCTATCAGTCCCGCGTTCGTTGTTTCTCTTTCTTTGTTTTTCCTCTCCTCAATTGTCCTCTGTGGTTGTGTCTCTTTCTTTCTCCCGGGGTCTAAGTGGTTCTTCTCTCTTCAATAACATCAGAAATGGCCTCCGACAACTCTACGTGGACACCTGAGACTGGTAAGCCCCTACTTCCTCTTCTTAGACCCCGCAAAGCTGAGATGTGTAGTGCTCTCTACGCTCTCCCACCGTCCAGAGGAGAATTCTACGTCACCTGTCCCCTTCTTCCACTTGATTGAGCGCCTTAAGACCACCAAGCGTGAGGGCTGGCGCCGCTTCGGCATCAATGGCGAGTCCATCTCCGACCATATGTACCGCATGTCAATCATGACGATGATGGCCCCGCCGTCCCTGGCAACCAAGATCAACATCCAGCACTGCACAAAGATGGCCTTGGTCCACGACATGGCTGAGGCGCTTGTTGGCGATATCACCCCAGTCGACTACCACATCACTAAGGCTGAGAAGGCTCGTCGCGAGGCCTCAGTTATGGACTACATCACGACGACCCTCCTCGGTAAGGTCCCAGGAGGCATCTTGTCGGGCGGTGAAATCAAGAAAGTGTTTGAGGAATACGAGAAGGACGAAACCCTCGAGGCCCACTTCGTGCATGATATCGATAAGATGGAGCTGCTGTTGCAGATGGTTGAGTATGAGCGCTCGAATGAGGTTGATCTCACGGAGTTCACCCACGTCGCCTCGCGCATCCGGTTGCCAGAGATTCAGGCCTGGGCTGCGGAGGTCATTCAGGAGAGGCCAAAGAAAGCATAAATCTGCATACAGTTTGCGCGCAGTTGCAGGGAATGTGTGATAGGGGAGTCTGGCATGCCTTGGGCTTATCGTTCTAGAAGCCCATTGCATTTTGGCGTTTGTTGCTTTATTTTCATCTTTGCGTTTCTTTTTTGGGTATGTACTTTAGATACCACAGAGGACGAGTTATGAGAATACATGATTTCTACGAAGAGTCAGGTTTAGTACGCAATAAAAGTTAGGCACTCGCTTTCATTCATGTTGCGGTATTCTGATTTGCCTCCGTTTTCGTTGGTTTGTTGGTCCGAGACGAGGCGACTGACTATGTCGATGCTCGCGGACCTCTTTGCCGAGGATTGAAGGAATGACCAGCTGATAGCTAAGAATAAGACCATCAAAGTCATGGATGGCTTTTGGAAGCATATTCCTAGATATGCGTGACCTTCGGATAATCTTCGTGACGTGGGACAATTCCTCCCCCCTAACCCGCAATACTTTATCAACAGGTCACCGAGAACCTGACCAGTGGGCCCGTCCAGGACTTTTTCGGTCGTCGCAATTACTGATGAATTGTCATATCTGTTCTCTATTGTAATCATATGTATACAATCCAAGGATCTTCATATCCAAGACATGGACCTAATTAATCAAGAGACTCATTCTCCATCTCCCGCGCCAACATGTCAGCCTCAGCCCTCATATCCTCTTCCTCACGAGGCTTGCGCGCGTCATTATCAACAACCGGGAACCTAGACCTTCTCCCCGAACTCGCAGCATCTTGATTCACGGGCTCAGTTGACTCATCATCCCCTTCTGTAGGAACGACTTTCTTAAATGCCCTCCCTAAATCTCCCTCATCCCCATCAAGCAAGTCATAAACCGCATCCGTGCCACCAGCGTGATCCAAATCCGCTGCCTTGCGGGGGATGATATGCGCATGAACATGTGGCACACTCTGGCCGGCGTGCGCGCCGTCCTGAATGGCGATGTTCAAGCTGGTGGCACCGTATACACGCTCAACCATGCGGCCCACTCGTCGCACTGTTAGGAAGAGGTCGCTTGTTTCGGCGGGGGTGAGGTCTGTGACGCGGGGGACGACGCGTCGTGGGGAGACTAGGACGTGGCCTGGGAGGATTGGTTTCAGGTTTACCAAAGCGAAAGTTAAGGGGGTTGTGTGGAAGACCTGGGTAGGGAGTGAGTCGTTAGTCAGGCTGGTGCATTGGGTTTATGTATGTTTATGCTTGTCCCTGTGTCTGTGGCTGTTGCTGTACTAGAATATAGTTGGTGTTGCTTGAGGAGACTGGGGTTGTCTGGGTCAAGAGTAAAGTTACCTGTGGTGTGACCATAAATGGGCCGAAGTAGATTGGTGCTGTGGCACCTTTGAGAGCTGACATTTCGGAGTTGGGTATCGGATGTTGAGGTGAATCTGGGAAGGTTGCCCCGTTAGTTTTCTACCCGTGACGTTGTTGATAAGCCCTTATCAAGATATCAACATCGGTTGGAAGATCTACGGGGGACGGAATAGTTAGGTACCTATATATGTACAAACTAGCTATTACACACTCTTTATGTAGTTTATCTATGAATGTATTGAGAAAGCAAAGGAGAATGGGTATCATTGACATTTGGCCATAAACAGCATCCTGAACTATATTACAAAAAGAGTATCCGGTAGTTAACCTTGGAGAGCATTGCGACTCATCGCCGATCACAAGGGTAACAAAAAATGGGGAAACATGAAGAATAAAACATACAAAAAGTCAATTATCATCAATGTGAGATTAACATGAAATGTTCGAGAGGCTGTCGATATCATGACTCCTCTTTCTCCGGCTCGTATTTGGTCTCGGGAGCAACGGAAGGCTCTTGCGCCGCCTCGATCTTTGCCTCGGGCTCTTCAGCTGGAGCTGCCTCTTCGCGGCAAGTGTTATTTCCATCGCCTTCCGTAGTATACTTCTCGATGGGCAGTTCTGTGTTCGTAGCCGACTCTTCAGAGACCGATTCTTTAGCCTGCTCAATTTGCTCAACCTGCTCGATCTTTCCCTGGTCTCCAGGAGTTTCAAACAGCTGCTCATGGGGTACTTGCGGTGGCTGTTCCTGGGATTCCTCGACTGGCTCTTCGGCGTATTCTTCCACATCAGTAATTGGCTCATCCGTGGTAGCAGGTTCCGCTCTAGTTTGTATTCCCAAAACAGAAACAGGCCGCGGTTCAGGCGATTGTTTCCGGGGCCCACGCAGTAACGATGGCGTAATATCTTCCGAATCCTCCGCATCCTCCGCGATAGTTGTAACACGAGATCCTGTTGAAGGACTGTGCTTGTGACGACGGGTGGTCGCGCTAGTGACAAGCGCCGGGTCCTGATTTTCCACGGTGGTATCGAATGAGTTGTCACCTTCTTTGCGCAGAATAGTGAAGCGATTGTTGCTGTTGACAGGTTTTTCCTCGGCTTCTTTTTCCTTAGCTACTTTCTTCTCGGCTTCTTTCTTCTTTTCCTCGGCGTCTTTCCTTTTCTTGGCTGCTGCGACTTCATCGGGTCCTCCCGCCGTAAGGGGAATTGTATATTCCCCGACAAGATTGTAGTGAACACAAACGGTCTTGAAAAAGACGTATAGACCGCCTTGCTTTTGTACCTTCGAAAAAACACCAGGATGCCGGAACCATGCGTGCGCAAAGATGCGATAAAGACGGCGGAAGATATCTGGCAAGAGTTTGGCACCCGTGGATTCTATCTTCTTAGCTTTGCTGGAGAATAAGGTCTTCGATGTGAGAGTGTCCATGGCCCAATCCAGAGTATGGCAGCAATAGTCAATCGCGCAGCAAGCTTGTTTGGGATGCAACGCGCAAATATACTGCCACTCGACGACTCGCATCTCGGGGCAAGTTTGCGCCGAGCAGGGTGGGCTCTCGTCGAGAAAGCCTTGGACCAGACGATTAGCTTCCATAGTGAAGAAGCGGCACAGTTCGTATATCCAATGTGCATCATCAACTCCCTCCGGGGGTTCTGTCAGCTTCTCCGCAACGCTCTCCGGTTTTGTCGGCTCTTTCGCAACCTCGCTCGTCGGGTCCACCTTGTCAGATTCGTTGCGCTTCCGCTCATTGTACTCCCCAAGAAGCACATCGTACTCCTCCATAAGCACATTGTAGTTCGGGTCCACCTTATCAGATGCTTTGTCCTTCTGCTGATTGTACTCCTCCATAAGCACATCATACTTCTCCATAAGTTTAGGGTACTGGGCCGCAAGCTTGTAGTAATGGGATTTGAGGTGTTCCTGAAGCGGGAATGGAGAATTAATCTGCATTAATTAGTAACGTCGAAGATAGCTAGGCAGTGGAGAGCAACTAACCTGCGAAAGGGGTATCACCGGCGGGCCAGATTCCATGTTGGCGGATTTGGTCCCTGGCCGGATTCTGCGAGTCGAGCCATCATTTTCTCCCATCGCAACACCAAGTAGGTCTGCGTCTTTGCCAAATGACTCGCCAACTGACGGCGACTGAGTCCCAAACTGAACTTCAGTAAATGGAGGAGGACTGGGAAGCCGCGGGGAGCTTGACGGAGAGACTCCGGCCGCAGTCATGATGGTAGTATAACGAGGGCGCTAGATGAAATGAGAGAAACCGAGAAACAAATAAAAGAGTGAATGGTCGCTAGATGCTCTGATAAACTGCGTTAATGAAAGCAAAGGTCGAGTATTGACAGCATAGACGCAAACGCTGAAGATAACAAGACATCAACCATAACAACGGCTGACCGCCCAAGCCCTGTGCCCTAACGTCTATTTTAGGCAACAACGTCATCCGCCGCATCTACGAGCTTTCTGTTTCTTCAGACTTTGTGTTCTTCTATGTATTTATGCAACATTAAAAGACTAGCACATCATGTCTGCCAATTTTGAAGATGAGGATGCTCCTCCGGAGCTTATCGAGGTGTCTGAAACGCCAGCAGACCAAACATCGGTAGATGAAGAACCAACAGCTCGAGTGCCTATCACGCTGGTCACCGGTATGGTCAAATAGAATGCATGTTGATTTAAATAATAATACGAAACTAACACGTTGACTAGGCTACCTGGGAGCGGGGAAAACGACCCTGTTGAACTATATCCTGACAGAGAAACACGGCAAGAAAATTGCCGTGATCATGAACGGTTCGTCTGTCACACCTGGCTGTGAGATATGATATACATTGCTAATGCTCTTACAGAATTTGGTGACTGTAAGGCGTCCAATCGAAAGGACCAAAAGGTTATATTCTGACATTATATCACAAAGCAATGGACATTGAAAAACCAATGACAGTAAACCAGGGCGGCCAAGAAGTGACGGAATGGATGGAAGTCGGCAATGGCTGCATCTGTTGCTCTGTGAAAGACTCAGGCGTAATGGCCATCGAGTCATTGATGAAACGCCGCGGCACCTTCGATTACATCCTTCTAGAGACAACCGGTCTCGCCGACCCGGGTAACATTGCCCCGATATTCTGGATGGACGAAGGACTCGGCAGCTCTATCTACCTAGATGGAATTGTCACTCTTGTGGACGCAAAGAATATCATGCGCTTGCTGGACGAGCCGGCGCCCGAAGAGAAGGCCGAGTCTCATGACGTGAACCACGACCACGGTTCTGGCCCTGTTCTATCTATGGCGCATATGCAGATCTCGCATGCGGATGTGGTGATCCTCAACAAAACGGATCTGGTCACGGAACAGGAGCTGGAGGCTGTGCAAGATCGTGTTGCCTCTATCAACAGTGTGGCCAAGATTCACATGACGGATCATAGCCGGACGCCGCAGATTGAGGGCGTTGTGCTGGACTTGCATGCTTATGATCACTTGGCAGATTTGGATTTCAGCAAGAAGGGACATAGCCATATGGACCCGGTATGTTTATATTGTCCTCGATCTTCTACATACTAAAACCTGATCCCGTGGTCCTAACTATACGCAGGCAATTTCTACCACTGCGATTGTTACACCTCCAATTCCAGCAGATAATGTCAACTGCGTGGATGCCTGGCTGCGCTCTGTTTTGTGGGATACAACATTCCCCGTGCCTGCAAAACCAGTCTCATCTGAGCCATACCCCGTGGACTTCGAGGTTCATCGGTTAAAGGGGATACTAATTCTGAATGATGGGACAAGCAGGATTATCCAAGCTGTGCGGGATGTATTCGAGATTCGAGATGCGGAGCCCATAGACACCAAGGATAAGTCCAAACCACTTCAGTGCAAGATTGTCCTCATTGGACGAGGACTAGGGTCAAGTGTAGGACCTTGGCAGGAGAGCTTTGAATCTTGTTTGGTTGCAAAATGAGGAGAATTCATTGTCTATGTTCACGCAAAAAGAAGTCGTTGCTCCATTGGAGGAGACAGCAGGGCCTATTTACGGTTAAAATGCAAAAACCAGTCCTAGCCAATAATTCCCATTGTCAAATAACGAAAAAGAAAAATAATACAGCCCTGTCAGACAAGAAGAGGTATAAAAAAAATCCCATCAATATACATCGACTTCCGGGTGAGAACACCAGAACGCAGAACGAGGGCCTCCGCTGAAGAGAAAACAGATAATCCATAGTAAACAGCAAGGAAACAGGAAAAAGACAGCACAAAAGAGATAGAGAAAACATAATAAAAGCTACCAGAACAAAAACCAATTAAAATCCGCCAAAATGCAAAGAAAAAAAAAACAAAAGACTTTTTAGGACTCCAGGGGTTCGCCCGCCATCGGTGTAAATGCTTTCAGAAGCTGAATAACACGAGGCAAACGACGAGGCATAAACTGTACAAGCAGAGCAAATCAAAAGGGTATCGAGTGCTCGGCCCCGAATATGGGGCTCGTTCGGAGAAATTGGTCGTGGCGTCGTGGGTGCCGATGTAGCAAGGTTGTTTTGTAAAAATATTAGTGACCTTGCGTTTTGAGGGAATTGCCCATGAGGGCTTCACGAAGTTGTTCGTGGAGGATATATTGGTAACTATATTCGATTCGAGGAAAAACGTGCCTGGCTCGAAATGCTCGATTTGGCCTGACTTGAAGATGGTCCATGAACAGCGCGTGACATCTCGGCCTCGGGATAAGTGGAATTTAGCTTTGAATTTGGATGAGCAGGGCTAATGGGCAACTTCGAACCAAGCAAATCCGAGTTGGAGTTCGATGGATTAGTTTGTGCAGGCTTGATACCGGCTGCATTCGGGCTGGACTGGCCCAAATCTTCATTCCTCTGCGGTTCGGTAGGATATGTTTTGGCCGGAGGAATAACGCTCTCTGGCTGTTTTAGAGCCGGAGAGTTATCGGGAGACGAGGCTGACCCTGATGGTATTGTCGAGACAGGGTTGACATCTGGATTATTTGCAGATGGTTTTTCCCATGGCCGCATTAGCAGTCCAATTCCGACGACAGATGGGCTTGTTGCGAATGGTGTACCCAGCGAGCCAATGGAAGCCCCGGTGTGGCGGAGGCTCGAGATGTGCATTGAAGAAAATCGAGATGGTGTTGGCGGTGATATGGGTGTGGTATCATCATCACGTGGCACAATCGCATGCCCCGGCTTTGGTGATTCAATAGGAGAAGGGCCTTGTGATGAGGGCCCACTTAGAGTGTCGATGGAAGTCCCAGAAGAACGGAAGGCTGGGTTGATAGGCAATTCCGAATGGGCCAGACTTGATGTTGAGGGCGATGGCTGAGTAAACTTGGGTTTAATATTGGCGTTTGCGCATGGCGAACTCGCATGAGTCTGCTTTGGCAGCTCTGGAGGAGAAGATTTCACTAATCGAGGGGCAATCGGAAGCTCGACCGAAGGCCAAGAGCGAGCTAGGGTAGGATTGATAGGCGACGTCGGGTGAGGTTGTAAAGATGTTGAGGCTGACGGTGTTGTGGGTATAGGCTTTGCATGTGGTTGATCCAGGCCATCCTGCCTTGGCAGTTCAACTGGCAAAGAGTTCAGCGTTGAAGTGGTAGCCAGAGGGCCGATAGAAGTTCCAGAAGAACGGAAATTAGGACTGATAGGTAGGTCCGAGAGAGACAGACATGATGATGAGGGCGATGGCTCAGTAAATTTGGTTTTAATTTCGACGTTTCCGCATGATAAACCAGCATATTTCTGCTTTGGTGGTTCGGTAGGAGATGATTTTACCGGTCGAGGGGCGCTCTGAAGGTCGATAGAACTCCCAGGGTCACGGAAAGTAGGGCTGAGAGGCAGAGCTGAGAATCCAAGGTCATCCTTGTCATTGGTGGTCATTGCACATGGCTGGTCCACACTGTCCTGCTTTGCATGCTTAATTGAAGATGGAATTGTCGAAAAAGGAATGACCCGACTACCGGTTGATGTACCGGAGTCACGCAATGTAGGGTTGATGGGCAAAGCCGAGGTTTCAAGGTCACCCTCGTCATTGGTGGTCTTTGGACTTGGTCGATTCAGAACCTCCTGTTTCTGTGACTCAACAAGAGATTCGCTGACTGGGGGCGGATGTGGAGGCGCGGTGATTGTAGAGCCAAACAAAGCGCGGGAATTATCATGGGTCGGCCCATCGTATATCTTTCGCTGATTGTTCACGGGGGCACTTTCGAGATAGACAGGCTCATGTGGGAAGGCTGGTGGCTCCACTGGGTGGTTGTGGAAACCATTTGCCATTGACTTTGTCTGAGAAACTGTAGTAGCTTCTGGGTTCGGACTGTCGGAGCGTAGGTAGGGTAATGAGTTATCATTGGAATGGCGGGATATGTCCATGTACTCGTCGTGGTTTTGAGGTTCGTGGTGATTCAAGGTAGAGGAAGAAGATGGCTTAGATGGGAATTCCATGTCTCCGTTGGATTCTGCAAGAGTTATTGTTGATCGCTTGACGAGGTCGTGGTTTTCTGAGAATATGGGGTGCTGTAGATCACTATAGGAGTTTCCGGAAAGCCCCTTTTGAGGGTAAAACTGATCGTCTGGCTGTATCATGCCCCCTGGCGAAGTCAGTCCAAGCCCAGCAGGCTGAGGCTGAGCCCAGTTGGTCCGAATTGGCAAGTGCCTAGAATCGTTGGAAAGGGTCTCCAATAGCCGAACCGGCGTTGATACCCGTGCTTCCGGCAGTGGGGGGAACAGAGAGAGAAGTTCCTTCGCAGAGAGCCTATGTCGCGGAGTCGGGCTCAAACAGATATCCACTATCCGTCTGTAATATTCTGGAATCTTCGGGTCATCGCTCAGTCGAAGAGGTCGCGGTTGTCGTTCAGGTTCGTCCTCCTCCATTGCCAATGCCCACAGCGTCATTCCCAATTGGAAGAGATCGGTTTTGACCCCAATATACATGGAGATGCGCTGGTTGCTCTCGATTTTAGCGGCAATCTCCGGGGGCTCCCACCCTACTGGGCACCCCCTGCGGTTAATGTCAATAATTTTGGCGTTGTCGTCTGTATCCACCACAATATTGGCGAGTGTGAAATCGCCCTGCACGTAGCCCGACTCGTGGATCTCACAGAGGCCCTGGACAATCTGCTTCGCCCATCGCTCGCGTCGGGCAAAGCTCGTTCTCCCGCGTTGCTCGTATAGAATGTCGACCAGCGCACCTTTTTCTGCATAGCTAATTAGCAAGCCCTTGACGACGCCTCGCCATTCATCGATCACGATTCCTTCCACTTGGATCACGCTTGGGCGGTCTTTCAGCGCATGCAAAGCGTTAATCTCGTAGAGAAACTCGTCCACAGTGTCGGGGCCCGGGATTTCCTTCTTGATATAAAAACGGCCGTCCAGGTTTATTTTGTAAACAAAGCCGGATAAATGAGATTCGAAGTGCAACAAGTCTTCGGGGATGATAGGAGCGTTGACCAAATGCCTGATACTGGAGATGGGCGGGTACGGGATTGTTTCGTTTACGTCCTCCGTCACATGAACGTGTAAACGGCCATCGCTCGTCTCCAGCCTGAGATTCGTGACGCCTTCATAGAATTGGATCGCGAGAAGGGACTCGCGAATGGATTCGTAGATTCGCGCGCATTTGTCGCGCTGATACCGCAGGTCCTTCAGTTCCCGCTCCAGTGAATAGGGTGGTGCATCATGGTAATCGCAAGAAATTGTGACTCGGCGCCATCGATTCGGGGTCTCCGCGTACGTCACAAAGAATTTTTCCCGCTCTGACCCATCTCGGAAGTGCATGCTCAAGTTCAAAATCCACCGTTGTTCCAGCTCCATATCCAAATCAATCGTGTGATGATCCTCCTCTTCCTCTTCTGCTGCGTCGAAATTGTCCGTCATTTCGGGATAAGGGTTCGAAGGTTCGGAGATATCGTTAATCTCGTGGGCCTTTGTTTCGGATTCTGGTTCGGGGGCGTCATCGACCGTGGTTGTGGGCGACGGGCCGAGCCACTGAACCTCGGGCGCGGACTGTCTGGGGCCCGCGGTTGGCGGTGGAGACCTGCTTCTCTGGGAACTCAAGGGGCGGCGGTCGGCGGAGAGGGCACGGCGGTGATCAGGTTCCCGAGGAGCCAGTCGCTCGAGATCGGAGCTTTGTCGCTTAAAGGGCGTGGTTCGTGGTAAACCGACGACTTTTCGCGAAAGTCGACGTGTCAAATTATCTTGTTTGGTACGGGAGTTGTCAGAAGAAGGGCGGGGAGAAATCTCGTCCTGACTCTCCCCGGCAGACGTGTCTCGATCGTCGCGGCCCTGCCATAATTTTCGCAAACCCAACCGGTGCCACATGCTCTGCTTTGGCGGATTACCGCCTTTGTCGTCCAGAAAAGCCAGCCGCGTCGGGCTACAGGAGTTGGGAACAGAGATGGCCATACGGCAAGCCGCTCTGTCGTGCAAGGAACGACTCGAACACCCCGCTGGCCGAATCTCCGATGTCCATAAGAATTGAGACAGGGTCAAGGGGGCAGGGAAATTTGGCGTCGCACTAACACACTGACACGGTTCTCGTCCCACCAGTTCCAAATAGTTTCCTTTCGGGTTTAAAGAGTTGGCAGGTTCACGTCAAGGTCCAACGTCCAAATGTCGCACAACGTCGGGTTGCAATGGGCGAGGCTGGGGGACCGGCCCAGCACAAGCTCATAAAGTAAAAGGGGTGCAAAAGGGGGAGAGAGACGTGTCGGTCAAGATGAGATTTCTTAGGTATAAGTGGTCTTTTTTTTTTTCCCTCTTTAATATTTTTTTTTCTAAGGAATCGCCTGCAGCCGTTTGATAGTGGTGATGAGATGCTTCCGCTGCAAGGCTTCAAATGTCTGGAGGCAAAAGGACCTTGCAGGAGATCAATCAGAAGCCCTTTTAAGGGACACAAGGGTGAGGGAAAAAAAAAATTAGAATAAAGATATGATTCATCGAACGGCGCACAGATCAAAATTCGAGGATGCGTTGCGGCCTGACCCTTATGCCTGATTGGGGGCTCCGTTCACGCCCTGTTATTTCTCTCTATATGACACGACAGCCCTAAATTTTGAATTAATCTTACTTGACGAGTCTTTGCATTATATTTGCGTCATGACAATGTCACTATATACTATACATATACCTTACTAGAACACTGTTTTAAGTGGAGTAATCTTTTTTTGGCTCTCTAGTCCATACATCTCACATGGGAACAAAAAGGTCTACTATCAGCCCTTCAACTCCAACCATGCATTCCGTGTCGGAAGACAAAGACGCCATGTACACAATAAATAACAAAGCTATACAACGTAAAACACAGGTATATACGACATTACCCAAAGGGGACCCAAACCAAAAAGATATCAGCATGCTACTCTTCATCAGCCTCGGGGCTACCCTTCTTGGGCTTGGCCAAGGCTTTTTGCCAGACCGTGCGGGCAGCCTCCTGGTCAAGACCGGGGAAGAGAAGGTCGAACACTTCAGAGTACCAGTTCACTGGGTGGCCTTCAATGCCCTCCTTGATGTTCTAGATAAAACAGTCAGCTAAGGTCGTCAGGAATGCATATATTTATGACTCACCTCAGGTAGCTCAAGCCAGTCAGATGTGTTATCCGCAGGGAAAAGGATCTTTGTGGCACCAGCCCGACGAGCAGCCACAGTCTTCTCTCTCAATCCTCCAATGCGAAGAACCTTACCCGTCACAGTCAACTCTCCGGTCATGGCAACGGTAGGCTCAAGGGAGTGGTTGAGAGCCAAAGACAACAAAGCGCTAGCCATGGTGATACCGGCAGAGGGTCCTGTTTAAATGGTTAGCGGCCGATTTGTTACAACGTTAGTCAACATATAAGTTTCACATACCATCCTTTGGAACGGCGCCTTCAGGGCAGTGCAAGTGGACCTTCGCTTTTTCGAAGAACTGGTTCTCAGGGAATTGCCGCGCCATAACAGACTTAGCAAAGGAATACGCAATGTGAGTGGACTCCTTCATGACGTTTTGCAAATTGCCAGTGATTTCGAGCCCCGGGCGCGAGTTGTGATTCAATGCGTTCTCCAGGATACATTCAACGTACAGAGCCGCTCCACCCATGCTAGTCCATGCGAGGCCCATGGTAACACCAGGGGGGAATTGGTCGTACAGGCGGTCGGCGGTGAAGACAGGAGGTCCAACATAATCTTTCAAGGTTCCCTTGCCGATGCTGAGATGGACACTGTCGGGGACCTTGAGGGCCAGTCGAGGAGTCTCTGTGGTCGACTTCTCTGGCTCAGTCGGAACTTGCGCAGGATCCGCTGGCTCATGCTCTTTCGACTCTTCTTGAGCAGCCTTGCCGGCTTCGGTCAGTGCCGACTCTTCGGACATGACATCCTCACCTAGGTCTTGAACAATCTTGAATGCAGCCTTCCGGTAGACCTTCTCGATTTGCTTCTTCAAGTTACGGACACCGCTCTCACGGCAGTACGACTTGATCAGCTCTTCGATGGCATCCCGTTCAAGGTTCACATCCACATCCTTCAGACCAGTCAGTTCCCGAGCAGCAGGGGCGAGGTATCTTTCGGCAATCGCCATCTTCTCGTCTGCCACGTAGCCGGATAATTCGATGAGTTCCATGCGATCCAATAGCGGCCGAGGGATAGTGTCAGTCACGTTGGCTGTACAGACAAAGAGGACCTTAGAAAGATCCACAGGAACATCCATGTAGTGGTCTAAGAACGAGCTATTCTGTTCGGGGTCAAGAAGTTCAAGCAAAGCAGAGGACGGATCGCCCTGGTGGCCACGCCCAATTTTGTCAACCTCGTCGATCAAGATTAGAGGGTTTTCGGTTTGACACTTCTTGAGAGCTTGGATAATTCGTCCAGGCAGAGCCCCGACGTAAGTCCGTCGGTGGCCTTTGATCTCTGCCACATCGGTCAAACCACCAACGGAGAATCGGTAGTATTGTCTGTTCAGAGCGCGAGCTATCGACTTGCCGATACTGGTCTTTCCAACACCGGGTGGCCCAACGAGGCAAAGAATCTTTCCTTCAACAGTTCCACGAAGCTTGCCGACAGCGATGAACTCAAGAATGCGATCCTTGACATCCTTCAGCCCGTAATGGTCCTCATCGAGAACACTGACTGCGTTCTTGACGCCAAAGTTTTCCACGCTCTTCTGGCCCCAAGGGATTTGAGTTAGCCAGTCTAGGTAGTTACGAGTGACATTAAACTCGGATGCAGCAGGCTCGAGGTGTGCCAGCTTATTGATCTCCTCGTCGAAGACCTTCTTGACAACCTCGGGCATAGCAAGCTTTTCAGCCTTCTCCTTGAACTTCTCGACAAGCTTGTCTTTCCCGTCAGATTCGATGCCAAGTTCTCTCTTGATGCCCTTCATTTGCTCCATCAGCCAGTACTCGCGCTGGCGTTTCTGGATCTTGGCCTCGACATCTTTGGTAATCTTGGATTGCAGTTGGGCGTTCATCAATTCCTTCTTGAGAACGACAAGTGCTTTAGGGAGACGCTCCTCAATGTTCATTGTCTCAAGAACTTCTTGCATCTCGTGGAGCTCACCTGCAGATACAGCGGCAGCGAAATCGGCCAGTTTGGCCGGTTCGTCGCTGAGGTTTCCTGGGAATTGATCGGTGTAAAATGCCGAGATTTGATCACGGAACAAAGGGTTCAAGGTCGCGATCTCTTTGCAAACATTAACAATTTCACTGGTTACTGCGCGGATAATTGGGTTTTTCTTGTCGAACGGCTCTTCGGTCAAGTTTTCCACATTGACAAGGCTGACAGGATGTTTCTTCAGGAAGGATGTGGGTTCGTAATGATCTTTGGGGGCTGGCTCGGGTGCGCCTTCTTCGAAGCTGGCCACGACATCACCTCGCTTTTCGGTCGTCTTGTCTTCTGAGGTAGGTGCGGGTGGAGGTGTAGCCGCCTTGCTGTTCTCTCCAGGGGGAAGTAGCGACGAGATCTTGATACGCCGGTGGGGGTAGAGGACCGCTGTTACACCGCTAGCCTCCCCACGGAGAGGGTATGCGGCGGTAATTTGAGCGAAAACTCCAGTATCGTAAACATCGTCCAATTTCTCAATCACATCACCATCGGCGTTGTCATCCTTGAACAAGAACGCTCCGACATACGGCTGACCCCGTTTCATCATATCCTGGATCGCAACGGCGACATTCGGGTCGCGAATAGTGATCGCCTTGTAAAAACCTGGGAATAACGGACGTTTCGCGATGGGAATTGCCATCACCTGCGGGTAAACGTCCGGAACTGCCGGTTTTTGTAAAGCCTTCTCCCCGGAGGCCTTCTTGCCCTTCTTCCCACTGTCGTCATTGCCACTGTTACCACCGCTGCTTGCGCCGCTGGGTTTAGAGTCGGCCGGGCTATCACTTGGCGGGATGGGGGACGGTGTGTCACTTGAGTTCCCCTTGCCATCTGATGCGTTGGCTTCTTTCTTGGCTTCCTCTTCTACTCCACGCTCTTTATCGGATGACCGGTCCTTTCTCCGCGCGGGAGCTGTTTGATCTGCAGAAGGGACATTCTTCCCTGTGTCTGTACCCTTCCTCCGCGATTCAGGAGCTCGTTGCGTTTCCTTATTATCCTGACTGGTTTCTTGCCCTTCTTTCTCTTCCGATTCGTCTTTGGGGTCTTCTGGCGGGGGTTTCTCTCTCCGCCGAATGGAGCTCGCGGAGAAGGCGCGGGAAGACGAGGGAAGAGAGCTACCAAGGCGGGCCGAGATTAATGTTGATCGAAAGGTTGCATTATATCTGGGTGAAGCAAGAAAGGGCCGTCGGAGGAGAGGTCGTGGCGTTTGATGGAGCACAGCTCGCCAGGGGAGGGTCTGGCCGCGGAGCATGCTCCTTGAGTATGAGGTGGACGCGCGGGCAATGGAGTGAAGGAAATAAGAAAGGATATAGTCAAGAACCGTGACAGCCCGTGGCACAGCTCCAAAATGACAGCAATAAGTATTAGATACAAATGGGTAGAGTGGAAGCTGGAATTCCGTAGTCGGAGCACCATTGCTTCGGTAAGCAACTCTTTCATCATCGTCCGGCCACACGTTTTTCCGATAAACTTCTCTCTGCCAAAGAACTCGAAGCTTCTGTGACCCGGAGAGTAGCTTAACTTGGATCGAAACGTCATTGGTGCTCTTGAAACCATTCTTTCTGTTCGAATTGTCATTCTTTTTTTTTCTTGATCATTTTCCCTCGTATATCCATCTTCCTGGCAACCACAACTGCCGTCCAAGCATTGTTCGGCTATTACTATCCATGAATCCGTCCACGGCATTTCCCAAGGCCGCGGCTCTCCCCGCGCGTCTGTTGCGAACTCAGCGACAATGTTCTAAGCAGACTTCCAGCAATAATGTTCACCCATCCACCCAAACAAGAAACTACCATGCGACTGTCTCTGCTTCTCCGGCTAGGCGTCTCCGGGAG